TGGTGAGTGACTGTTGCACAGCTGCCGGAATCCGGCACCTCGTCCCTGCTGCCCAAGCAACACCCCAGCTGTTCCCCCATATCCCCTCACCAGGAGTTGCCCCATAAATGTCTTGAACATCTTGTTCTTCCTGCCTCTGCTTCCCAGAGGACGCCAACAAGCACAGAAGATAAGGAAAGGAACATAAATTAGAAGTGATAAAAAAAAGGTTCAAACCATCCCAGGCAAAAGCAAGACCTAAATATCAGTAATCACACTGAGTATAAGTAGACTCTGTGAACCAACAGGTAATGCTTGCCAGAACAGTGAAAAGTATTAAATATGACTGCACGAGGCCAACCGCTAAACACTTAAAGAAGAAAATGCGAAGATTCAGAAGGCTGGAAAGGAAAGGGAGCGTGATTCACCACGCCAGTGAGGAGCAGAAAGGCAACCGCAGATCTCGGTAAAACAGTAGGCGTGGGCTTCAGGATCCTCGAAACATTAGGCCTATGGAAACAGCCACGTCCACCAGCACAGCCAGACACCGTCAACCTCCCCCAAGCTGAGATCCAATGGACAGAAGTCTGTAGGGCTGGCGGAGTGGCAAGTGCGAGGTCCTGAGTTCAAACCCCAGCACTGCTAAAAACAAAGCAAAACAAACAAACAAACAAAAACCTCTGTGTGGATATAGATTTGAGGAACACAATTAACAAACAGATATTTATCTAGGATGTTTATAAAACAGCCCACAGATTCTAGTCTTTTCAAAAATACACTAAACCTTTATAAAAATTGACCATACACTCAGTTATGAGTGACTCATTACGAACATTGCAGGATTGAAATTATCAGAGTATATTTTCGGACTACAGTGCAACTGAGCAGAAATTTATAATAGGCATAATTTGAGAACCCTTACGTTTGAAATTTAAGAAAATTTCAATGTGAAAATTAAGAAACACACTTTGAAGCTGTAGACTTAATAAATTTATTAGAAAAGGAAAAAGGCTGGACGTCAGTGGGGCAGGCTCCTGTGAGAGCTCAGGAAAGCCCTAAAGATGAATGGAGATTAGGGGGATGGATGGGGACGTCAGGAGAGCTATCTATCTGCTTTTAGACGAGCTTGAATCACTGCACGCCTGGTTATTTGAAGAACTGAACACTAGCCCAGGTGAGGCTGATGGAGACAAAAAGAGAAAGATAGGAAACACCAATTTCAGGAATAAAAACCAGGAAATTCCAGAGGTCCTCCAGGCACCAGAGTAACGAAGACGTTACAGCTGACTTACGTTCATACATTTGACTACTTAGATGAAATCTGTCCCCAGAAAATGTCCAGGAAAAAAACCTAGAAAAATGTAATTTACTGAAACCAATATGTACAAAATACAAAACCCTAGGGGTTTTATCATTAATACATTGTGTTAGTAATTAAAAACTTTTCTCACAGAAAATGACAATTCCAACAGTTTCACTAGTAAATTCTACCAAACATTCAAAGAAGAACTCGATCTAATGTAACCAAAATTTCCCAAAGACTAGGAAGAAAAAGGACACGCTCCCTAATTCATAGCATAACTGTGATAAGCAAGGGACAGAGCACAGAGGGACATGACAAGCCAATTTTATTCAAGAACATAGAGGTCAAAATCCTGAACAAAACGTTAATAGATTAAATTCAGCTATATATAAAAAAGGGACCAAGTTGAACTTACTACAAGAATTCAAGGTTGGGCTTGACTGAATAAGCCCAACAAATCTAATTCTGACATATGTCCAAAAGAATCAAAAGAAAAGCCTCAGAGAGAGACCTGTACACCTGTGTTCACAGCAACCTCGTTTGCAATAGCTGAGAGCCTGAGGCACATAGGTGCCCATTCACAGGTGAATGGGTGAAGAAGGAAAATACAGAATAGTACCAGCCTTAAAAAAGGAAATCCTGCTGAGTGCCAGAGGCTCATGCCTGTCATCCTAGCTACCTGGGAGGCTGAGATCGGGTGAATTGAGGTTTGAGGCCAGCCCAGGCAAATAGTTTGCAAGACCCCATCTCCAAAATAACCAGAGAAAAATGGACTGGAGGTGTGGCTCAAGCAGTAGAGTGCCTGCTTTGCAAGAGAGAAGTCTTGAGTTCAAACCCCAGTCTCACCACAAAAAAAAAAGAAAGAAAAAAAGAACCTGGACCCCTGCTACAACATGGCTGAAACTTGAGGGCAATACGTTAGGTGAAATAAGACTGACACGAAAGGACAACGGCTGTGTGGTTCTACTGATATGAGGTCCCTAGAGTCATCAAATTCAGAGAGACAGAAAGTAGACTGGGGTGGGGGGAGGGAAACGCTGCCAGGGCTGCAGGAGTGAGGGTTGAATGGGGACAGAGTTTCAGTTTTGCAAGGTGAGAAAGTCCCAGGGACTGGCTGCACACCGCGTGAAAGCACCTAACCTGGCTGAACGGAGCACTTATGAAGGGAGCTGGTATATGCTACGCTTTTTAGTTATAATTAAAACACTTGAAAAGAGCAATGGGTGGAGTCCACGCCAGGCCAAGGCAAGAGACTGGGACACAGCGAAGGATAAAGCCATTTAAACAACCATGACGCCTTCAGGGGCTGCAGGAGCACCAACTCTCGTTTCTAAGTTTTGCTGTTTCTGTTTTGGTTCTTTGAGGCAGGGTCTTGCTCTGCAGCCCAGGCTGGCCTGGAACTCGCAATTCTCCTCCCTCCGTCTCCCGAGTGTTGGGCTTACAGGTGGGCATCATCATGCTCACTGAAGTTTTGCTGTTGCAAAAAAACAGCTGTCGCAGTCAGGAGGCGCCTAAGGAGACACGGTGACTGCTGTGTCCTGGCTGGGCTCCAGGGGCAGAAAAGGGAGGAGAGGGGAAGACAGGAGATGTGGATAACGAGGGGCTTCGTCCATAACATTGATCCATTAATGGTGACAACAGGACTGTGCTGCACACAAGTCCTCAGCAGTGGGGAAAATGGACGTGGGTATGTGGACACCCATAAATCTGAAACTTCTAAAGTGAATATATGAATTTATTTTAAACAGTGGTGGGTGTGGGAGGACAGTCCTTTCCCACATTTCCTGCAGGGCGGGGGAGGGAGGTGGCAGACTTAAGTGACAAATCCATCCATCTTGCTTAGATGGCTTATGGCACAGTCAGGTTAATGGCAGACTTCGCCCATTCTACGGAGTGTCATTGTTTTCTAGGGGTGACAATGGTTCCAGCCGTGATTTTAAAGGAACAGTGCTCATCTCTCGGAGTTGGCTGCTGAAGTACTTATGGATCATAAGTGAGGTCTCTGACCTGCTGTCTGACAGGTTTGGGTTTTGTTTGCTCATTTTGTTATTCATTTTGGTCTGCATGCTAGGCAGACCTCTGCCATTGTGCCACGCCCCAGCCCTTGATCTGCTCTCGAATTATGCCATGCCATGGAAGGTGGGAGGGAGACAACCTTTGAGTTCGGATTCCATAATAAAAGGACTTAAAAGGGTGGTGGCCCATGCCTGTAATCCCAGCTACTCAGGAGGCAGAGATCAGGAGGCAGAGGTAGTTAAAGATCTCAGGCCAGCTCCGGGGCAAAAGATAGAAGACCTATCCAAAAAATAGCTAAAGCAAAAAAGGGCTGGGACTTGGCTCAAGTGGCAAAGCACCTGTCTAGTACATGGAAAGCCCTGAGTTCAAATCCTGGTACCACCAAAAAATGGCCTCTGTCCTGAGGCCCGGGTTCCCTTATTTCCACATGGAGTTGCTGGAGACTCTTGGCTCAACCCTTCATCTCCTGCAGATGGTTTCATTTTCCTTCTTAGGAAATCTTTGGGTTCCAATGTCTAGGCCACTCTGCCACATCTCAGGAGGGACTGCTGACCGCAGGGCAGAGCTCAGAGCTCTTCTGCCACCAGCTGCATGTCCCTGCGGGCCACCTGTCGTGGTTAGTGGCCGGGCGGGTGCCTGTGGTCCTTCAGCACCTCATCCAGATCCCTTTCTGTCCCAAGACAGGACAGAGAGGACTGCTGTAGGCTCTGGGGGCTTCACTTCTTCTCTCCAGTGCCGTGGTCACCTACCCTCTGTCCCTGTCTAGGTAGGGGCACAGCTGAAGTGTGACAGTCGGGTAAGGGAGGTGCTGCTGTCGTCTAGATTAGGCCTACTGGCAATCAGCGTCCACTGCCCACCGTGGCTCTGTTGCTGCACCCCGACATTCTCTTACCTGACAGCACTGAGATGGGGATCCCAGATAATTTGGGCTCCTGCTAGGGACAGCTGCTCAGACTCAGATGAAGGCTTGGACACTCGGGTGTGCCTCAAGTGACAACCAGGAGCTGGCCTCTCCCGCTCCTCCACCCTTGTCCCTTTCCCATCTCTTGCGCTGAGGTGCAGCACCCTGGGCCTCAGAGCTGGGAAAAACCCAGGAACCCCAGGGACACCACTGGAACCCAGGGAACTCTACTGGAACCCAGGAGACACCACGGCAGTGAGCAGATGGACCTGGAGACAGAGCTGTTCGGGCCTGGGTGGGCAGGAAAGGGAACCTCTGAACTGCCTGGGGCTTGACAGTCTTGGCAAGGCCCGTGCAGTGGTGCTGACCACCTGTGGCTTTTGTCCCTTCTCAGGTTGGGTGCCATCGGACATGTGATACACTGGAGCCCACCCTGCCCAGCCTGGGTTCCGGAGTTGTTTCCTTGAGTCTGGGCCACAGGAGCCCCAGGGTTTTGTTTGGATAAATGAAGTGGCCGGCATCACACCCTGGGTGCTCACAGCAGAGCTGTCCTGGGATGAGGTCACCACGCCAAGCCCCGAGCCCCCCGCAGGGGCTTCTGAGCAGGGGAAGGAGGAAAGATGCACAGGAGGAGGCATGGAACTTGGTCCCGCCTGCCCGGTGACCTTGGGCGTGGAGCTGCGTGCGCGTGCCTCAGTTTACCTGTCCATAAAAAAGGGAAAGTAGCACCTCTCCCGCAGGGTTGCCGTGAGGCTCAGTGACACCCTTAAGACGTGCCCTCCTGACTGCCGCGCTGCGTACCTCCATCTTCCCGTTCTCTGCGGCATCGTGGAGGGGGGTCCCACCCCAGGAGTCTCTCGTGATGGGGGCGCCCATCAGCAGCAGCCGGTCTACAATGGGGGTGTGGCCACCCCCGGCTGCGAAGTGCAGAGCTGTGGCTCCCTCGTTATCCCGCACCGTCAGGCTGATGTCTGTGAAGGTGACCTGGGGAAGAGGTGGGCGATGACCAGCCACCTGAGGCTGCCCCAGGTGATCCCTCCCAGGAAGAGGGCAGGGGCTCAGAGCAGAAGTGGGAGGTGACTTTGGTTGTGTGTCTTGGGGTGGCAGCACCATCCCCAGGAAGCCCCTGGTCCCAGCTGTCCTGTAGCCCTGGGCACCCGCTCTGCTGGGTGATGCGAGCCCAGTGCTTTTATCTGGAGACCCCACAACCCCAAACCTTAAGCCAGGTCAAATGAAAAATGCCACACCCGGTCCTTATGGGACAATGTAAGGGCAAGCCCATGGGACAGAACACCCATCCTAGAGATAGTGCCAGGTGGAGCCCACCCTGCAGGGAGGCTGCCAGGAATCCCCTACCTAGATGGCCTTCCTAACCCCGGGACCCTGTACTCATCCACTTCTTCCCCAGAACAGGCTTGCACTTGCCTCAGCCTAGACCACAGGCCTCAGGGGACGCCCTGCACCTGCCTGCACTGTGCCCACTGGCTCATGTCCACATGGCGAGGTGGGCAGCACAGAGGCTCGGGCTGGGGACAGCACAGCTGTGGCTGTGGTCTCCAGTGAATGCGTCAGAGCTACAGGTGAGGTGTGAGGTGAGGACGGCAGGGGAGTGGTGTGTGGAGCCCAGGCACCAGGGGTGGCTGGGGGCGGTACATCCCATGGAGGGTGGGGCCGCTGCTGCAAGAGAGGCTGAAGGCAAATGGCTGAGGGCCAGGGACCTTCTCCCTCCAGTGCTGCCCTTTGTTCACTCAGAATCTCCCAAGCCTGACTGCCAGGCAGGGGGGACACAGCAGATGAGGGACAGTGTCCCTGCCCTCATGGGGCTCCTGATACTGACATTCCAGGGAACAAAGGAGATGAACAACGTGCAGCTGGTCAGGTGTTGGAGCCATGGAAGACACCTGGGGAGCTCATGCAGGCGCAAGGTGCAGCATGTGCAAAGGGCCTGAGGAAATGCGACTGAGAGGAGGAAGGGAGCAGGGACAAAGGCGGCCCCACAGAAAGTGTGAGAGTCGGAATAGGCAATGACTTTCCCTTCTCCACCAGCAGCTAGATGACTTTCTGGAATGCCAGGAAGATTCTAGCTCAGAGCCCTCCATGGCTCCCCAGTACCTCCAGGCCAAACCCAGTCCTCCCAGAGTTCTGTCTGCCTTTCCCACTTCACTCCAGTCCCAGGGGCCAGGCTCCCCAGCATGTTCACGGGCTACACCTGCCTCCAGGAATCCACTTTGGGACCTGTCCTGTGCAGCTACCTCCTGCCCATCCTTAGCTGCTCCCGGGACCTCCCTACTCTCAGACCCCATCAAGTATCCACTGGACCCTGGAGGCTCCCAGATGACCCTCTCCTGGGTTGGTTCTCTGTTGTGGAGGCATCTGCCAGCCCCGGCCACTTGGGGCTTCCTTCCCAGAAGAGGCAGGGTGCAGGACTGACCCAGGGCTCTGAGGCAGCAGGGCACAAATGTGGCTGAGTGGCCTGAGCCAGGCACTGGCAGTGTGGGCACTGGGGATGAGGCCACCAAGCCTGAGAGCACCGAGGAGCCCTGCCAGACTCTGGGAAGGGCCAGGAGAGCCCCCATGGACAGCCACACTCACCTCACCCCAAGGGATTTGCGGTCAAGGCCATGGAGCCCATTTGACAACCCAGCTGCCCTGTGTGACCCGGTCCCCAGGTGGAGCCCCCAGGCCTGCTGGCTGCAAGGCCTGGACTCCCTGCACACCCTCTTCGCCCAATGTCCCTTACCAGCCAGACAACCAGTGAGTAGTGGCCACGGGCAGCTGCAGCGTGCAGCACACTCATGCCATCCATGGCGCGCAGGTGCACGTCAGCCCCGCGGTCCTTCACCAGGAACTGCGCCAGGTGCAGGTGGCCCTCCTGGCAGGCCAAGTAGAGGGGGGAGGCACCACTGTGGGTCCGCTGGTTCACACCACTGTAGGAAGGACAGTTAGAGGGCTAGCACTCAAATCCATCCCCAGCGAGGGTGGACTGGGCAGCGATTGGGGGTTCCCAAATCCTGCTCTGCCTTCGAGTCCCCAGTGACCAAAGGATGGTTGGTCCCCTATCCAAGACTGACCCTATCCTCTGGTGACATGGACTTCGCCCTTGGGCCCTGACCATCACAGCCTGGGTTTCTCAACTTCCTTCCAGCTGCTGCCCCAGGGCTTTGGGGTCCCTCCACCTGCTGGGGCTCCCCAGGGGGTTGTCGTGCCTATCTCTCTTCCTTCTTTCCTTGCCTGGATATGGGTTATTTATACCCATCAATTGTTTTGGACTGGAGAGGGTCACAGTCTTGGATTGATTTTGAGTTCCTTGTTGTTGCCATGGAGACACAGGACTGCCTCTGAGCCCCTCTGTGGCCGGTGGCATCGATTCTGCTGCATGGAGGTCTCTGCTGAGCCGTAGCAGGGGACCTTGTGGCTTGTGCTTGCGGAGGCTCATGGACGGCAGGAGCCCAGAAGCGAGTGATGCTCAGCTCCTTGCCTCTCCCAGCTGGAGTGCCTGCTGTCTGACCAAGCCCCTGGCTTGTCCCACACCCTCTACTCTGGGCCTTGAGCCTGGCAGCACTCGGGAGTGGGTAGTGGGGTGAGGACAAGCTCTCTTGAGCACTCTGCAACTCTCACTACTTGTAGCAATGAGTGTGGGCAGCTTGGGATCCACCCCAGGGGAGAAGGAGCACCTCTGCCACCCAGCTATGGAGACTTCATCATGGGCTTCAGCGGGCAGAAAGGGAAACGAAGGCCAAGAGCTGAATGATTTTCCCAAGGGCCAGGGGTTGGACCCCTTCCTTTTTCCAAAGCCCCGGTCAGGCCTAGCCTCCTCTGTTTTCTAGTCCTGGCAGGATGATCTTTGTGCAGAGAGAGTACCAGAACACAGTGCTCAAACAGGAACCCTCATTTCATAACCTGGCCCTGGCCCTGGCTCCTCCTCACCATCCACCAACCCTGGGGGATGGGCACAGGGCCTTGGAGCTGAGGCCAACCCCAGCTTGAGGGGTTCCCAGTGCGAGGAACAGTGCAGAGGGTGACTCTGAGCCAAATTGACTGGGCTCTCCCTGGCCCCAAGCCTACTAGTGAAGTGTCCCTTGAGGTGGCTTGGGGCCCATGAATGTTACCAGTATGGCCACTGTCCCAATGGCCTTGAGCTGTATACTAGACGTCCTTACTGCCCCACCCGCCACGCCACTGCACACACTTACACCCCAAACCAGCAGAATCAGGGCCCGTCTCGCCCAACCAAGCTCTGCCCCGTGCCCTGCTCCTGCCACCCTCTGGCTCCTGACCAGCAGAGCCACCTCAAAGGCCACCTGGCTGTCCTCACCCCTCCCCAGGACCACCCGCCCCCAGAAGCCAGCTTGCTCCAGGTGCCCCCACAGATGGTGCTCTGGGTTCTCACCTGCTGTGGGCAGCCGCCAGGAGCTTAAGGCAGGTCAGGTCCCCGCTGACTGCAGCATGGTGCAGTGGCAAGGCCCCCTCCAGTGTCTCCAGTGTGGCCGTGTGGCCCTCCCGCAGCAGCCACTCCACCAGCGCTGGGTGTCCAAAGCGGGCGGCCAGGTGCAACGGGGAGACACCTGAGGCATCTTGGTCCTGCCGAGGCATAGGCAGATCAGTGAACTGGTGGCAGGCTGGTACCTGCCCCACCTGGGCAGTGCCAGCTTAGCCAGAGCCAGCTGCCCAAGGCTGGGCTCAGTGAGGACCCCATACCCTTGCAGCCAGGACATGAAAACATCTCTTTCTGTTCCCCACCATGGGAGGGCTTCCTGCTGGGACTGAAGGATGTCCTGCTGGAGGAAGAGGCAGGGCTAGGACCCAGATCCAGGTATTGGGAGGGTCTACATCCTATAGCCCCACTCCAAGCCAGGCCCTGGCCCCCTTCCCATTTAGCTTAGCCCCTGCAGTCCAGCCCACCCTGGTCACAGTCAGAAAGACTTGCCTGCCCGGCAGGACCCGCCACAGGAATCCCAGCACACCTGCTCTGGGCCTCTGCCCTCTTCCCTCCCCTAGCCACAAGTCCCCGAGGCCAGGGAGCACTTCCTCTGCAGGCACTGAGCATCCAGCAGACCTGGGTGTCCTTCAAGGGCCCCATGATCAGAAGTGAGTCTGGAAATGGGCCTGCTACCCTTGGGGTCATTGGAAGAACTGATAAGAGGGACCTGAGGCCAAACAGGCTCAGGCCCTCTGATCGGATGCTAGTGGGTCCCTCTAACCCCACCCAATGGGACACTGGGTGGGTGGGCGGGCTAAGGCCTGCCAGGCTTGCTCACAGTCCTCCATAAAGCACATCCAGGGCTAGACAAGCAGTTCAAAGGTCCTTCACTTGCAAGAAGGGGGCCTGGGCATGCAGGCAAGTGTGGTGGGAACCCTGGTAGAAATGCCTTGGACAGGACAGGAAGATTACTAGGACTTGAGTCTCACCACAACTGTCACCTGTCCCCACAGCCCAGCCTGTGCCATCAGGGCCCTCAGCTCCTGAGCCCAAGTCCCCCCTGTCTCTTCAAGAACGTATTTCGGAAAACTTTGGGAAACAGTCCCAAAGGGGCAGGGCATTCTGAGCACTGGTCAGACCCCCACTGGCAACCCCAGGCACTCCTGGCCAGGGGCCGGTAGAGGAATAGGTGTCTCTGTGCCTGCCAGGATCTGAAGCACATAGGATGACTGAGGTGAGGCCATGGCTTGGTGTCCAAGAGGTCTTAGTGCTGTGTTGAGGGGAGGGAGGGATGTGAGGCAGACACACCACTGATTGAGAAACACAGCCCGGGCCCGTGGAACCCAGGGGAGTCCAGGACCTTCTAGGCTCTCCCTTCCCTCATTCTGCCCAGGAGACCAGGCTGCCAGGGCGCCCCGTTCCCACTCACCTGCAGCCCGCAGCCCCCATCTCGGACCAGCCAGCACAACTCAGCCAGCTTGCCTGTGGCTGCGGCATCGTGCACTGGTGTGGCCCCATTGTAGGCCCGCTGGTTGCCGGGCAGCCTGGCTTGCTGCACCAGGAACTTGACACAGTCCAGGTGGCCAGCCCGGGTGGCATGGTGCACCAGGCCAGCCCCCAGTGTGTCGGTAATGCTGGGGCTCAGGGCACCAGCTTCCAGAAGCCGCTCTAAGGTGGTCACATCCCCATCCTTGGAGGCCACCAGTGCCTGCTGCTCGTCCATCCTCTGGCCTTGGTTCTTGGTGGCTATGCACAGGCCCAGTCAGGCTGGGCTTCCTGTTTCAGGCGTGCAGCAGCCGGCTCCGGTTACCTGATAACAGTGCACAGGGCAGATGGGAGGCGGCCATGGTGTGGGGGGAGCAGGCCCTGGGGACCAGCTCTCACAGCCCTGCCCAAGCCACTCCCGCTATGCCTGAGGGCTGGGTGCCCAGGGCTGTGGAGCATGGAGTGCAAGAGTCTTGGGGGAATGGCCAAAGTTAAGTCAGTAAGTGGGTGCCAGGTAGTGGAGGGGAGGCTGTCTGGCTGTCCTAGATGGTCTCTGCTGGAACCTCCTCTTCCTGGCAGGGTCTCCCTGTCACCACTGGAATGAGGTGTGAGGAAGCTGCACCAGGTTACTGGCATGGGCCTGGTCTCCAGCGCCCAGAGGGTGTTTACAGTTACCGACTCCTGAACTCCACTCCCCAGTCCTGTTCAGGCACAGTCCTTTGAGGCCTAGGCCACCTGGGAGACAGCTCAGATCCCAGGGAAAGGTGGACCCACCTGCACTGTGACTGGAAGAACTGATGCCCCTTAAGTCTAAATGGCTCCTACGTTATCACCATGGAGCGCGCCCCTGCTCCCTAGGGAACTGTCTGGATCCTAGTTCCCAACTGCCTTTGACCTTGACACTACAGGCGCACCCCACAGTTGCCAAATGGGAGGGCCTCCGAGGTGCACGTGAGGATCTTATAGCTCACCTTGGCCCCTCTCCAGCCACGGCCATGGTGTTTGGCTGGGGAAGTGGGGACCAGCACAGCCTCTCCCTGGTGCTGACGGGGACCTGTCTCTAGGGCTCCCAGAGGTCTCACTCCATGCTACGTTTCTTAGGCTGCAATGTAACTTCACAGTGACAGAGAGCTGCACCACCCTCAATGCCCCCCACCCCACAGACTCAGACAGACAGGCGGACAGACTCTGGCCCACAGGGCCTGCCAGGAAAACCCAAGACATCTGAGCAAGCATAGAATCTTTTATTAGTTCATTTAGCTTCTGACAATCACTTCCTCAGTGCCATCATGTAGGTCTATGTACCTTAAAACCACACATTAAAAACATTATTCCCTGAAAATCATTCCTATGAAAATACCAGCAGGGGATGTGTGTGCCGCACATCCTGTGAAGATGAAGAACTTTTTGCAAATAAGACGAAAGCCGAGTTAGGGATGATCTGACATGGCACATGAAGTGCCACCCTGTCAGCAACACTGAGTGGAATCCCTGAGGAAATGAGAGGGGAGAAGATGGGGAGGGATGTGAGCAGAGCATGTCTGCCGGAGGGCGTCCTGCTGTGCATGAGGCCTCAGGACAGTCAGGTATTGGAGGCAAGATGGGCCACGGCCTCCACCCAGTGGGCAGAGGTCACTGAATACTGAGGTCAGGGGAAGAGGATGGCAGGGCCCATCGAGGCTGCCTTTGGAAAGGTTAGGAAGGGCCCAGGAAGACTGCTCTGCAAATGGCATATTAACCATGAGCCAAGCAAGAAACTTTCCTATTTATATGACGCACCCAAGTGACAATGGAGTAGAGACTTGAATTTTATCTCCAGATAAACCACCGCCTTCCATGATGGGGTGCTCCAACAGGCTGGCCTGATTCCTGTGGGGAGTGTGGACCAGCCCAAGTGACTCTATTTCCATGTGGGCACTGGTGCCCTGGGCTTGCAGGGATTGGACTGGGGTCAGTGAGCCAGGCAGACCCACGTCTAAGGGAGGAAGGGCACACAAATGCCCAGTGCTCAGCCCCTGGGGCAGAACAAAGACCTGGAGAAATCAGTCATCCCAGGGCAGCTCCCACGAGGGGACAGGATAGGTGCGGGGTGCCCTGGTAAGGCACTTCCTATGAGCAAGTGGCCAAGGCCACCTTCTGGCCACCAAGGGCAAGGGTAGGCCCTGACCTTAGGTCTGAGCCTCCAACCGGTCTACTGCCTGCTTCAGGTCCTGCACGACGAGGTCCACCTCGGCCCTGGTGGTGCTGCGACCCACGCTGAGCCGGAGTGCATTCCTGGCCACGTCAAAGGGGATACCACAGCTCAGCAGCACTGGGGATGGCCTGGGGGGAGTGGGAGACCAGTGTCAGCTGCTGCTCAAAAGAGTTCTCCTTGTGCTCCTCGGACACTGGAAGACATGCTGCCCCTCTTCTAGGCCAAGTCCCCATGTCGGGTCTGTTGTCGACCCAGTGCTCACCTGCTTGGCTGAATGTGTAGCCCCACCACCTCCCTACCTGCCCTCTGGCCTCCTCCTGCACTGAACTCCCTTGACAATATTCCTCCAAGGTCACCCATAGTGACAGTCCCTGCAGTCTCCCCTGTTCTCCCTGTTCTGGGCCTGCCTCACCCCTTATACGCTAAGACCTTCTTCCCTGAGGCAGTCAACTGATTTGGGCTGGGCACTCAGCCCCAGGCTCTTGGCCCATCTTGTCCCTGGATCCGAACCTGTGGAGGTCACTCATACTGACACAGCAGGAGCAGAGCGCCCGCAGGGTGCTGGCCATGGCACATGCTCAGCAGACTCTGGGCCCAGCTGGCTGACGCAGGGGAGGAGTCCCTGCTGCAGGACTATTGGGGTCCTAACTAAGGGCCCATTCTTGGCTGCCCATGCACTAGAACAGCCCCCACCCAAACTGCCCAGCTAAACATCCTCAGAGCCAGGTGACAGGACAAAGGGTCGTCCCTCCTGCCACTCAGTGTCATCACATCGGGTGAGGGCACTGACTGGCCTTGCCTCTTGGCTCACCTGCTGTCCCCCCACCACCATCAGCCAAGGAACTGGGCTAAAGCCAGCACTGGTCCCACAAGCCTCCTCAGCAGTGAGCCCTGCAGAGGGCCCCCCACCGGGTCCCTGAGGCTCTAGTGACACCTTTGTGGGTTCCTAGTCAGTCAAGTCCCTTTCCGCCTCCTCAATGCCACACTTCCCCTGTGCTGGGAAGGTACAGAAGACACCAGAGGGTTTACTCTCCTGTCCTCTCAGGGCCACTGGCCACTCGTCCCTTTGGGCTATGCTACCACCCTCCCCTGCCTCTGTGGCTAAGCCTTAAGCCTTGTGTCTGCCAGTTTGATCACTCCATGCCTCAGCCACCGCATCTGAGAAAGAGGTCTTCACAGACCTTCCCATGGGGGCTGTGGTGAGCATTCCCTGAGTGTTGCCACCTCAGCACTCTGTTCTGGGTGGCCTCTGCATCCCCACTTGTACCCTCAGCTCTCTTTGCACTCCAGCTGGCCTTGGCCTTTTGGCTTCACTCCCACTTCAGCACCCACCCTTGCAGCAGCCTGAATGGCCTCTTCTTTCCTGCAGCAGGTCTGCAGCTTGGGTGACCAAGGTCCTCTGTTTCCACCCCCTCTGCCTCAGAGATGGCCTTTGGGCAAGAGTACTTACTGGTCCCCATGGTCCGAGTGACACGCAGCCCCCACGCTGGCCAGCAGTGTCTGGCACTGTGCGAGTACCATGTAGCCTGCAAAGACAGTGTGTGTCCTGAGACCCAGGACTCTCTACCTGCTCTTCCCCACTCTTCCCTAGCCCCTGGGCCTGGGTCTGTCCCCTCCAGCCACCCATGGAATTCCAGGAAGGCAGAACACAGCAGCCAAGGAGAAGGGCCTCTCTCCAATGGCTGCAGCAAAGCTGACACTATTGTCTCCTAGGCCTGGCCTTGAGAACGGAATCGCTGAGCAATGACTTGTAAGACCCCAGCATTCTGATGGGCTGCCTTGCTGGACACATTGAAGTCTGCACTGCGTTTGTGGTCAGACCCCTGGGCCCTCTACTCAGCAGGGGGTGCTGCCCTCTTCTCTTACAAGTACAGGATTAAACATTCTAAGAGCCCACAGTGGGTCTGCCCCATTTCACACAGGTCATTGCTGAGCACAAAGCTGTCCCCGGAAGACAGTAGGGGAAAACTCTCCACACAACAGGCAGTCTGGCGAGATGAACCTGCCTCATGCTTCCTGGCCAGCGAGACTGCGTCTTAGCCCAGGATCCCAGTTACGCAGCCCAGGGTTTCCACCTTGTCCCAAGAGGACAGCAGGTTTCTCAGTGTAATCCAGGGGAACATGAAGCAATATCCTCTTCTAAGAAGTCAAAAGCCATCTGGGTGTGACACAGGTGTGCTCTCTGGGCCACCAGACCCCCCACCGAATGAAACATGCTGGGTTAGGCCCCAGTATTGAGACTCTCGGGGAATCAGGGCCAAGTTTTACACATCAGGGAGGGACGAAATCCTAACTGGCCCTGGTGTGGGTGCAGATGACACAGGAACCCAGGGAATCCATGCTCCCTCCTCACTCATTGCCAGTTGTTAAAGCTGCATGCCTCTCCTTTCCCTTCCTCTCATTATACATTGTATGAAATTAGACTAGCTTGATTTTACCTCCTTCCCTGACATCTAATGGCTGGCGTGGGATCCAACCACTGTCCACGCTCAGGGCATTCCCGAAAGGAGCGAGGTCTGCAAGGAAGGTGCTCGTGACCAGAGCCGCAGCAAGCCACAAACCAGAGGACTTGCAGGGGAGCCCGCGCTTGGTATTGGGCCGACCTGACCATCTACCCCGGTGTATACCCCACTAACGCCATGAGCCGTGTTGTTCTTGGGGCAGCTGAGGACAGGGGGAAGGTGCTGCCTCAGACCCGAATTCATGAATCCACGCACAGCACACAGCACGGAGAGACCAGCGCAAGACAGGCAGTCACCTTGAAGCTGGGGCCCCTGGATGGAAAAGTTACAGGTGTTGGGGAGCCGCTCTGTCCCTGGAAACTGGCTGTTCAAATGGATTCTCTTCTTACCAAATTCAGCCTGAAAAAACAAATGAAATATTCAGGACAACCGTACCTGTTTCTGGGAAACAGAATCTCAACATGTAAATATTTATCTTAGAATAAGCATCTACTTATATGAGCTAAGGGGACAGAATCTGAGAAGTAAATGCTCTGAGCACATATGGGCCTTCTACAGACATGTGTCTCCATGTATGTATGGAACAGATGGCTGACCTGATCCTGGTATGCGAGTCACTTCCCACCATCCACTTCCTTCCTCTTTTTCTCATGACCTTCCTCGCTCCTGAGAATGAGTTTCTATCACAAGGTCCTCGTGTCCAGGACCTGCCTGCATTGCCCAGTCCCCCATCCTATGCACCTCCCCAAAGGCAGGTAAAGCCACAGAGCCACCGGCCGCTCACCTGCAGCCTCTCCTCCAGGTAGTCACGGACATCCCTCATGTGAGCCTCATAAACCTCACAGCTCTTGGTCACCAGCTCAGCTGCCTAAGGACACAGACATACAATACTGCAGGGAGCCCACCCAAGTATGCTAAAGCCAGGGAGAAAAGGCAGCTTCACACAGAGCAGTGGCATTTCCTGGCTACCACCCACCCTCCTGAAGGGCAGCACTTATTGCATGCCAGTGCAATAAGCTGTGCTTGTTCATCATGGATTACCAGGTATTTTCTGATGGCTCCATAGCAATTAAGACCCAAAGGGACCCCAATTCCTCAGGAACATGCAAGCCAGAGAGGGAAAAAACAAGGAGAGCTGGGGCAGACTTGCATAGTGAGGGCACCATGTGGACCCCTGGGAAGCCTATGGATGGAGACAGCTGTCATGGGCAGAAAAGATGGTCAGCAAAGGTACTGCAGAGGAGTGACAGTGCCGCTTCTGTGACATGCAGGCCACTGTGGCGAAGGTGAGCAGGTGAATGGGAGGGGTATGCAGGTTGGGTTGGAACATAAGAGTCCTGGGGCAAACAGTTACTGCTAAGTAGGGGCTGAGATGAGCAGGTGCAGACCTCAGCAGGGCCCCGCAGAAGGCATGGCAGGAGCCCTGTCAGGGACCCCTGGTCTAGGGCTGAGGGCTGCAGAAGGGATAGAGGCAGCCTTGGCTCCCTGGAATAAGAGAGACAGCATTGGCTTTTGCATTAGCGGCAGGGCACAGGACAGGAAGGGCTGGAGGGATCTTGAACACCCAGCAAGGACATGGATGGGGTAAGAAGGGTGGACGGCCCGGAAGGTTTTAGACCCTAAGGAAATGTGCCGCAAGCAGCAGGAGATGTGGAGTCCCGTGAGAAAGGTCAGGACTTGCCACTGGAGCGAGGGCCTGACTGCCCATGGTGAAGACAGTACTGCTACTTCTTACGTCAGGAGGCTCTAGAAGGCATAAAGAGTCTTTCCTTTTTAAATGCTGCTCGAGTGCAACCTGCCCTGCAGGTCTGCAAGGGCAGCTCTCCAAGCCCATCACAGAATCCTAGGCTTTTCCTCACAAAAAGCAATCCCCATGAAGCCAGGGTCCCCACTACCACTGCTGAGAGACTGCAGGCAAAGCAAATGCCACCTGTTCAAGGTCACCAGGCTTACCTTCCCTAGGCCGGCAATCATGGGGGTGTTCTCCGTCCTGTAGGAGACAAGTAATCAGGCAGAGTGAACTCCTATCCAGGAAGGAATCCTGTCTACATGAAAGCCAGTTTAAGTCCAGAGTCACACTTTTCCTGAACATGAGCCTTATGGCACTCTGTGGCAGCAGCAGGTCACAGGGCCCACTGTGGCCAGCACATGCAGGATGTCCACAGTGGCAATCTTATATGGGCCCTTTGCTTTCCAAGAGAAAACCCTCCTCCTCCTACAGGACCCAGCTCATGTCTCTTTGGTCCCCATACCAAAGCAGGGAAGAGCTTGAATGGCCCACTCCCAACACTGTGCCCGGTTACCAGCAGAGGAGGGGGGCAGGGACCCCCAGTCATTCTCACACCCTGGAGCCACACTTTATTTTAGTCATTCTGATAGGGATGTGGTGATGGCCTCATTGTATTGCCTTGGTTTTGGTATTGGGGTGACAGAAATATTGGGGTGACAGAAGCTTCACAGAATGAACTGAAAACCACCTTCTCCATCTGTCAAAAGGCTCTTTCCCCAACTGAACTGATCTGTGTCTCTGTCAAAAGCCATGCAAGAATATTTCTGGCTGTCAATTCTCTTCCATTGATCTGACTGATGGAATTTGAGAAAAACTGAAGTAGGCTTTATATCTCAGTTTTGGGGAGAACCGATATCTTCACTATGTCCAATCTTCCAATCCATGAACACGGGATAGCTCTTATTTGCCGTTGATTTAGTTCATCCACATTGTGTAGTTTTCAGCATGCAAGTCCTGCACACATTGTTAGATATTTATCTGAGTATTTTCACTGTATTTTATTGTCCATCTCTTCATTACTAGTATATAAAAACACATTTTAAAAATATTTGTCTTGTGTCCTGGAGCCTTGCTGAATTTACTTGCTAGTCCTAGAAGTTTTCCAGTACTTTCCCTAGCTCTGATGAGGCCCAGCCTGCCTTCTCCTTTTTGAGGTTTACTTTGTTTCCTTGCTGTGCTATGCTGACTACAACTCCCAGCACTGTGCTGAACAGGCATGTAGACTTGGACATCAGCGCTTTGTTTCCAGTCACAGGGGCGCGGCCCTCAGGTGTGTCCAATGAAAGTACAATGCTGGCTGTCAGTCTCACGCAGAGACCCTTCGACCTCTAATCTGGTTACGCTGAGAGTTTTTAACATGAATCAATTCTGAATATTGTCAAGTGTTTTTTCTGCATCAAATAATACGATCACATTGTTTTTCTTCTTTATTTATTAGTTTACTAACATGATGGATTACATTGATTGATTTTTGAATACTGAACCATACTCATATCCCCAGAAGAAACTCCACTTGATCAGTCTATTATTCTTTTTGGGTATTGCTGAATTCTATTTGCTAGCATTTTGTGAAAGATTTTTGCATCTTTGGAGAAATAGCAGCTTCTTCAACAAAAACTGCTGGGAAAACTGGTTAGCAGTCTGCAAAAAACTGAAACTAGATCCATGTATATCACCCTACACCAATATTAACTCAAAATGGATCAAGGATTTTAATATCAGACCCCAAACTCTAAAGTTGATACAGGAAAGAGTAGGAAATACTCTGGAGTTAGTAGGTATAGGTAAGAACTTTCTCAACAAAACCCCAGCAGCACAGCAACTAAGAGATAGCATAGATAAATGGGACCTCATAAAGCTAAAAAGCTTCTGTTCATCAAAAGAAATGGTCTCTAAACTGAAGAGAACACCCACAGAGTGGGAGAAAATATTTGCCAACTATACATCAGACAAAGGACTGATAACCAGAATATACAGGGAACTTAAAAAACTAAATTCTCCCAAAACTAATGAACCAATAGAAATGGGCATGTGAACTCAACAGAACTTTCTCAAAAGAAGAAATTCAAATGGCCAAAAAACACATGAAAAAATGCTCACCATCTCTAGCCATAAAGGAAATGCAAATTAAAACCACGCTAAGATTCCACCTCACCCCTGTTAGAATAGCCATCATCAGCAACACCACCAACAACAGGTGTTGGCGAGGATGCAGGGAAAAAGGAACCCTCTTACACTGTTGGTGGGAATGTAACTAGTACAACCACTCTGGAAAAAAATTTGGAGGCTACTTAAAAAGCTAGACATCGATCTACCATTTGATCCAGCAATACCACTCTTGGGGATATACCCAAAAGACTGTTACATAGGTTACTCCAGAGGCACCTGCACACCCATGTTTATTGCGCACTATTCACAATAGCCAAGTTATGGAAACAGCCAAGATGCCCCACCACTGACGAATGGATTAAGAACATGTGGTATTTATACACAATGGAATTCTATGCAGCCATGAAGAAGAACGAAATGTTATCATTCGCTGGTAAATGGATGGAATTGGAGAACATCATTCTGAGTGAGGTTAGCCTGGCCCAAAAGACCAAAAATCGTATGTTCTCCCTCATATGTGGACATTAGATCAAGGGCAAACACAACAATGGGATTGGACTTTGAGCACATGATAAAAGCGAGAGCACACAAGGGAGGGGTGAGGATAGGTAAGACACCTAAAAAACTAGCTAGCATTTGTTGCCCTTAACGCAGAGAAACTAAAGCAGATACCTTAAAAGCAACTGAGGCCAAGAGGAAAAGGGGAACAGGAACTAGAGAAAAGGTTAGATCAAAAAGAATTAACCTAGAAGGTAACACCACGCACAGGAAATCAATGTGAGTCAATGCCCTGTATAGCTATCCTCATCTCAACCAGCAAAAACCCTTGTTCCTTCCTATTATTGCTTATACTCTCTCTACAACAAAATTAGAGATAAGGGCAAAATAGTTTCTGCTGGGTATTGAGGGGGTGGGGTGAGGGGGCGGAGTGGGTGGTAAGGGAGGGGGTGGGGGCAGGGGGGAGAAATGACCCAAGCCTTGTATGCACATATGAATAATAAAAGAAAAAAAAGATTTTTGCATCTAAATTCATGAGGGATAGTGGTCTGTAGGTTTTGCTTTGTTTTGTCTTCAGTTTTTGTATCAGGATAATACTAGCTTCAAAAATCGAACCAGAGGACTGGGGAGGTAGCTCAATGCTTGCCTGGCATGCTCATAGCCCTGGGTTCAAAACCATGCACTGCAAAGAAAAAATGAATTGGCAAATGCCCCCTCCTCAAGTGTCCTTCCTCAAGTGCCCCTCCCCTTTATAGCAATAGTTTTATTTAAAACATTTGGTAAAATTCACTAGTGAACTCATCTGGGCTTAGAGATTGGTCTGTTTTGTTGTTTTTGAGACAGTGTCTTGCTATGTAGCCCTAGGCTGGCCTTGAACTCACAATCTTCCCTGCCTCTGCCTCCTGAGTACTGGGATTACAGGCATATATCACCAGGCCCAGGCTCTGCAGACTACTGCTTGAGCCACACCTCCTCCAGCCCTTGGGGAGCTTCATTCTGATCGGATGTTTTCTCTCTTTTTCTTTGTCTGCCTTGCTAGAGGTTTATTAGTTTTATTGATCTGTTCTTCAAAGAGCCAGCTCTGGTTCCCTGGTTGTTTCTTGTTTTTCTGTTTTCAATCCCACTATTTCTGCTCTTACTTTACTTCTTCCTTTCTGTTTGCCTTGCCTTCTTTAGTTTCCTCTTCCAAGTTCTTCAGGGTGAGAGTTTAGATCACTGACCTGACGCTTTTCCTCTTCTCTAACATGTATCTTAGCACTATCAATTTCCCCCTTGGGGCAGGGCTTCTTGGCTCATGGCTGTAATCCCAGCTACTTGGGAGGCAGAGATAAAGAGGATCACAGTTCAAGGCCAGCCTGGCAAAAGGTTAGCAAGACCCTGCTTCAATAAACAAGCCGGCCAGTGGTAGCCACGCCTGTGGCCCCAGCTATGTGGGAAGCCATGAGTAGGAAGATTATGGTTTGAGGCTGGCCATAGGAAAAACTTGAGACCATACCTGAAAAATAACTGAAAGTAAAAAGGGCTAGTGGAGTGGCTCAAGGGGTAGATCGAGCACCTACCTAGCAGGAGTGAGGCCCTGAGTTCAAATCCAGTACTGCCAAAAATAAATTTCTCTAGGCACTGCGTTCACTGTGTGCTGGAAGTGTTGATATGTTGGATCTCTATTTTTATTCTGTTCAATGGATTTGTTTAATTTTCTTAAGACATCCTCTTTGACCCATAGTTTAGAAGTATGCCGTTAGTTTCCAATTGTCTAGAAAACCTGTTATGTGTTAATGACTTATTTGAACCCATTGTGGTGAGAAACAAATAAATACCATATAATTTCAAGTTTTAAATGTATTTAGGTTTGCCAAATGTCACCAAACGTGTTTCCCACGCATATCCATGGTTCTTTTTTTTTTTTTTTTCATTTTTCTTTTATTATTCATATGTGCATACAAGGCTTGGTTTATTTCTCCCCCCTGCCCCCACCCCCTCCCTTACCACCCACTCCACCCCCTCCCGCTCCCCCCCTCAATACCCAGCAGAAACTATTTTGCCCTTATCTCTAATTTTGTTGTAGAGAGAGTATAAGCAATAATAGGAAGGAACAAGGGGTTTTGCTGGTTGAGATAAGGATAGCTATACAGGGCATTGACTCACATTGATTTCCTGTGCGTGGGTGTTACCTTCTAGGTTAATTCTTTTTGATCTAACCTTTTCTCTAGTTCCTGGTCCCCTTTTCCTATTGGCCTCAGTTGCTTTAAGGTATCTGCTTTAGTTTCTCTGCATTAAGGGCAACAAATGCTAGCTAGTTTTTTAGGTGTCTTACCTATCCTCACCCCTCCCTTGTGTGCTCTCGCTTTTATCATGTGCTCATAGTCCAATCCCCTTGTTGTGTTTGCCCTTGATCTAATGTCCACATATGAGGGAGAACATACGATTTTTGGTCTTTTGGCCAGGCTAACCTCACTCAGAATGATGTTCTCCAATTCCATCCATTTACCAGCGAATGATAACATTTCGTTCTTCTTCATGGCTGCATAAAATTCCATTGTGTATAGATACCACATTTTCTTAATCCATTCGTCAGTGTGGGGCATCTTGGCTGTTTCCATAACTTGGCTATTGTGAATAGTGCCGCAATAAACATGGATGTGCAGGTGCCTCTGGAGTAACAGTCTTTTGGGTATATCCCCAAGAGTGGTATTGCTGGATCAAATGGTAGATCGATGTCTAGCTTTTTAAGTAGCCTCCAAATTTTTTTCCAGAGTGGTTGTACTAGTCTACATTCCCACCAACAGTGTAAGAGGGTTCCTTTTTCCCCGCATCCTCGCCAACACCTGTTGTTGGTGGTGTTGCTGATGATGGCTATTCTAACAGGGGTGAGGTGGAATCTTAGTGTGGTTTTAATTTGCATTTCCTTTATTGCTAGAGATGGTGAGCATTTTTTCATGTGTTTTCTGGCCATTTGAATTTCTTCTTTTGAGAAAGTTCTGTTTAGTTCACTGCCCATTTCTTTATTGGTTCATTAGTTTTGGGAGAATTTAGTTTTTTAAGTTCCCTGTATATTCTGGTTATCAGTCCTTTGTCTGATGTATAGTTGGCAAATATTTTCTCCCACTCTGTGGGTGTTCTCTTCAGTTTAGAGACCATTTCTTTTGATGAACAGAAGCTTTTTAGTTTTATGAGGTCCCATTTATCTATGCTATCTCTTAGTTGCTGTGCTGCTGGGGTTTCATTGAGAAAGTTCTTACCTATACCTACTAACTCCAGAGTATTTCCTACTCTTTCTTGTATCAACTTAAGAGTTTGGGGTCTGATATTAAGATCCTTGATCCATTTTGAGTTAATCTTGGTATAGGGTGATATACATGGATCTAGTTTCAGTTTTTTGCAGACTGCTAACCAGTTTTCCCAGCAGTTTTTGTTGAAGAGGCTGCTATTTCTCCATCGTATATTTTTAGCTCCTTTGTCAAAGATAAGTTGCTTATAGTTGTGTGGCTTCATATCTGGATCCTCTATTCTGTTCCACTGGTCTTCATGTCTGTTTTTGTGCCAGTACCATGCTGTTTTTATTGTTATTGCTTTGTAATATAGTTTGAAGTCAGGTATTGTGATACCTCCTGCATTGTTCTTTTGACTGAGTATTGCCTTGGCTATTCGTGGCCTCTTGTGTTTCCATATAAATTTAACAGTAGATTTTTCAATCTCTTTGATGAATGTCATTGGAATTTTGATGGGAATTGCATTAAACATGTAGATTACTTTTGGGAGTATAGACATTTTTACTATGTTGATTCTACCAATCCATGAGCATGGGAGATCTCTCCACTTTCTATAGTCTTCCTCAATCTCTTTCTTCAGAAGTGTATAGTTTTCCTTGTAGAGGTCTTTCACATCTTTTGTTAGGTTTACACCTAGGTATTTGATTTTTTTTGAGGCTATTGTAAATGGAATTGTTTTTATACATTCTTTTTCCGTTTGCTCATTGTTAGTGTATAGAGATGCTAATGATTTTTCTATGTTGATTTTATATCCTGCTACCTTGCTATAGCTATTGATGATGTCTAGAAGCTTCTGAGTATATCCATGGTTCTTGAAAAGACCCTCCACTGCTGTTGGTGGTGGCTGACAGGGACCTGTTGGTGACACCGTGGACTTCTTTCACAACCCTGCTCTCTGTCCAGCTGAGGAGTCCATTGTTGGGAGGGAGGAGGCACCAGAGCCTCCCGCCATAGCCACGCCTGTCTACTTCTGTCCAGCTGCGTCGTGTCCTTGTCGTCTGACACAGAGCCACTCTGCTGAGCTGTCCCCACACTTTCCACCTGCTCTGCCTTGGCGGACTCCCCTCCTGTCCTAGTGTCCCTTCTGTCTCTGGTAATTTCCTTCCCTCCTGCTTCCCTTTGTTTGCATGACCAATCTTTTTCAACCTTCACTTTCTACCAGCCCCTATTATTTAAAGTGTTATTAACACTTATACTGATAACTTATAACTTATTATAACTTATATTAATTAATAGCATATACCAATTTTAAAACGTTTCAATGTGGGCGTGTGGCTCATGCCTGTAATCCCAGCTACTCAGGAGGCAGAGATCAGGAGGATCGTGGTTTGAAGCCAGTCCCAGACAAATAGTTCACAAGACCCTGTCTTGGAAAAAAGAACTCATCATACACACAAAAAAAGGGCTCGCAGAGTGGCTCAAGTAATAAGAGCACCTGCCTAGCAAACATGAGGCCTTGAGTTCAAACCCCAGTGCCACCAATAACAGCAAAATTGGTATATTTAGGAATGGAGGGGTGGCTCAAGTGGTAGAGTACTTGCTTTGCAAATGCAAAGCCAGGAGTTCAAACCCCAGTATCACAAAAAAAAAAGGTATATTTAAAACATTTACATTTAACATGATTATTGATATGGAGGGTTTTGTTTTTTTTGGTTGTGCTGAGGATCAAACCCAGAGCCTCCTGCCTGCTAAGTGAGTGCGCTACCACTGAGCTACACGCCCAACTTCGTTACTCTCTCTTTCTTGTCTTTCTGTGTGAGACTGAGCATTTTGGAACTTTTTTTGGTTTCTATAGTTTTGGGGTGCACCTCTTTGTCTTTTTGTGCTAATAGATGCAGCTTACCAGTTCAAGTGATGTGTGGACATGTCACCTCCTTTCACTAGTTATCCCAACATTTCCTGCGCATCTGCTTACACATCAGACACAGAGTTTTGTGTAAGTCACAGGATATAGCTTAGAGCTCTCAGTGGAGAGGGACTGGCTCATACTTGTGACAATTTCTTGGCTATCCTTCGTCTGACAGGGCCTTGCTTGCCCTGCCCTCTAGGAGCTGATGGTTTTCTCGGATCCCCAGGAAAGTTCTGTGTGCTTCCTTCTGGTCTCCACCGCATTAGGGGAGTAATCCACTTCATTCCAACTGCTTTTCTCCAACTGTAAGGCATCACTTTCCTCTGACTGCTTTCCAAACTTCTTTGTCTTCCATTTTTAGGTTAATTATACGCTTTAGGGTGCATTTCTGTGGGGTTACCCTATTTTTCCTCAGCTTCCTGACATCATGGTATCTTCTGCTAAGTTTGGGCAGCTCTTTCATTCTTCCATAATCGCTTCTAGCTACTTTTCTCCCTGTTCTCCTTCTTCTCCTTCAATCACATGCAGACTACACCAGCGGCTACAGCTTGCAGGTCTCCAAAGCGTGTCCATTTCCTCCCAGTCTGCTTCTGTTTGGATTTCTAGGTGTCACTGACGCTTTCCTCTGCCCACCCCCATCCCTGCCAGGGGCATCCATGTCTATGTGGGCTGCTGTTGTTTTAGTTCTAAAATTTCCAATTGTCCTTTACATTGCTTTCCTCTTTCTTCGGCTTAACTTGTTGCAAGTACGTCCTAATTGCTCAGGAAGCATTTCACTGTGTCTGATGTGAATTCTTCATCAGACAGCTCAAACATCTTGTCATCTCAGTGGAAGCACTGTCAACTGTCCCTTGTCATTCACATTGAGATCTTTCTAGTTCTGGCATGGTGAATGATTTCCAGCTGGAATCTGGACACGTTCACATTATGTGATGAGAGTCTGGATTTTATTTAGCCTCTGTTTTTCCTGGCTTTCTTGGACTCTGCTCTAGCAGGGGCAGAAGTGTGCCATCTCACAGCTGGCAGAAGAAGTTGAAGTTCAGCCCCTTATTTGGCCTGTGTTGACACTCCAAGAGGGGATGCATCTTGTTACTGATGTGTGGTGGACATCCAGGGTCCCTTTTGGTCGCTAATGACACTGTGCTGTGGGTACCTCGTTAGTGGGGGCAGGGATGGCTTCTCTGACAACCTGGTGGGGCTGCAAGGCATCTCATTACAGCCTGGGTGGGTAGAAGGCTAGGCTTCCCACTCAGTCTTTGCTGGTGTGGCTGGGGGACAGCACAGTTTGTCCCATGGTGATCAGCTAGAACAAAGCAGGTATTGTCTGAGCTTGTCTCTTTCCTAATTTGTTGGCTAGGAAGAGCGGGCTTTGGTTGGGGCATTTGTCTGCCCTTATTGCTGTTTCTGGATTGCTGGCTTCTTTAGTTCTAAGTTTGAAATATAGAGGCAAAAAGAAAATCCAGGGAACCCACCACCACACTGTTTCTGTTTCTACTTCTGTTATGAGGTTTTTGACAAAGTGTGGTGCTGACATCAACTAACTTCCTGATTAAAGCATCACTGTACATAGTGGGCACACAGGGGCTAACAGAAAAGAAACCAGGGCATCTCTTTGTGGCCTGCTGAGCCCACAGAGAAGACAATAGTGACACATCTCAGCCACACAGGGTTCAGCAACATGTCTTTAGTGGGCCAAAATAACAAGGGAATTGAATCCCTGAAGCCCTCAGAGAGACTTTCTTCACGGGCTTTGAGTCACCCCAAAGAGACTGCAGATTTGTGAGTCCTGAGTGTAGAAATGATGGATAATGCCAATTCTGGTGTAGCAGAGTAGTGTGTGGACTTTGCTTCCAGAGAACAGAAACAGCCAAATGTCACTGCCCTACAGACAAGGGCATGGCCAGTAGTCAGAGACTTCGTTAACTTTCTACCTTACCCTGGCCTGAAATTCCGTTCTTGTCCACCTCCAAACAGCATAGGGTACAGGGGGGTAAGTTTACCGAGCCCTCGTACGTAAAGCGCACCAATCCTGGGACCATAGAACTGGAAGGAAAAGTCAGTCATTTACTCAGTGAGAAAGTCAGGACCCCCTGCTTGTATGCTAAGTGCTCAGAGGTGTGCGGAATGCGCTGTGGCACAGCCCTGCTCCCTGTGCCCCTCTGCTTTCTGCCTGTCACCGCTTCTGATGTGCTGGAGTCAGGTCCTTGTGTCCAGGGCAGAGCCCCAGCCCTGGGAAAGCAGGTACTGGGCACTCACTCCAGTGCTGTGGTGGGCAGAGTGCCCTGCACATCATACAACAGGATTTGTGAAAGGAGAGGGGTTGGCACTAGAGATACAGAGGGCTGTTCCTGCGTTTGGTTCCACGTCTCCAATTGATATGAGGTGAAACTGCTAAGTGCCACACTCAGGATCAGGCCTGAACGTGCACTTTCCTGGAGACCAGCTGAGACCTGTGCTTAAAATAGAGCACAGAAGTGTGGGGTGTGGCTCGCCTAGTAAGCACAGGGTCATGAGTTCAATGGTCAGTACTGCCAAATAGAGAATAAAAACATTTCAGGTGCTCCTTAGCCGCCAGGAGGATAATCGAAGGCTCCACCTTAAAGACAAGAGTTGCTGAATCTGAAACTCCATGTTGAGGAGACACGTTTTAATCAAGTTAGAGAAAGCAACACTTTTTGACCCCCATATCTTCTGAGGTGGGGTCCTACGTGTGGCTGACAAGGTCTCTGTCTATGCCTTCCCCAAGACAACATCCACTGCCTGCTAAACCCACCTGCCTCCCATCTCTCAGCGCCCTCCATGGCCTCTCCACTCCCCCACCCCCACTCTGCATGGACTCGGATGTCTCATTCCCTGCTGTGGCACTCATCAAATGGCATCCTAGCTCCTAAGGACAAGGACTACAAGGTGCCTGTCAGAGACCCCAGGCCATGGTCACAGCAGGCACTTGGGGCTTACTGGATGCCAGGGGCAGTCAGCAGTGCCTTTGAGGCAGCGAGGCCTCCCCACAGGAGGGAAGGAGCCTCTGCAGATGTACCTTGTGCCCCACGATCGTCAGGAAGTCCACGCCCAGGTCCTCCACATCCACACGCCTTTTCCCCAAGGCCTGAGCAGCATCCGTGTGCATGAGAATGCGAGGCAGACCACACGCTGTCCGCCTCTGGTTCAAGGCTTTGATGCGCTGGCTGATTTCAGGGACAGGCTGAAGGGGGAAGACAAGAAAGCAGAGCGTGAAGACATGAGCCAATGAAGACAGACAGAAAGTTGCAGAATTGGAGACCGGAGAAAAAGAAGAGGCCATGCTGAGAAGCACGAAAATACTCCACTATAAGCACCTTTCCCCACAGGATTTTCTTAAAAAGAATGAAAGGCCAACTCACCATGATCACGCCAGTCTCATTATTGGCCAGCATGATGGTCACGAGGCACGTGGTGGGGCGGACAGCTGCAAGGATGTCCTCAACCTCTGCCTGCCCATTCACCTTGGACACTGGGACAAAAGTGACCGCTGAGGCACAAAACACACATACCAAGGTTAACCATAAACCTTTACTTCACAATTATAAGCTTGTACAATTATAAAGAAAATGTGTGTCCACTGTGCAGCTCAGCCCTCAGGCTGTCGTCATAGCAGCAGGGATCTGAGTGTGGGTAACTGCAAGCAGGCCTGCATCCGAGATTGTAACAGGGTTAGCCACAGAGCAGATCACTAGAGACAGCTCAGAGGGGCCTCCTGGGGCCAGAACAATTTTCAGAGGCTTTCAAAAAAAACAGTACTGTGGACAGGTTCATATGCAACTGGATTAGACTCTGGAGCACCTGAGCCCCAACAACTAGCAGTCAGCTCACAGTCAGTAGAGTCCAACAACTAATCCAATGCCAGCAGCAGATACCTAACAAGGAAAGTGGGAACAGGGACAGTCAGTGAGAGCCCTGTTCAAGCCACTGCCATCTCAGGACAAATATGCACAGGTCCCAGCTTCATGCTGAAACCTGCAATCAGCAGGCTGTCAATGTGGGAGAGAGAGGCTTCTCCAAATCTTCAACAAGACACCAAACAGACTAGCCAACAACAAAAACCGTGAGCATCAGGAGGAGCATCAAATTCACTTTCCAGAGCTGTTCAAATGTAAAACCTAAGATGTACAGACAGCTCCAATAGTCACATTAACATCATGTAAAACAGCCTTGAAATTTTAAATGTTACTAGAGATGAAGAGGGATATTTTATAATGGTAAAAGAGTCAATTCTTCTAGAATATGTAACAAATACCAACACACATGTTACCTAACAACAGAGTCCAAGACACATGAAGCAAAAGCTGACTGATTCTAAGGGAAAATAGAGAACTGATCAATAATATTTGGATAGGCAATTTTTTTTTTATGGTACTGGGGCTTGAACTTAGGGGCTATACCTTGAGCCACTCCACCAGCCTTTTTTGTGATGGGTTTTTCAAGATAGGGTCCCACGAACTATTTGCTCAGGCTGGCTTTGAACTGTGATCCTCCTGACCTCTGCTTCCTGAATAGCTAGGATTACAGGCGTGAGAAAAATTCTCCATAAGCCGGGTGTCAGTGGCTCATGCCTGTAATCCTAGTGACCCAGGAGGCAAGATCAGGAGGATTGTCAAGTACAGTTATTATATGACCCACAGTTCTGCTCCTAAGTATAAACCCAAAAGAAATGAGAATGAGTATCATAAAAACTTACAAGCAATTGTTCCTAGAAAAAATATTCGTAATAGCCCTCAAAGGAAACAACCCGAATGCCTGTCAACTGACGAATAGGCCAATAACACGCAGTACATCAGTACAGTGGGATACTTACCTGTCCACAAGCTGGAGCATATCCTGGGCTCTGTCCAGGCTGTGTCAGGAGGCTGGTCTAGGCCAGTGCCTGTGCTCACTTACCGGCCATTTGTTCTTCCACGAGGTGTTCCAGGGGCAGGCGGATCGAGTCGTGTTCCACTGTGCAAGTGATGAAATGGGGCTTGGTCCCATCCCCAGGACTGTGCTGCTCAACTGTGTCCCCCTTTGAGGCTTGGTTTTCGTGGAACTGTTTCACCACAGACTGGATTACTAAATTATTTGACTGCAGAGATTCAGCAGAAAGAGCTTTTACAAAAAACAATCTTGGTGGAAGAGACAAAGCAACAATCTCTCATTTGCTACTCTTTGTGGGCAACATTTAAGCAAAAAATAGCCCAGAAGAACTTCAGCCTGTGAGCTGTAGCTTTTGAAAGATTTGGAGGGTTCAAACTTTCAAAAATTTGAAGACTTATTTCTAGTCAGGCATGCCTGTGTTGTTGCTGAGCAACATTTTAACATTACAATTTTCTAACTCTGTCAGAAGAGCATTTTGCCCCTTGCTGGAGGACCCTTAAACTGGACATGAGGGCCTAAGGGATTTATCACTTGATGTCCAGCCTGTGGACACCATGTGAGGTAAAACACTGGAAAAGGCTCTGTGCTGAGGGTGAAAGTCCCAAATGTTAACAAAAGAAGGTGGCGAGCCTTCCTTGATATCCTACAACTTGTCCAGAAAGAGGAAAACACATACACATCTGAAAAATAATCCTCAAGAAGGTAAAATGGGAAGAAGAAAAGCAAATTCAGATCTACACACTCACACTTATTTGCTCCCTGGAGGGCACAAAGTGAATAAACACTGTCTCCTGTGGGGGTTGGAAGTGAATGAGGGAATGGGGAGGGAGAAGACTTTAAAAAACCCACAGCCTTTTCCTGCATTGTTAAAAGGCACAGACAACTGTAAAAAACATAAGCATCTGCTTTAGTGAGAAAACCAGGTTACTAGACACCCACACCTGGCACTCTACCCCGCCCCCCCGCCCCACATTTTCCTGATGCTGGCATCTTTGCTCTTCTTTACACTTTTCCTCCCTACACAGTCCCTTAATGATACTGTTTTGTGTCTTTGGCCTTCATGAATGGAAAGGAACTGAATTTTCTTTTCACTCCAAGTTTGGGCCTATTTGAGTACAGAAAATCTCACAATGGGACCTTGTTAAATGTAGTACTGAGCCAATAGAAACCTCTCATTCTTCCCGGGTGTGCTCCAAAGACTCAAGATGCCCCTGGTCCATTAACAGGTCAACCTGGGGGAGGGCTGAGGATGATAGTGTTCCACCTGGATGCAAGAGGTCTCAAATTAAATGAAGGTAAGGAGCTGGCCAGGGATGGCAATCAGATGGGCTTCTTACAAGTCCCAGCTCATCATTGCCCAGAAAACCCTAATGCCCAGCACAGTGACTCTGGGTCCAGAAAAGAGAGGCCTTTGAGGCTCCGTGTTGCTGCAGTGGCCCTGCTGGCTCACATCAGGGGTCCCTTTGGTCACGCAGCATCCAAAGGTTGCAGTGGATGGTAGCACAGGTGATCCACATGATAGCTCACTATCTACAGCTAGGACATCAGTCCTGAGCTCTCCCGGTGCCCTCCCCTCACCACCCTCAGTGGTTGCTGAGAACAGGTACAGGACCCACTGGCCACAGAATTCTGCCCTTCCCAAGAAAACCATATCGCAGCACAGTAGCCACGGGTTGGAACCAGTGGATCAGACCTCAAAACACACCCTTGTCCTCACAGGCCATGTCATTCCATGGCACCTGGACCAGATGAAAACCAGGAGAACAGCTAAGAGCAGGTATGGCTGAGGTGGCTCCTACTAGGGAGTCTGTTTTGGCCACTGAGGCCACCACGCCCAGGGTCCTGGAGGCATACTCAACCTCCATACTTGCCGTGCTCTGCTCTACCAGGACAGACTTACTCATGTGACTCCCTCCTTCCCCCTGGCCATGCAAGAGCCACCCACCCTGTTGCAGAGCTGGAGGTGCCCTGTGCACCCTGCATCATCAGGTGCTAACATCCACACATTCTCACTGAAGCCTGTGTGGCCTGTTCCAGTTCTGGCTGTTACAAACAAGGCTGCTGTGAGCATCTTTGTGTCTGTTCCCTTGTGGAATGACTGGCTGGCAGGCCACACAGGACTTGAGCCTCACCAGGTAACTCCCCACAGGATTGTCCCGTTCCCACTCCTGTCACAGTATTCCCCAGCAATGCCTAGCCTCGCTGGAATCAGGTCTGCCGACCTGGTAGGTGGAGGGGTGCTTGGTTGCTGCTCCTTGCTCAGATTACTGAGGCCTAGGGCTTCATGTGTGGGCTCCTTGAGCAGGCGGATTCCTGTCTGGCCCATTTTCCTACTGGATCATCTGCCTGTGACAGCTGTCTGTGTCTTCACTCTGCACGATGGTCCTGTATCAGCTACTTGTAGCAAATACCTTCTCCTGCTGTCTTCCCTTCTTCAGTGTTCTTTGATGACTTGAAGTTTGTTTTGTTGTGATAGAATTCAAGGTTTCCCTTTTTTTGGTTGGGGGATGGGAGCCTTGCTCCGTAGCCCAGGCTGGACTCAAATCCACAGTCCTCTATCTCAGCCTCCCAGGTGAGTGTTTTTTGTGATTTATCTGAGGGGTCCATCTCTCTTAAGCATCACGATGATATGAACTTAGACCTACAAGCTTCGTGAGTCTTACTGCTCACAGTTTGCTATTCATGCCATTTTTCTGCAGTACCTTTTCTTTGTGGTTACATGTTGTCCCAGCACCGCTGGCTGAAGAGGTCATTCTTCCATACTGCACCAGTGCCCTCCCTCCATCTACATAAGGATCTTATGAAATTTAAGAGCAAGAGGGCACTGGTACACCTGTGCCAGATGACAACTGTACTGGACCATCCTGGGCCGGCAGGACACGTGGTTACCCTCTTGTACGCGTGCACTCTGTCTCAACCCACTGTCTCCTTGCTGGAAAACCACTGCCTCTCACTGCAGCCTTGCTTTCTGTACAGTAGACCTCTCACTGCGGTCTCAATCTTCCGAAGTCTTGATTATTCTTGACCTTTTGTGTTTCTATATAAATTCATCTGTGAGAGTCCACCAAAAAGGAGGAGAATTTTGATGGAGGCTGCCCTGAATCTGCACATCACTTTGGAAAGAACAGGAAGGTTTATAATAACTGAGTCTTTTTTGATTCGTGAACATGGCATATTGACCATTTATTCAGAGTTTCCTTGAGGGCACTCAGTAATATTTCAAACTTTCCTGGTGGGTCTTACAAATTTTTTTTACTACATTGATTTCCTAAGTAGGTGACATTTTCGATGTTCTAGTAAAAACCTGTTTGTTTCTGGCATATAAAAATCCAATTAATTTTGCTACCAAAAACTTTGCTACACTCTAACAAGCTGTGAGGATTGTAGCAAGTTGTAGCAACTGCACTTCTCCTGAGTGTTCACTTTGTATCTTCCTGAGGAAATGAGAGGGTAAGTGTTACTACTAACTAGCAGAGGCACAGTCTGTGCTCATCTCAGGGTAGAGTGTCTTGGACTAACTTCTCTTATTATTATTATTTTTTTACCTTTACTTACTGTTTTTTTTTTGGAATGTCTTCTATCAGTTTAAAATGAGTTCCTTTGAGATGGGGCAAACAATTAAGGATTCAAAGGAGTGACTCCAGGGAAAAACGAGGGGAAATTTTCCTGCGATAGCAATACAAGGCCAGTCACTTTACACGTGGTACCAGCCACCTGAAATTATCCCATTTGCAGGATGAACACTGTGCAGGCTAACTATGTCAAGGTAATTGTCAAATAGACAAGATTCTTCTTCTTTCTTTAAAAAAAAATACCTGGGCACCGGTGACTCAGAGCTGGAATCCTAGCTACTTGGGAGGCTTAGATCAGAAGGATCACATTTAGTTCTCAAGACCCAATCTCCAAAATAACCAGAGCAAAACAGACTGGCAGAGTGGCTCAGGTGTAGAGTGCCTGCTTTGCAAGTGTGAAGTCCTACCAAAAAAACCAAACAAAGCAAACCAAAACAAGAGCAAGCTACCTTCTATAATATATTGCACCTTCAGCTCAAAGAATGTGGTTGTGAGAACTTTACCTCAGTGCCCCCAGAAGTGAAGATGATGTCCTGAGCCTTCCCGCCTATCATCTTCGCAAGGGCTTCTCGCGCAGACTTTATAACGTCCTTGGCCCTTCTACCTTGAAAGACCAAAAGGGTTCATCACCATTGTTTCATTCAGTCCTAGGGCTCATTGAGCAGAACGGCCACGTGGAAAGCAGAAGGGATCTGGGTGAGCAATTCTAAGAGGAAAGCTGTGTGCCTGTCCATGTGAGCTGTAATACCACACTCCCATCTTGCATGACTCGGCAAAGGGACAGCAGTAAGATGTTAGCAAGTCAGTGATGACTACTGAGGTCTAAGGAACCTAGTGGGAGCCAGAAACAATGCAGAAGCCACCTGGGAACACAAGGTTCCCTGTGGCATGGCTTTCCTCTTACCAGGTCAAGGGAAGCTGTGGCCATCTGCCTGGCTTCCCTCCCATTCATCAACACAGGAGAACAAAAGGATGCAAGGATTTGCTTAAGATCACACTGCAAAACAGCAATATAGCAAAACAGAACACATGAAGCCCAACCTCACTTCTCACATCTCAGCATGGCCTCGGGGCAGTATGGAGGAAGGCTCTGTGTTGAGAGGCACCTGCTCTGAGAGAGCCATGTGCTCCCCAGTGACTGCCCAGCTCCACTGCACAGGAGGGAAACTGAGGAGATGGCTCTGTGGCAGAGAAAGAAAGGATTTAGAGGTAATTACAAAAGCTTCAGTGACTGTTCTTAGTCAACAGACCATTTACCTCTAAACTTTTTTGACTATTCAATCTTATTTGTTAAAACAATTTGAGCAGGCACTACTCAAAAATATATTGTAAAACATCATAAAAAATAGAAGTGTAGGCCAGACATGATGGCTCGAGCCTATAATCCCAGCTACTGGGGAGGCAAAGACCAGGAGGATCACAGTTTGAGACCAGCCTGTGGGAAAAAGTTTTCAAGAGCTCATCTCAACAAATAAGCCATGCATGGTGGTGATCCCAGCTGCACCAGAGGCACAGGTAGCAGGATCTTGGTCTGAGGCCAGCCCCTGGCAAAAAGTGAAAGGCTCTATAACCTAAAACCAAAAGGGGTGGGGTGTGGCTCAAGTGGTAGAGCACCTGCCTAGCAAGGCCAAGGCCCTGAATTTAAAAAAAAAAAAAAAAAAAAAGAGGTGAAAATAAACACTTAACGCCATCTCACACTCCTTACACCATCGTATAAAGCAATGGGATCAGTGGGGCTTAGGAAAGCCCGGTAGTGTACTTAGTGATCTGGCAAAAGGGCTGCACTGACACCTGGGCACAGGCTCTTAGCTCCACTTGGAGCCCCCAGTGCCACCCACCACATGGGTCCCCTTCATCCCTAAGAGGCGAGGAGGAGCCTCTTGATTCCTTCAATGCCCCGCCCACTTTCCTCCCAGGACAGCCGCCTCTGTCAGCTATCAGCCGGCTGTGGGCTTCCTAACTTCCCCTGGGCATGGCAAGACCATCACCACTGTTATTGGTGTCAAGGAGCCGAGGTGAGGCAGGAGGCTAGCGAGGGGCACCTTCTCCTTTCTTCCTCCTTCTTGCCACACCTGCGACATGAACATGAAAGGTGGAGCTGGAGCAGCCTTCTTGACCACCAGGGGCAAGCTGGGTTGGAGGACAAAGGGACAAGATGCAAGGAGCCAGCCCTAGAGTAGGAGAGCACCGCATAGGCCCTGGGCTGCATGAGGAAAACTGCGAGGCCCCTGTGATTTTGGGTTTTCTGTCTCTCACAGAAAAGCTATAAAATACATTTTCTTAGGCAGAGGAGGGAGAGCATTAAACCATGCCACACACCTGCCCTGTATAATAACACACTTTCCCACATGAGCTAGTCGTGGCCGTGTCTTTCTAGGGCACTAACAGAGCCCACCCCTTGGCTTTGGCAGGGTGCAGAAGTCTGCTACAATCTGGTACTGACCACTGACCACCGACCCTACCTTTAGTGCTTCAAGCAAGTTGTGATATATACCTCCTCAGACCTCCTCCATGTTTTCCTTCAAAGATTTTAAATCATAATGCTATAAAAATAATTAAGTCAATAGTCACATAAAGTGATTTTCTTGTTTTTTCTCCCCATTTCTTCCTGAATATTAATGGAAAGTGAACCAGGACACATTTTTTCATTAATTTGAGAAAACAAAGCTGTGAAGGCAGTGTCACTGCCATGACAGAGTTCCTCCTGGCCATGGCTCCCCTGCTCCCTGAGCTTCTCCAGCGCCTTCTCTCCTCAGCAGCTAACTGTACTCCATATTCTCAAGTTCAACCTCTGACGTCAGAGGTTCAGCTTCACTAGGGGAGATTAGATCCAGCAATGTCCAGAAGATGAGGCAAGAGCTCAGTTAATGAATAACTGGCACTGGATGGTGAAAGTTTGGTGACCAAGTTGCTGTAAAGCTTTTAATAACCAAGTGGCTATAAAAACTCACTAAAGCCTGTCAGGCTGTACAAAGAATATTCTGTTTATTAAATACTCTGCTTAAAAAGTTATTTTAGCTCACCACAATCCACAGTTAAGATGGTTTATTAAATGAGAAAGGTAAGACAAGTCTATCTGAAAAGCATGATGCAATGCTGCCATGTAACTACTGACTTGCAGCAAATTCTGTTCCAAAATCTCGCATGTAAAGCTCAATATTACAAAAATAAATCAAAAAGGAATAAGATTATTTATAATTATAACTAAGAAACTTAAAGGTAACTTCCATTTTTAAAAAAGGTAAGGAACAGCTGGGTGCCAGTGGCTCACACTTGTAATCCTAGCTACTTGGGAGAATTGAGGCCTGCCCAGCAAATAGTTTTCAAGACCCCATCTCCAAAAAGAGAAAAGCAAAATGGACTGGAGGTGTGGCTCAAGTGGTAGAACGCCTGCTTTGCAAGGGCAAAGTCCTCGACTTCAAATCCCAGTCCCACAAGAAACAAAACAAAACAAAAGGCCAGAATTCTATATGATCCTGATTTGAAGGACGTATTTGCAAAATCGAACAGAAGGACTTTACAAACAACTCTTAAGCTATCTTTTCCAGCCGGGGCAGGGAGAAGAGTTTGTTAAAGAGCAAGTGTTAATTAAAGGTTAGTTATGGCATCATGGAAGCTATAATGACACATGGGGACTTCTCAGAAAAAAAATGACCACAATTACAAGTGGAGACTTGCCTTCACGGAAATCCTATCCCAACAAAGCCATCAAATGTGGTGTTCACTGTCCTGGGAGCCTTGTCCCCACTGTCCCCTGCGTGGGCAGCTGCCTCTCATTACCTGCTGTGTAAGAGCTGCTGGGATTCCCCCAGGCTTCCTGCATGGCCTCGGTCACAGCCTGGATGACTTCTGGCTCCAGGGGAGTTGTTGCGTTGTAGTCCATGTACACCTTCCTGGCAGAGTGAAAGGGAAGCGCCTATTAAGGAAAGGAGTTGGAACGTGGGGACAGCTGCTCTTTGTGGCCTTGCTAGCAGGAGCAAGTCATGCCCAGGCAGGGCAGCCCCAGGTGCACACTGCTGGCCTCACACAGCACAGCTTTCCTTCCTGATTCTAATAACCTGGAAATGACAAGTCCGGGTCTGCCCAGATGCTCAAAATTTCCTTCTACCTCTCAGTAGGGAGTGAAGGTCGGTGGGCCTGGCTTACCCACCTGCCAGCTGAACGGACAGATGTCATCTAGTCCTCCGGTGGGAGGAGTCTGCAGGCTGCAGGCCAGGTAGCACACATTCCTGCTAGGATTTCCTGTTTGCTTTTTAACTCCAGTCAGCCATGTCCCTTACTCTGCTGTCCCTGCCCCCTGCCTGCTACCACACCATGCTGGCCCTTGTGCTCTTGCACTTTCAGGGTTTCTTTCTTTCTTTTTTTTTTTTTTTGTCAGTACTGGGGTTTGAAGTGAGGGCCTCACACTTGCTAGGCAGGTGCTCTACTGCTTGAGCCCTCCACCAGTCCTCCCTCCCTCCTTTCCTTCCTTTTTGAAGCAAGATCTGGCTGTGTTGCCCATGCTGGGCTGGAGTGCGTGATCCTCCCGCCCGCCACCCCATTGCTGGAATTACAGGCTGCACGTTCAGTTTTCTTTCCCTAGAATGACCCTGATCCCTAGCCCTACCTTATGTTTTTAAGTTTTTCTAAAGAACCTTCACAGCTCTATATGAAACTGCAACTCCCACCCCCACCCAGCACTTCAAGTCTCCCTCCCTCCTTTCCTCCCTCCCTAGTCTGCTAGGGAGACCATGTGACTTGTCTAGTGCCCATCTCCCCAGAGCAGCACAAGTGCAGTCTGCAGGCTCTGTCTGTGTCCTCCTGCTGCCACAGCCTGGGGGCTTGGCTTATGAAATGACAAAGTAAATGCCACAGAAAGGTGGCACACACAGAAAGTGTGGACACAGAAAGACCGCTCATGAAGTTGTGTTTATCTGTGCATCTTTTAACCAATATCAGAAACCTTCAGAAATACATATGGTTGGTGATCACTTGGTTTGTAAGTTAAAGACATTGTTTCAACCACTCCTTGGGGAAACAAATACAACCACTAACTGTGGCTGTTAAGCCATAGAGTGACTAGGACATGTTGTAGCTGTAATGTACCATCTTTGCTCTAAGTTGAGCACGTCATCCAGCAGATGCCAGGCTTTTTAATGTTTCACAGATGCCCTTGGCCACTCTGTGACTGTTTGGAAAGTCCAGGGATTCTCCCATGCTCCTGGGATTTTGGATGTGCCCTGAAGTCCACGCTTTCCTGAATGCCTCTAGCCAGCTAGCTTCAATCTGCTGGTTGGCTGTTAATCTAATTACAGATTACTTGGTTCCATATTTTCTACTTCCTTAAGTGCTATCAGTATTGGATGGGAAGCTAAACTCTCTCCCAACCAGAAGCAGAATGTCTAATGAAGACAATGGTGGGGTTATTTAGGCCTGTCCCCACTCACAACCCCAGACTTTTGATCCTGCTGTGTCAGTCTCCTGAGTGCCAGGACTGCAGGTGTGTGCCCCCGTGCCCAATCTGGCCCCAAATTTTTAAAGTGAGACACACACACACACACACACACACACACATCCCACCTCACACTCATCCTGGGCACAGGTACGGGATTATTAAAAAAAAGTGGGAGTGGGTGGGTGGGATTAATTTAGCATTCCTGGGTTGGAGAGGGAAGACCCAGACAAGAAAAGGCACCCCCTCTTCCTCCCGGCCTTGGGGAGGAGGATCCAGAAGGCTGAAGCAGCAGTGTGGACACCTAGCGCCTGCTGGGTAGCGGCTTGGGGGTTGTGAGGATTGGGGTTGGGGGTTTGGGGGTTGGGCTTGGGGGTTGGGAGGGTGGTGTCCCCCTAATTCTGACTTTCCGGGTGCTCAGGCCATGAGACCGCCGTCTCTACCCCTCCTCCCCTCTACAGCGCACGGGCAAATCTTGGGGATCCACACCGCCTGCGTCCGAGAGGATCACAGGAGCGTCCGCTGGCCTCCTCCTGGCCCCGTCCCACACCCACCGCGGGCCACTCCTCGGGAGGCGGCACGGGATCCTTTGAAACGGAGCTGCATCACGCCCCAGCCTGCCCGCGCCGTCCCCGCGGGCGGGCCCCGGCCCTAGGCCCTGGAGGGCTTCCCGGAGGAGGGCGCCCCGGCCTCCACTCACTGCGCACCTCTCCCGCGGGTTCTTCTCTTGGCAGCCTCCGGGCGGACTCGCTGCGCGTCCCCGCGCGTCCCTCCTCGGCACCGCGGCCGCCTCCATTCCGGCCCTGGTCGTCCACCCGCGGGACTCGCGCGGCGACGGGCCCCGAGTACCCGCTGTGCCCCGGAGCGCGCGGGGTGAGGCGGAACGCGAGGCCTGGGGCGTGTACGGACAGGCCGATTGGCAGGTTCTCAGCCAACCCAAGCTCTCCAAGGGGCCCGCCGTGCCCCGCCCCCAAGAGGCAAGGCAGGCTGATTGGCTGCTCGGGGTCAGGTGACGATGGGGGCGGAACCCGCGTGTCACCGAGGCCCGCTGTCAAGGGCTCGGGCCTGGCGGAGCCTGGGCGCCGCGGGGCCCGCGAGGAGCCGGCGCCTGACGGGACCCCGGTGCCCCGGTTTCCGTCGCAGCGCCCGCCTCCCCGCTGGGCTGTCGGGCGGTGACGCCGTGGGGGAGGAAGACGGCCTGGGGGCGCGGTGCAAGGCAGCGCCGGCGGTTTGTCACGCGGACAGCGAGTCCCACATCCGGGGCCTTGGGCCGCTCCGTTGGGTGACTTTCGGGGGTCGAGGGTGCTCTGGAGGGGGTCCGAGCAGAGGCCGTTACTAAGCAGCGGGTGGGGTCAGGAAGGGCTCCAGGGTGAGGTCCGGGCAGGGGAGGAAAGGACCGTCCAAGTATGGAGGGCGCTGGGACCTTTCTCGGGGTCGGGGCGATGTGCGGTGAGATGTCTGCTAGACGGCGCGGGGAAAGAGCACCGCTCAAAAGACCAAAGTCATCCGTGAAGCCGAGAAAGGCAGGCTCCAGGTCCTCCCGTCGTAGTGGACACGTCCGCCATCTGTCCTGTGGGCTCCGCGCCAGCCCCTGCTCGTCCATTTTCACGCTGCCCTCATTTAATACTGGTAAGTGTGCTGTCAGGAAGACGCTGAGGCACTACCTTGCCCAAGTTCACACAGGTAGCGGTGAAACCAGAATTTGCCAACAGGTTGAATTGGTCCATGTTAGGTCCTGTTGGGTCCAGAAGAACTTGACTTGCCCAGCACAGCAGGTTCCATGGTCCGCACTCATTTCCTCTCGTTCTCACCTGCAAAGTGAGCTCGTCTCTTGTCAAGTTCAGCCGATGCCGAGGTAGCACAGAAGCTCAGGCCATCAGAGGAAAGCCAGTTGGGAAGGATGTCAGGTGAGAGTGAGGAGTTCGGTCCAGAGGTCAGTGCTGACCTGCGCCAGGGAGCAGGCACTGGGGGACTGGGATGGAGGGACAGGAGCGGGGGAAGGTGAGTGCAGAGCTGAGGAATGAATGGGACACAGAGGAACGGAAGATGTGGTCAGTTCTGAAAAGGTGAGAAGTCAACAAGACGACCAGATTCAGGGGGAATAGACGTGTGCTTGTCAGCTGAAGAGGTAGCTACCAGAAGGGGGGCAGAGACAGAAGAAAGAGCCTGGTCCTGGAGAGCAAAGCTGGGTGAGGAAGGTGAGGTGAGGTGAGTTTCACCCTCCATCTGTTTGGAAGGCTGGAAGGAGCCCAAGGACAACTGGGAGGGTGACTCAGCACAGGTGCTCCGTGGGCCAAGTCAGCAGCAGTGAGGTTTGTTTGCAGAAGGACATAATGAGTGTAGTGGTGGCCAACACAGCTGGGCAGAAGACAGACCACAGTGCTAGCATCAGGACCGTTAGCTGAGGGAGCCCAGAGGCTACCTATTCCACCTCACCCCCACTCTGCCTAGAGTTGGTGCAACAGGCATGAGCAGTCACCACCATCCCAGGTTGATGGCCTGTCATTCATCTATAACTGAAACTGAAAACTCAGGGACTAAGGGGGAAGGTAGAGTACAGAGAACTTTTAGGGCAGTGAAACTATTTTGCATATTACAATATACGTTAAGTATTTATCAAAACTCAGAATGTTCATATATGAAAATAGATGAAGCCTGTTGAAATTGTTCTAAGAAGGGAAGGAGGAGGAAAGAGGGAGAATGACAGAAGGTGTAAATCTAGGATATGTCCTAAGCACATATGTAAGTATCACATGTACAAATATTATATGCTAATAAAAAAGGGGAGAAAACTCAGACCAAGACTAAACCCAAATGCAAACCCTGGACTGTGACAACGGTGACTGTGTAGGCTCATCAATTGTAACAAGTGCATCACTGAAGTTGTTGACAGTGGGGGTGGTGGTTGATGTATGGGGATGGAGATGTGGTAACTGTACACTTTTGATGATGTGAACCTAAAATTGCTAAAAAAAAAAAAAGACTATATTTTAAAACGTTCAAGACAGGCTGAACAGGACAGGCACAGGGGTGCACTGGGTTGTTCACCCACACACAGATGGAAGGACAGCTGGGCTCATTCCAGTTTACAGCTATCATGAGTACAGTTGCTGTGAACACTAGAGAAAAGCTGGAAAAAATTCAATTTTCTGGTAAACTGTCCAGGAATGTAGGAGCTGGGCTGTGACCACTGTCTGCTCCCCTCAGCTCTGTTTTAACTCCATGCATTCTGAGCGTTCCTTTGGTGCAGGCACATTTAGGATTGCTAACTTCATCTTCTTGGTGATGAGTCTTTTGTTATCTAATATTCTTCTGTCTCTGACTTTTTTTCTGAAGACTAAATGATCAGATATTTATTTAGTCACTGCTGCTTTTCATATGCATATGCATACAATGTTTGGGTCATTTCTCCCCCCTTCCCCTACCCCTCCCTTACCTCCCCTTCCCCCACCCCTCCCTTACCCCCCCATCCCTTCCTCTCCCCACTGCTGCTTTTTTTTAGAATTAAAGTTTGCATGTTGTATGTTTTTGTCCTTTTAATCTATAAGTGTCTTTGAATTTGATGACTGTTTCTTCTAAGCAGCATATAACTGTCTTTCGATCCACTCTGTCAATCTTCATCTTTTTGTCTATTTGGACCATTTACACGTGAGAAATTATTACCTTTTTCTTTGAAACAGGATCTTGCTATATAGCCCAGATTGGCCTCAATCTCACTGTCCTCCTGCCTTAACCTCCTGAGTGCTAGAATTGCAGGCGTGGTACCACACTCAGCTTTGATATGCAGCTGTTAAATCTACCATTTATCTGTTTTGTTACTTGAACAATTACATCTTGATTCCTATATACTGTCTGCAAAAATTAACACTTTACATCCCATAAAATTTACCCTATTCACACTAGAGGTGTGACTGCCTTGCAATCACTAAGTCCTGAGTTTAAACTCCAGTTCCACCCCCAAAAATAAATGAATAAAAATGTTTTACATTAAAATAATAGTTGTAGCCATTCTAGTGGATATGAGGTGGCTGTGAGTTACATCTTCCAAAACTGATAAACATTCATTGGTTACTGACCATTTGTATGTCTTCTTTGAAGCAACGTCTACCCTCAGCCTTTGTCCACAGTGGAATGTGGTGGCCTCCCAGTACCTGGGAGGCACAGGTGAGAGGATCACTTGAGCCCAGGTAAGCCCAGGTGTTTGAGACCAGCCCAGGCAACATAGTGAGGCCTCATCCCCCAAAAAAAGGCAAAGCAAAGCAAAGCAAAAATCCTTTATTCATTTTTAAATTTGGGCTGTGGAGTGTAGCCCAGTGGTAGAGCACTTGCCTAGCATGTGAGAGGTCCTGGCTCAGTATTGGGCATTATCCACAATAGTTCTCCCACTCTGTCGGCTGTCTTTTCACCTTCTTGATGGTGTTCTTTGAAGCATAAAATTACACATTTTGTCCAAGTCAAAGTTATGTGTTTTTGTTTGTATTTTGATGTCATATCAAAGAGTATTTTACCTAATGCAAGATCACAAAGATTTGTTCCTATCTTCTAAGTTTTGTGTTTTTGGATTCTATATGTCAGTCTGGAATACATTTGACTTAATTTTTTAACAGGGTGTGATAGGAATCCAGATTCAGGCTATTCCAGCAACACAGTTTTTCAACCCAAGAAAAAGTCAATTTATGTACAGGTTTATTTCTGAGCTCCCCATTGACCTCCCTATGTGCTGCTGGCACACTGAAGGACCGCTGAGATCAGTAGTTTTGAAAGCATGAGATCTGAGTCCTCTAAATTTGTTACTTTTCAAGGTTGTTTTGGATATTCATGGCCCCTTAAATTTCCTAAGAATTGTAGAATTAGCTTGACCACATTTGTACACTAATTTGGGGAGTATTGCCATGCTAAGAATAAGTCTTCCAAGCCATGAACACAGGCTGGCTTTCTACTTATTTAGGTCTTTAATATTAATATTTCAATGGTCTTTGTAGTTTTCAGGTTGCAAGTCCTGTGGGTTTTTTTGTTTTATTTATTTTTGTGCTGGGGATGACACCCAGGGCCTTGTACAATTGCTAGGCAAGTGCTCTACCACTGAGCCCTTGTGTTCCTTTTATTAAATTTATCACTAAGAGCTGGTGGAGTGGCTCAAGTGGTAGAGTACCTGCCTAGCAAGAGAGAGTGAGGCTGAGTTCAAGCCCCAGTACCATCCAAAAAATAATTTTATCACTAAGTATTTATTCCTTCTATACTACTGTAAATGAAATTTTGGATTTGTTCACTGCTAGTATATATAAATACTAGCAAATACACTTTGATTTGTATACAGGTCTTGTATTTTGCAACCAGGGAAAAGCATTCTTATACTACACTTGTTCTTAGCCAAAAGGCTTAAGTGATTCTGTTTTTTTTCCTCTCTCTCACTCCCTCCTCCCCTTCTCTCGTGGTGGTACTGGGAATTGAATCCAGGGCCTTCAACATGCCAGGCAAGTGTTCTACCACTTCCTGTACCCCACAGCATTTCCGTCCACAGTGAGCTCTAATTCAGATCCAACAGAGCCTTCCAAGTGGGGTCTTCCAGGGATATACCAGATTTGTTAAACAATGACACATTTTTCTCTGAGGGAGCCTTGAAGGAGCTCCCAAACTGTGAGTCATCACTGGGAAAGTGGCCTGCTCATTTTTTAGGCTACAATGGAGTTGCAGCTTGGGGAATGGCACTAGTATAAATTAAAAATGGCACAAGCTTCTCTGTTCTTATAAGATTTATATAGTCTTCTTGGGTACATGTTCTGGATTCCTGCAAGTCTTTGGTTTAATTTCCAAAGTTCTGGAAAAGTTGACTATTTACTTATTACAATTTTCTTGTTACTCTTATGGAGGAGATTCTCAGTAGTTCTTTGTCAATATCGCTGCTACTCATACTGTCTTGTAGTGTATCTTTGTGTCATTTGCTTAGTGGCTGCTATGGTGTTATGATATACATATGTGAATTACCGAGTCTGCTAGTATCAACAGTTGCACTTCTAACGAAGTGAGGAAATCTTACCTGCAGTTTTAAGTGGCACTGTTTTGAGCATCAGATGGTTTAAGTTTTAACTGTCACCTGAGATTTATAGATTCCCTTTTATCCTTTCCTGTTTGAAGAGCTTTCTTTCATCAGTCTTTATAGACAGGTCTTCATTTCTCTTTTCTGGAAGAATGTTTTGCTGGGTATGGGATTCACGGTTGAGGATTATTTTTCTTTCAGAAGCCTGCTGTCATTCGAATTGGTGTCCCCTGTAGTATCACACGATGGCCCTCTGGTTTTCAAGGGTTTTTGTTTTCAGTGTTCAGAAGGTTGCTTTATGATATTCTTGGTGAGAGTTCTCTGAGTTCATCTGGTTAGGATTCATTCAACTTCATGAATCTGCATGTTTGTGTCTTTCACCATATCTGAAGAAATACTTTGGTTACTCTCTCAGAACCACTCTTTCTCCTCTCCTTTTGGGACTCGGCTAACACAAATGCTGGATCTTTTGCTATTGTCTCATAGGTTCATGAAGCATTTTCTTGGTCTTTTTTCTTGCTCACATTAAATTCTGATTGTTATTTCCAGTCTACTAACAGAGCCCATCCAGGAAGTTTTAAAAAGTTTGTCTTTACATATTTTAGGATTTTCTATGAGTTCTGTATATTTGTACAGATTTTCTATTCTTGGGACAATTTTTATGATGAGTGCTTTAAAACCTTGCAAGGTAATTTCACATCTGATGAATCTCACTATTGGCACATGTTGCTTTAAGTTGCAGTGTCCTGGTTCTTGTTGGCATGATGAGTGGCTTTCATTTCTGGATATTTTTCTATTAGGAGACTGTGGGTTTTATTGAATGAGGCAGCATTGAACTGTCCTCATGGTCTGTCTGCTGCCTGAGATAGAAGGGCTTTCCCCATGCTGTGCTGTCTGGTGTCTGTCCTTGGGTGAGAGGGACCTTGCTCACTGGTAGGTGACCCTCTTACCAGTACCACTCTGGCAGCCTTGGTGTCTCTGAATGACAGAGGGGCTCCAAAGACCAGAGTTTTCTGGGGCTGGTACTAATGGTGGTAGAATTCCTTTTGCAGGTGCTGTCTGGCCATCTTGGTGCTTCTGGACAGGGATGGCAACCTTTGGCCCATGAGAGGCCTCCAGGCTTGATTGCCTCTTGTGCCAGGGTCTGTGTGTGTTGAGACAGGGTAGCCTCAAACTTGCAATTCTATGGGTGTGGCTATTATGCCCAGCTAGACATGTTTTTATTGCTCTGAACAATCTGATTCTTCCAAAAGTTGCTTTTTAAAGATTTTTGGATGGGACTGGCACAGCCTAGTCAGTTCCTCTTTCTGAGCCAGTAGAACCCTGAATGCTCCACTCAGTGTACTGTAGAACAGGTTTCCGCAATGGCTCGTGAGGAAGTAGATTTTTCCTAGGCCTGTGAGCTCCAAGTCATTTTCTTTGCTTTCTTTGGGTGCTTCTCTTCTCTAGCCTGAGTGTCCTCATGGGCATAAATGGCAGTATTCAGCTGATGGCCAATGACCCCTCTGCAGTCTGAAGAGCTCACACCCTAGGCAGCCCACTCTCCTGCACCATTCTGTGCCCTGGGAGCTCCAGCTCCCTTGGCCTCCCAAGACCCAGCTCCATGTCAGATCAGGGAGCTGCTGGCTTCCTCCTGTTCCCTTTTGCTGACCCAGGACCTGGCACATCTCACTCAGGGACCACTGCCTGTGCTGCCTGATGTCAAGGATCTGAAAACTTGTTCTATGTACATATGCGGTCAGGTTTTTCCTTGGTTCAGACAAGAGGTAAATTCAGTCCTGTTTCTCAAGTGGCAGAGCAGGTACCCTCTGTTCTTTCTGGAATCTTCTCTCTGATGGAATCTTCTTTTGCATTCTGGGAGAACTCAAATTTGTGTCTACGTCACTGATTTTTTTTTTTTTTTCAGCACTAGCCCTGCCCTCACTGTGGGTCTGTTCCTGCTTGTTTCTGCTTCCAGCTCCATTTTACACTTTTGTTCTACTGCCTTTTCACTTTATCCTGTGATCACCTTTGGTGTTTTCAGCCTGAGTCAAAGGTGCAATTTAGTGCATCTTCCTAAACCTGGCTTTTCCCCTAAGTATTTTTGATCCTATGGTTCATTTCCAGTCATGTTTATCCACTGTCTTCTGGATATTTCTCTTCTGCAGTGTTTTCTACGGGCTCTGAGCTCTGTGCAGACCTGGTCTTTGTCAGCTGATGACAGGATGGGTAGCTCAATGGGTGGTGACAGTCTCACAACTACTGCCTGGCTGGCCAGGAGCTTCTGGGAGGCTCCTGGAGAGGATGGTACACTGCTCTCTAGCTTCTCTACTTCTGCTCAACACTAAATTGTCATACTGTTACAACCTACTGTGATTGTAGGTCCTGTCCTCAGGAGCTGACTAGCTTCAGGAAGAGGCAGGGTATGCTAAACCAGTGTAGCTCTCTCCCTGGTGCTTCAGGAGTCCAGGGAAAACATGCCCATCTGCCTAGAAGAGCAGGCAGAGTTTGTAATGGCAGCACCATGTGAGGGGATCAGGGTCAGAGCCTCTCTGGACTAGGGAGTGAGGTATAGATCCATAGCACACCTAGCAATGGCTCCTCAGCCTCAGGTGGTTAGGGAAAGAAAGAGGACACATCATCATTGCTGGTGGGATATGTTTTTTAAAGGAGGTATCTGACAACACAATGGTATGTGATCAAACAATCTTCCAACCTCACACAACACATGGGAGTCCTAAGTTGCTAGCAAGCCCAGTGAGGACAGGGTACTGATGTGAGACGTTCCAGAGGCCTGCAGGCACCCATGCCCCTGGTTATCACAGCAGGGACTAACCACTCCAGATGCCAACCGTGGGCCCAACACTCCATGTAGACCAAAAGAGGTGCCTGTCTGGAGGCCCTGTTCACAGGAGGTCTCCTAGCACAAGGAGGGCAGGCATCACTGTTTCCAACTGGCCATGACATAAGCTGAAACCAGTGGACTTACTGGAAGAACTGTGGCCCAGTGAATTTGAAAACCAATGAGCCCAAAGCTGAGTTTTTGATTTCTTTCAGTTCTTTATACAACTCAAACAGACATTCTTAACAAATGCACGGTCCCAAAAGCCTCCATTAGGGGATTCTTTAGGAACTTTTTTTTTTTTAAACAATTCTTTCAGTAAATCCATTCTGGTAACTCACAGTACAGGTTAAAAATGATAACACAGTGGACAGTGTGTAAGCTGGGAGGACTGTTTGTCCAAGCTGTCAAAGAACTTCACTTCCCCAAGGGCCTGCCCCTCTCATCTGTCTCCCATCCAGAGGTCTGGTCTTCATGACGAAGTCAGGGATCCCCAAGCCCTGGCAAATCAGAACAATTTGAACTATCAGAACTACTAGCAGGTACTAGAGCCACAAGTGCTGCTTTGGCCTGAGAGTGAGAAGACCCCAAGAAGCCAAGAGGTATGGAGGTCAGATTCCAGGGGCTTCGCTGGCTAAGCACCCAACACCTGCTCATTGCCAGGGGCAGAGTCTGGGTGATCTTTGAAGAAAATTCACTCAACAGAATGGGATGACTCTGCTCTCTGGAAATGTCACTTTTTAAAGGATTACTTCATCTCTGACATTGCATTTTCCTACTGTGCAATACCCTGAGGTAAGAATTCATAGATGACATCACCACTCTCAGAAGACACATTGCCTTCCATCATTGAGAGATGGGCACTGGCTTCATTTCTTCCACAAGGCACTTTCGTGAGGCAGTCCTGCCATGTCAGCTGCTGTGGGATGTGCCAGGAATGGGCACCAGACATATGGCTGCACAGCTGCTGGCTCCCAACCACCTAGCAGAGTCTGTTTCAGAACTTGGCTAGCAAGCTCCTGGTGATATGGACAATAAGCACAGGAAAGTCACTGTCCAAGCCCTGGAAGGTGGAGATTACTGTGCCTCCCAGGGAACCTGAGCTGCTAAGATGCCATCAGTCACTGTCAGACTCTCCCCACCCTTTCACCTCTATAAACCCAGATGTGTGGCCTGTCAGTGGGGCCACCCTCAAGTCTAAGGTATAACTCCTGATGCCAAATGGGAAGCACGGTCTGCATTCCACACCTGCTGGATCTCCATGGCAGAATGATCTCAACCAGAGATTCTATTAATTAAGAAAAGCAAACTAAGCTTAGTGGATGATAGACAGGAGAGGCTCCAGAGATGTAAGGAAGCTGGCAGTTAATCTGAGAATGTTAGGCAGGCAGCAAATGAAACCAGATAAACATTTATTTTGCATTTGATTTCACTGGTTCAAATGTCTGAAGGCTAGAATAATCCATTTGTCTCTCTTCAGGGTTCTTCCTCTGAAGTGAGTTAATCTGACCAAGCACCGAATATGCCAGTGATGACTCCTGCTCCTCTAAGGCTGGGCATGGAACCCCACCAACTCAGGAGAGGACCACAGCACAGTCTCAGTGGCATTAGACACTGTTTGGGCAGATTTCCAAGGCATTTCCTGTCTTGCAGGACAGTGAGGATGTGGCTCTGATAAGCAGCTTCTGGTCCACACTCACATGACCACTGCAGAACCACCAACCCTGGCTGGTCTGAGCCCCAGCCTGCTTCCTCTGGGAAGCATGTGAGAAAGGGCTCCCTGCCTTTTTGTTTATTTTTATCATCCAGATTTAGCTTCCAAGGGCTCCGTGCCACATCTGGACATGAAAGCAAGAGCTGGTGTTTAGGAGCCAGATTCCCGCTGCATTTGGAGAGAATGAGTAATACGTCTTTCATAGTTTCTTTGTATTTCTCTTCAATAGTTGCTTGACCCAACATCTTTGTGTCTGCTCTATACAATGAAAATACGAACTAAATGAGAATAGAAAAAAATAATTAAAGCATTAAATTGTACAAATTACAAATCTGTTCCAAAATATACTTACATTAAATAAAATACGCATTTCAGTAAGATCTACAGTGAATGACAATGCATTCTGGGAAGCTTCACATCTAGGCAGGGCCAACATTCGTGGAAGAAGCTAAGAGAATGTGCATCCAATCACAGTTTGTAGCGGGTTTCTTATTGCCAATCTGCGAGTTACACCGAACGCGTCATTACATCACTTGTGCAGGACACCGATTTGCTGGGGGAAGGGGAAGCAAGCGCTAGCCTCAATGTGGAGTTCATTACAACTTCTGAGGGATTTCACCGGCAGCCTAGACAGCATAGTTTCAAGAGAGTAAACATGGTAAGGGAAGCAGACAACTCTTTAGAGGCCCAAACACTTTCTTGCTGTATTTGTGTTGCATTCGCCATCTACAGTGGGCAGTCAGAAGGATGGTCTTCTTCAGGACAACATGGTCACATGACTGGGACAATCCCATGGGGTTGAGGGAGCGTGAGGATGGGGAGCAGGGCTACCTCGTGCTGTTTCACATTAGAGACAAACTGTGACACACAGTCCATGGCCTGCAACTGTCTCCTCTTATCATCTAGCATAACGCTTGATGTAGTCATCCACTTTATTCCGGAAGTCCTCCTGTGGAAAGGACCCATGAGAGAAGAGTGAGAGGAAGCAAGCACCACTTCAGGAACACATCAGATTCCCGTTAAGTGAGACTTAGCCTCTCATCACCAGGTGACAGTGCCCACAGATGTCACTTCCCCACAACACTGATGTAGACAGGGACAGAAGACACTGGGGTGTGATGAGTAAGTGGGAAGGATCCTAAAAGTGTCATCCACCTCCTATGTTTGCAGACAGGAAAATAAAACCCAGACAAGTGTTGTTACAGTCCCAAAGCCAAGACTCCTGTGACCACAGTGGGTATGAGTCATGGCTGCTACCTCAGGAAACCCGTTTCTAGAACCACCTTCCCAGAATGACTTCCCTGGACCTTGTTGCCAGCCTCCCTGCCTGTAGGAAAGACATGTGCACCTTAGAGCTCTATTTTCACATATCAACAAGTAGGAGCCACCAGGGCACCTGAGATGACACAGGATAGTGGGGACCTAGAACTCCTCCATGGCAGTATGTACAGGAATGCCTTCTCAGATCTGGGCTACAGCCCCAGGTTTGTTCCTGAGTCTGTTCCCAACAGGGTTAACAGAAGCAAATGCTCATGGACTGAGTTCTAAGAGTGTCTCAGAGCTCTTGACCTCTCACAAGCAGCAGCTGGATCACTGGTGCCCCTACAGGGTCCTACTGCTTTGGTCCCATCAATGCTACAGTCCCTCTGCACAGGGAACACAGTACAACTGCCACAGTTCTTTGGAGCACAAGCTCCATTTCCCAGCCAAGGCTCAGGCATGGGGGACTCTGCTGGGTGTTCCTGACACCTCACTGAACAGGACATAGGCAGGAACTCGGCACACTCCGAGGGGCTACTGTGCCCTTGCAGATGGCCCACCTGCAGCTGCCTCTCTGCAACCCTGGCCAGCTCAGTGTCAGGCACCCAACCTCCTGCCACATAGCAGCCCTTTCAAGACTGGGTGAATTCCTGGTTTGAAAGTCATGAAAGGCCAGTAACTTGCTCAGTCTGGGGTGAGAGGAATGAGCTATGATCTCACCCCACGTGACCTTGCTGCCATTTCCCTGCACCTGTCCATAGGGCTGTGTGAAGGGCTCCCAAGCTGGCTATTCACCCACAAAAAAGTGGGGGGGGACTATGTGGAAACCCTGACTGGCATCCAGCAAAAAAACTGTCCTCAAGTCACTTCCACTCTCCAGAGCCAGGCAATACTGTCAGTTCACAAGGAACCACTGTGAAAGCTCTGGGCATGAAATAAAGACCTCATGAGAAGAAGCCACCTTTCTGGCTTAGTCCCTGTTACTCTGTTCTGCTCAGCTCACTCAGGGCAAAGCCCAGAACTCAGGCCCACGGGATGTTGCAAGCTCCAGCCCTTGCTGCTTCCAACTTCCTCTTAAAAGTACTACACAGCATGCAGGGCTTGCTTAAGCAAGCTCAACTGGAGTCTGCCCTTATGGCTGGGTAGCCAGGGGGTCTCTTAGCTGCTTGGCATTTGTTTCCTCAGCAGGGGTAACAGTGTTCCCCTCTTGGAGGTCTTATGAGAAACAATGATCTGTATCAAGGGCTTGGAAAATGTCTGGTACCTGGTACCTCCCCTAGGATGTTTCTGCAGTCACCCCTGCCCCACTCCTGTCCTGAGAAACCCACACACCATCCTGCCTCAGGGCCTTTCTATTGGTGGGACTCTCTGGAATACTTTTACTCCTGCACCTGCACTTCTTGGTCGTCTCCCTACGTCACAAGCTACATTTGTTCATCTATATCCCACTTCCTCCCATTAGGGTGTATGCTCCATGGGGACCGGGACCATCACTTCCACAGTCTTTCCCTAACACTTAGCCTCTCACCTGGCACACAGTGGACAGTCAACCTTGTGGTGAATGAATGAACACAAACTACAGGAAGTGGACAGTTCAAAGGCACGATCACCACTTAGCATGAAGAGGTGGGTGGGTTGGCACACTTTAGAACTCTTGTAAAGGCATCAATGATTAGAGAATTTTAGGTTTGTCTTACTGAGGCTGGAAACTTCATCAGCTTCATTATTTCATACAAAGAGAATGAAAATGAGAGACTTTTTAACAAAACCTTTCTCCACCTGGACCTGCAGGAGTGTTATTCTCACTCTCTCTCTCTGATAAGGTTTAGCTCATTAGGGCTGTGTGTGGATGTCCTCATCAACATGACACCAGAGAGCAACACTGTGAATGGAGCCCCTAAAAGGTGGGGATCAAGGAGCACATCTGCCGGAAGAATGTCAAGGAAGGACAAAACGTGAGCCCTTTCCAGGCAACAGGAACCTGCCAGGACCACCCCAGCAGTGTGGGCACCAACTGCAGATAGCAGGAGTCATGAGAACAGGGCAGGGCTGTGACCCATGGGCAGGACCACCTCACCCCACAGCACCTCTCTTGAGGCCTTCTGCAGTTTTGGCCTGCCTGGTCACACTGCACAACTTGCTGACCCCGCTATAGCTGGACATGCTTCCAAGAATGAGCAGGACATACACTCGGGTGCTTCTGTTGCACTGTCCCCAGTGTGTGCTCCTCATTGAGGCAACAGCTCCTGGTCTGATTCAGGCTCTGAGCTGGTACAGACAAGGCAAAGCAAATATCTAATGCCAACAGTCTCAGCAACAGACGATCTTACTAAATGGTCACCATTGCTCTTTAGCAATTTGGAGCTAGCCTGATGGCTTTCAGAACTCTCTATGGTCACAGTGACACCAGACAACCAACAAAGCTGCTGAGCAGTCTGAGTGCAGGAATGTGTTACAGAAAATGCCAATGAAGGCTGTCACCATGTCCAGTCAGCACTGCAGTGTAGGAGGTAGGAGGATGTAGGAGTAGTGAGGTTGAACAGCTTGAGCTACCTCAGCCTCAGTCACTGGCACTCTGACACATGGGGCTGCTTACTGCCCTCCAAGGGGGCCCAAGTGCAAAGTCACTGCAGGAATCTATGCCTGCCAATGCTCTAATGTTTCCTCTCCTCAGTTAAAACAGACTTCAATTGTGCCTTCTACTGGAGGGCAATCCACCCTCAAAGTGATGGTAACTCCACAGCATGATTCCCTTACACATTTTCCTTCTCAGTAGGTCTAGATACTTTGTTTCTAGGTGAAATGGTCTTAAACAGACATTTTACTTCATTGGAAACACCTCACACACACCCGAAGTAGGCAAGACAGCACGCAGTCTAGTGGAGAACTTGGGCTCTGACTCATGTGCAAAAGTGACTGACTGCAGAGATTCATATCCTCAACAGACAGACTCCAAAAATTCAAGGGAAATTCAAATAAGCCAATGAGAATGGCTAAAAATAGGAGCAAGTAATTCAGAGGTGCAATCAGCGAGCACACATCTAAGTAAAGTCACCCAATCTCTGCAGAGTGCAGCATACAGAGATGCCCCCAAAGGTGCCCCAGCCCAGCCCCACAAAGAAACAATATACCAAAGCCGTTCAAATGAGGGACACCCAGTGGCTGAATACGAGGACTCCTCTCTGCACAAACACGAAACCAGTACTTACGGTGCAACTACAAGGGATATTTATAGAATTATTGTTTGTGGTTGTAAAAAAACCCTGTGGGGAAAACCTTGAATACTCACCAAGAACAGAACGGTTAACAAATGAGTAACAACATTTGAACTGATTTGGAGGGAAAGTCAATAACAATAATGAAAAAAGGAACTGAAAATTAAGAGTAATCCCATGAATTCAGGTAAAAGTCAAGCCAAATGCAATGCATGTGAGCCCAAGCAAAGGCTGCAGGAGGATGAAGTTAAGACAGTCTCTGCAGGTCAGGAGAGTGGACGGACCTGATGCTGCACATCTTCCTTCTATGATCCTGAACTGTTGTGGTGGTTTTTGTCTGTTTGTTTTTGTGATACTGGGGGCTAGGAATGGAACCCAGGGCCTTCCACATGCTCCACAAGTGCTCTACCACTGAGCTACACCTCCAACCCTCTGGTACTGTTAGTAAGGTAAAAGAATAATTCCCTGTTTCACATTTCTCATGCTGAATTTTACTAGGAAACTGCTTCTAATAAAAACCACTTCTCTGTGACTGTGGATAAAAACCACTTTCCTCAGATCACAAGACATTTATTGCAACACATTCTGCATAAATTACTTTAATTCCAGTTGTGCATTCACTACTCTCAATTTCTTACTTCTCTGACGGACAGCCAGTTGTTAAGTGTCTTTTCACCAAGTACATATACCTAGAATAAGCCTGTTACTGGCTCACCTTGTCTCGCAAATGATGTTCTGCAGCTTCAATATTCAGTGGATCATCAAAATTCAAAAGATCCTTTAAAAAGAGAGAAACTCAAAGTCAATAATAGAACAAAATTTTTCCTTCTGTCACAAGCCTTCACTTTACAAAGCAGCAAGAAACATCTAATTAGTGAACAGAAGACAGACCTGTGGAGTACAGAATTCCTCAAAGTACTTAAGTCTCTTTGATGTAAGAGTGCTAAGCACATATTTTTTTCAAAACAGTGACTAATAAGCAAGTAAAAGAAGTCAAGAGTATGTTTACGCATAATGGCCCAAATTTTGGTTGGAAATGGAGGAACAGTAATCACATAAATTTGATGCTTTTTTGATATGTGGAGAAAGATGACGACTTTCGCTAGGAGCATTTTCAAATTAAAAACCCATTCTTGTTTTGAACATTTATTTTCTCTTTTCTTTCATGTTCACCACCTTTGCTTCTGGGCATCTATGGTTTCTCCTGACTCCCCTTCACAAGCACTCACTCACAGTCCAGGGGAACCAAATCTAGAGTTGGCCTAGATGTACGGTGGTGCTGTTAGACTCAGGGAAACATAGGCTCTTTCTACCCCAGAAAGCCCTGGCTTGGCTCCTCTTCTCTTAAAAACACCTGGGCTTCAGCTCACATGCCACGGCTGACTGCCCATTCCTCCTGACAGTCAAGCAGCATGATTTGTTCTTCTGATGAATCACTGCTCTTCAAAGCATACTCTATGGTGGGTTTTCACAAAGACAACCATACTCCTCTGCAGGAAGAATGTTAAATTTGGGATTGTATTCCTAATCTGGAAATAAATATGGGCATGGCTATGTAGCAACTACAGCAAAGAAAAACCATAAATCTCTATGTTCACTCATGGTTAGAAAATGAGACTCTACATCCTAGAAATAGGCAAAAATAGAAAGTAATAAAGGCTACCTTATATTCTTTATCTTCTGAACATACTGGTTGCAATGGCCATTATAGACTTAATTCGCACTTCAGGTTGGCTATTTGGGATTTGGAAGCTTTGGGTTGTGGCAGCTGGAGAATGAGCATGGGCAGGCTCCCAAACTGAAGCTGCACAGGCCAGCACAACAGTGAAGTCTAACTGCCCAGCAGATTTTCTATGAGGCTCCATCTTTGGGGCTCCAGAATTAAAGCTTGATTCACTTTATTGAAGAAATCCAGGCCTACAACAAAATGAGCCCAACAGAAAACCATATGGACAGTGGAGTCCAGGAAGTACCCACTAGGTACTGCCTTCCCGCAGGAGTCAGGGAGAGCCTGAAATCACTATAAAGCATTGGTTTCTTTGCTTGTGGGGAAGTGTCACCCAGAAATTCCAAACAAGAAGGCAAAGGAAGGCAGAACTCAGTTTAGCTTGAAGCTTTGCCACACTGTGCCCCAGATAACAGAAGGAAGAACGGACATGCCCAGTGTAACTGGAAGTCCTCCCAGTGACCCATGGACACTAGCTATGAGGCTGCCTTTGACAGACTGTCCAAGATGGGCTTGTGCTCAGGGAGAGACCTTGGGCTTTACTAAATGTAGAAATGCTTCTTATTCAGAGACAGATCCCTGAAGCTCATGTCTTTAAAAGCTCTTTTATGAATCAGAAAGTAAAGATTCAAAGAATAAATATTATGTTAAAAATGAAAACAGCAGCTCCTAGCATCTTCCTGCCCTTTAGCCACCGTCTAAGACATGCTACTGAGAATAGCAAACTTCAGCACTTATTCCTCAAGAAATGAGAATGACTCAAGACTCAAGTTCCGGAAAAGCCTTCCAGGTGGGTGAATTCATTCATTCATTCTGACCGGGATGCTGGGAGCCAAAAGGGTCGAAGACCAGGCTGGCTGATGAGGTACCACAGGCTGGAAGCCCAGAGGAGGGCCCAAAGGAAAAGAAGCAACCTCATACAGTGGAGGACAGAGGCAGTCAGCACAGGGCAGAAGTGGAACTTTTCTGCCCCTTCCCCCCCACCACGTCACCTAACCTTCTAGGTACCCGTGTCACAGCTCTACTTCTGATCATGAAGGAGCAACAGGAATGAGGGTAAGTATGTTCACTGCTTGTTTTATTGGTTATCCTTAAGGTGATGGTCAAACAAGCAACCAGAAGAGTCAAGAAAAACATGGGATTTTTGATCAACATACTTACAGTAAATAAAGAGTTTAATCCCCAAACAACATCCTGAAATAAGAAAGAAAACAATTTTTAGCCTCCTGTGCACTAACTCCATGACCGAGAAATATGCACTGTACAGTTATCAAAAGCCGTCCTCAGCATATGCTGTTTTCCTCAAGCACAGAATGAAAGCACCTTTTCTTCAAGTATAAGGAACTCTGGGAACTCATACGAGCAAACATGAAATCAAAGGGAACATCGACTAACTCTTGCAGACCCAGGGCCAATAAGCACTGGAGAACCACTCCCACCACCTCCCAGCTGTCATCATTAAGCAGACTCCACCCAGACTTCTGAAAAGCATCTTTGAAATAAAGTCTGCTGTTTTTAACACTAATTGCCTTTTGGTGGTGGTGGGTGGAGGAGTCACAGATAAGGTAATTACCAAAAGAAGTTTTCTAAATTTTGCTGTAGTTATTTAAAGAGTCAGGGAAACCCACATTTCTAGGATGAGATTTTCATTAAACTAAAACCAGTGTTTTCTGTTTTCAACCACACATTCCTTTTCCACCTGCCTCTTCATCAATTCCAGAGTCTTGTCCTTTTCAAGCAGCCCAAGGTGGTAGGCCATGGGGAAAAGAGGGAGTAGGGTATACACCGAAGGACCTGAGACCAAAGGCACCAACTCTTACCTTTAACGTTCTGGTGGGAGCCCAGCCAGTGCCATCAATAGAATGTTCTCTCAGTAAACTGAAACAGACACAAAAATGCACAGCAGTTAGCTGTGCCACAGGTGCACCTTGTACACTGTCAAAGAATCTTTTTACCTTTGCAGTAGGAATAGTTGTATCATTTTTTTATGAATATAAGAGCTCTACATTTATAAAGCCAGTCTTTTCTTCTGTAGTTTCTCAGCTCCTGTATTGTTGAAGATGGCTTCTCCAAGGTTATACATGTTTCAGTTATAATGCCTTGGGTTTTCGAAATGTTTATTGTACCCAGAGACCTTTAATATTTCACACAGAAGTTTTAAGCGGAGGGAAAGCATGCTTAAAACAACAAAGAACTGTTGTCAAAATAATATTCGGAAATGATGAGAGATAGCAACAGAAATGATAAGAGGAAGAGCTGAGGCTCAGAGGTTGCTATTGACATGTCAGACATAACCCTAATCTTTGTCATACACTCAATACCACAACAACCCCCAAAGAAGGCCCACCCTTCCCTGTCTCACAAAAAGATCCACCAAAAGGGAACCCTTGGTGAATGGTACAGCCTTCAAACCTAGCAGCTCACCCAGAGCCTGCATTTTAAATCACTGTTGAGTAGATTCATGAAGATGGGAGTTCCTTGCTCATGACATTTAAGTAGCTTGTATTTAAAAAGCTCAAAGGGGAAAACTTAAGAAGATTAACAAACAATTTTGGATAGCAGTTGCCCCAAAGCACAGGGCAGCACACCTGGCCATCTATGGGAGGGTCCTGTTTCTTAAGCTACTGTTGGAGAGTTACATTCATTACCATGCCATCAACTGTGAATGTGCATATTCTGTGACACAAATGGTTATGAAAAACTACAACTTGTTGTCAGCTTCTTCCTGGATCAAGATACTTTTTGCATTTATAAAATTGGCATACTGTGCTGTGGCTCTGATCTGTACATATTAACTCCTGAGCTAACTTGTCACCATAAGGCTTTTAAAGGTTATAATTGTTACTTGTAAAATTTTTTTTTCAATTAGGGTATGTTCAAATTCACTCAAGTTAACCTAGATCAGGAGAAAATATGTATGTAGAATTTGAAAAAAAGCTACAACACTGTGTATGAGTATGTGTTAGAAAAGATATAACCAATTTTAAATTGACCATTAAATTTTAATTTTAGGAAGAAAGCTCTAATGATGTACCCTACTAATTAGGTAGACATCCTCCTACGTTCTAGAGGTATCAGCCATTCTGATTTTAGGTGGAACAGAAACTTCCTAACTTTGAAATAGCTTTTTGAGAACCACCTGTCAAATTCTAGTAGGTTTTATGATCCAGTGAGAGATTCTGATACTAAGATGGGAGCTGATTTCTGATCTAGCTCATCCTTTTCTTCTGTGGAACATAATGCAATCTTTAGTTAATATACTGGTTTATTTCCAAGCCCCATAAAGGAGGGAATAAAAATTTTTCTGTATCTGCTTACGCACAATCAACATGAAGTAGGGAAGGAAAGAAGGATGGAAAGACAGGAGAGGGAAGAGAAGGAAGGAATCTCAGGTTAATTAGCATGCACTGTCAGCATAGCACAGCCAGAGTCAGATGGCTTCACACATGGAAGCAGGTAACTGGGCAGCAAGTGCCATAGGGGAGGCTGAGTCCAGGATCTGGTGACCATGGGTCTCAGTAGCCCTGGGCAGCAGTGAGGCTGTGAGGGGACCAGTGCCCTAGTCACTGTGTACATTCTAATCTGGTTCCAGCAGAGTGCAGTCCTGGTGGGAGCCCAGATGACAGAGACATGTGACCATCAGGAGGTTACTAAGCAAAGGAACAGAGGATGAATTAAGGACTCTACTAGAAGCTTGGACTCCAGGAGGAAAAGGTGGAAGGGCAACCATGGAGCTCTAGTCTCGAGGCAGTGCTGGGGGGAGCTACTTCAATTTACCCCAGAAATTTCCCAATATGGCTAAGCCTCAAAACTTCTGGAGGAGAGAATGTGTAAAGAGGGTGACTCTCACACATGCAGAAGAGAGGAAGAAGAGACTCACCTTAAACATATTTCCCCTGTCTCTGTGATGTTGGGGTGCCAGATCCTGGTCAAGCATTTCACTTTGGGAGGCTGCAACAGAGCGAGAAAGAGGTCAGGATGATGGTTTCTCCAGATCACGCCTGAGTGCAAGGCCTTCCCATCTGCATCTGGTCATCATTCTGAGGCTTGCTCAGCATGTGCTCTGACTCACCAGGCCCAAATCATTCTTCATGCTGCTCACGTCACCTATGCAGAAGCACATATGCACGCTGCACCGCCCAGGGCACTCAACCACACCTCTACCAGCCTGGGGTCCTGCAACTTACAGTGCTGGCGACAGGGCCCTGGCCACAGGGCTGTGAGTGGGAGAGACTACGCTGCACTCAGGGGAGAGTCCCATGTACTTCCAGACCCAATTTCAACCAAGAGCTCAGACCATTTTGCACCAAAAGTCACTGAGCCATGGCTGACCACTATTGCTCCTTGTAAGAATGGACCATCTCCCTGGCTGGACATTTCTGCAGATGCTAGTATTACATACATTTCCTAGATCCAAGTTGAATCCACTTTAAAGGAGGAGGCAAGAGCGCAAAGCTGAGCAAGGGGAAAGAAAATATCACCATTAGTGATACACAGAGCTAGCCCTGCTCTAGCTCTGCCTCCAGACAGCATGTTCAGAAAAAGTTCTTTTAAAATTACTCTACTATAAAGTAATGTATGATCTTCTCAAAGCTCCTAAAAAAAAAGTAAAAAAGAAGTAATCCACGAAAGGCCCTGAGTTCAATCTCCAGTACTGCAAAAAATAAAAAAGGTAATCCATATTCTTTTGAGATAATAAAAATGAAAGGACATACTGTAATATAAAATAACATAATCTTGACTAGCATATTTATATATAAATTATGTAACGTACAATTACATAAATGTTTCCTCTCGTTTTCGTTGCCTTGTATGAATGTGTGGATACAACACACCATCCCAATCCACCCAGAAGTAAGTGTACTGACAGCGGCTGTGCATTTTGGGCCTCTTTTGTAGCTGCAGACACACATGCATACTTGTTTTTCTTTACGGAGGCAGGAGCATGCGCTCTACATTCCTCCTCGTTTCTTTCTGCCATCACCTCAGATGGCTCTCCCATTGAACATTAGGCCATTTCCCACCCTACAAGCCCTGCTACACCAAGGCTCCTATCTCTGCTCAGAAGAAAGGATTTCCTTGGGATGAGGCCCATGAAGAGAAACTGCTGGTCAGAAGCCCTGGTGATACAGTGCCAGGGTGTCCTTCAGAAAGGCTATGCCCCAAACACAGCAGGGCACAGGGCCTCTTCTCAGGGGCCAAGTGAGTCTTGCTTGGTTCGTGTGTTTAAGAGTTGCCTCAGTGAATCTTGTCAGAATGTTATCTCATAAGGGACAATCATTTGTCACATGTGGACATTGGTATTAAGTTTTATTTATGATGTCTTCTAAGATTTGGAAGGTTTTTCTCTAGTTCTTATATTCACATTTTTATCTTTTCTTTTACCACTTTTTACTTCTACAAGGCTAACATACTTTTCAGTGATTTTATATATTTTCTTCCTGATTTTAAAACAGCACTTAATCAAGAGACTCTCCACCCCACTGTAAATCTACTGTGCAAACTTATGTGTCCAAGGAGTGAAGAATTAAAGTTCTTATGTGATTAAGAACATTGCATACACCCTGTCTTTATTTCTGCAAATTTGACAGAAAAGATGTCTTCTTCCATAGAGGCTTCAGGCTGAAGAGGGAGGGTCAGGGCTGTCAACACCCTCCAGTCAAATGAACAGAACCACAGAGTAGTGGCAGGACTGAGTCACCCAGGCACAGCATGTGAAGGAACTGAGGAAAGGCCAGCTCCACCTCCCTCCCAGACTGTTTGCCTTCTCTGAGTCCTCAGCACAAGACCGCCCAGCCTGTGTTTACTACACCTTCCAAGTCCTGGGTAGCAACTGCTCTTGCTCCTGGGTCCCTCACACCTTTCCTAGTTGGATGTGGATACAGATGACTCCTTTGTGAATGGTCCTTTTTTTTTTTTGAAATGACGAGGGCTCACGATATTGCCCAGGCTGGACTTGAACTCATAATCCTCCTCCCTCAACCCACTGAGTGCTAGGATCACAGGCACACAAACACCTCTTCACTATCAGCAGCTAATAAGTACAGGAGTAAAATTTCACACCCTGAAAGAAATGAAAATTCAAATAGCAGTTAGATACCACTTACTTAATCCCAAAATAGCTGAAAGAAAAAAATAATGAAAATATCCCGTTTGGGGTAGAGCTTAGGGAAAAAGAATTTTCAAACACTGAAGGTGAGGAAGCCAATTGGCATAACCTCTCTGGGAGTTAACTGAACAAAATTTACTTATCAAAAACTTTAAAACTGAACATCAACACTCAATAAACATATTGCCACTTCGAGAAACTAATCCTCAGGAAAGAGGCAGATAAACACAAGATGTGGGTGTGGTCGCATCCACACATAGGACTGTGCACTCTGGGCCCAGCGAACCATAGCTCAGGGACCAGAGCCAGGCCAGGCTTGTTTTCATCTGGTCTAGGGATGTTTTCCACACTTTTAAAGATTGTTTAAAAAAGAAAAAGAATATTCAACAGAGCCAAAGGTGGTCCACAAAGTCCAACTATTTACTACTTGATCCCTGATAAATTCCAGCCAATCAGTGGCCAACAATACGGGTTGGTTTAGCCCACCATACACTGCACAATGAAGTGCTCTTATTAGTGATGATGTGACCATACACTGTGTTAGCACTAAGGTGAAGACCCCGAGCTACCAGGTTCTGTGCAGCATGACTCCGCTGGCAGGCAGGATGATACTCTGTCTGTAGGACATGAAAAGTTCTTGCTGTCAATGCCAGCGTCTGTCTCCAGAATGACTGCATTCCTAAAAGACGGCTGAACCATCATCTTTAGCTACGCAGTGTCTGACAGATTGTGGCACCTGAGGAGCTCAGAAAATGTCACTAAATCAATTCAGCTGGTTTCTAAGACTGAGAGAGATTACTAGGTAGGCTTCAACCTGTGAGGTAAAATTCCGGCATAAAGGAATCAAAACAGGGAATTTGAATTTCTGCTGCTGGGATGCAGTGGCATGGATGTGTGGGGATACCAAATAGGCATTTTTCTTTTAGAAGTTCGTTCTAAAATAATGACCTACTTAATTGCTCAAAAGTTGTTTCAATCCACAACCTCAGTCCCAGACTTAAGACTGTAGAACCTGTATCTCTTAGGAGTTTTACAACGTCCACATGAAGCTCAGAAGTTGTCGGAGCAAAGCCATGCACAGGGGTAAAGGAACCCATGGAGCATCAGATCCCCAGGCTGACTTGCTGCCAACTCTTGTGGACTTGCTCTCTCCTCATACCTACCAGAGTGGATACCTCGAAGTTCACTCTCACCATCTCTGCGCTAAGTGCCTGTGGCCTGTGCACTCTCACATGCCGGTGACTCTCTAATCTTTCTTGTCTTTTCTTTTTGTTTTTTGAGACAGCGTCTCCCTATGTAACCCAGGCTGATTTGAAATCATGTTTCTCCTGCCTCAGCCTCCAAAGTGCTAGGATTACAGGTGCCGCCTGCCTCTGAAGTCTGAGGGGCAGAGAGAGCGAGAACTGAGAACTGGACAGCCATGCCTCACTGGCCTAGCATGGCAGGCACAGGCTACACACTGAAAACAGCGCCTGGAAGACGGCCAGACTCCTGCTAGCAGTGGCTCACAGGCTAGGACAAAGACACTACAGAGAACTGTGAGAGAAGCTTCATTATAAATATATTTGTGCTCAACTAACCACAATATCTAACAATCTCCTGGACGCCTTGCTATGGGTGGACCCCACATGTGCCTGGAAGAGAGGCAGAGAGGAGAAGACAGGAATGACAGGCCAGAAGTGGGAAGCAGACAGTCTTAACAGAAGTAAGGAAGGAACCAGGTCACCCCAAAGATAACACCCCCTCTCAGGGCCTCTGAGTTTTATTCTTGATGAAAACTGACAGCTCATCATTCAAAAAATGTCCAAAGGAGGTAAAAGTGAAAATATCAAACTGAAATTATGACAGCAAAGTTACAGGCCATGTCCTGTAGAACGGCTGTGGAGTGAAGTGCTTCTGTTTTCCCATGGGATCAGTAGTAGGGAGGAGGTTGGACAGTAGATGGCTTGAAAGAGGGAAAGTTCAACTACCCTTCACCTCACCTCCAGAACAGTCATCAATTCATACATGATACGAGTCATCCAGGCTCAGTGGTTTTCTTCCTTCCTTTCTTCTTTTATTTATTTATTTTTTTGTAGTTCTAGTGTAGGGACTGAACCAGGGTCTTGTGCAGGATAGAGAACTGCTCTACCACTGAGCTACCCAGTCCTTTTTAACTTTTTCCCAGTGCTGGGAATATAACCCAGGGTGCTGTGCATGCATGTGAAAAGTGATCTGGGGTCCTTCTTCACACAGTTGAGATGATTATCAGATCTTGTTTGTTTTTACGTGTGTGTACAGGGCCAGAGGTTAATCCCAGGGCCTTTGGGCATGCTAGGCAAGCACATGACAATGAGCTTTATCTCCAGTCCTTCCACTTCTTGAAATCACACGTAGGATGGGACAGAATGACAACTATTACTGGGTGTAGTGGGAAGGGCACGAAATTTAGAAGTTGGGCAGCCCTTATATGAACTGACTTTGGCAATTCAGCTGTTTACAAGGACAAAGCTAATTAGGAAAGTTTGGTGTTTTTTTTGAGGTGGGGTCTTGCAATGTTGCCCAGGCTGGACTTGAACTCACAATTCTCCTGCCTTAGTTTCCTGAGTAGCTGGAATTACAGACATGCATCTGGTTTTAATTTAGGTAAGTTTTTAATTTTAGTTTTCTGAGCCCTAACTTCTAGTGCATAACAATAATAATATTAAGATCAGTCACTTAACTATCAAAAGAATGAAACAGTGGAGTGAGTGAAGATAATCAGACACAGACACTCTTAATGAATGCCTGTTCCTGCCTTCGTATCTTCTCAGATTTTGCTTTCTTTCTATGAGAACAAGAATCTCTGGTACCAAATGATGCCTGCCTACCTGAATCAATGGTCCTCTGACTCCTCAAGGCATTTTGGAAAATTCAGCTTATGCTAAACTGTTCCCTGTTACCTAAGGGACGGTGTCATAAACTCGCTACCCTTTAATTCAACATAATCCACAGAGATAGCCTATGACCAGATACTCTGTGGTAGATCTGAAACCTTACATTCTATATGCGCTTTATTACTTCCAGAAACCATCAAACTTGCTCCAAAATTCCTAAACTGAAATTAAGCCAATCTTTCCAACTGTCTGTCACTGGGTCCTCTTGGTTTGTGACTTGGGAAAAGTGGCTGTACAAATACCTGAGATGTGCATTTTCCTGTCTTTGTTTAAAAATCAAATTTCTTTTTGTTTTCTTAGATTGCCAACAATTAATCTCTGCAAAAGACTTTAATGTAGTAGCCCAGTAAAAATAAATTTTTATAGGTTAAGATTTGGCTTTAACAAAAGAGAACTGCAGTGGCTGAAATGCACCCTGGTAAACATTTGGGGTCAGGTCAGACAGTAGGGAGCACAATTACAGCAAGCACAGTAATGGTGTGCCCCAAGCCCACATCAGCAGGTTAACAAAAGACTTCATCTTTTTATTTTTCTTTTGTATTTGACAGGCTGAGATGATAGAAACATGCATACCCACACAGGGAATGTCTCACATTTACCTTACATTTACATACACATCCATAATTAGAGATCAGATGGCTGATGCCACGACTAGCATTTCAGGCCAAGATGTGTCACTGAGGCACAGTCAGTCACATCCTCTCTGCTGCCCCAACTCTGGTTGTGAATCATTAGTGGTCTCTTGATGCCAAGTTGAAAATACTTAACAAAACTCCCAAAGTTCATCCCCTTCCAATTCTCTATTTGTCTCCCTGGTCCAGCTCCACAGATTCTCACTCTCACCTGTGACCACAGCTCCACATAACCCATGTCAGCCAGAACATCCTTCCCCTAGTTCTGAGCCAAATGAGGATGAATAAAATTTGATTCCCCCTTAAAAGCTGAAGTGGCCTTGACCACTTTCCAAAGCAAACATCTTCTTCCTTCTCTGAGTCTGGTAAGTGAGCTTCCTGTCACCATCAGTCTTTCTACTATTCACCACTTACCACTGAATCGACTTTCTATGCTTTATTCACCTTCCTAATTGGGGAGTCCCTTAAAAGCAAAGACAGAACATAACAGCATGTGGTATGACGACATGTGGTATGACGACATGTGGTATGACGACATGTGGTATGACGACATGTAGCTACGGGTATAAACTACTGATAGCTTCAAAGTTCAAGTCATCATTCTCTGAAATTCCAAAGTACACACTTACTTCTGGAATTCTGGCATTATACCAGAAATGCACAGTCTTAAACAAAAAATGCTTTTTTTTAAATAAATAAGATTTGCGTAATGTACACAGGCAGACCACCTGGCATATAGCCACTTACGAATATCTGTTGAATAAATGAGTTTCTGTACTGAAACTCTAAATACTGGTAAATGACTCCAGAGATGCACTAGTGATTTTGTGCTTGGATTCCGTGGACACATGCAGAGGGGAGTAAGGGCTGTCTCAGCAGCATATTTTGTAGGCAGGCAGCCCACTGGGTGAGGGAAGACAAGGTTCCAGTGCAGATTACTTACCACCATGTTGTATGCATCAGGAACTTCGGTTTCAAACTGAAATTTTCCACCCTGGTAGTAGCCCTCATCTATTAAGAACAAAACAAAAATTCCTTTAAATAAATAAGTAACAACAAAAGGCAAACACTATGTTTGGACATGACAAAAAGAATTAAGACGTTAACACTAGGATTGTAGAGTTCCATGTCCCTGCTCCAAGGCCTGCGTGTTGGGGGAGCCCTGACATGCTGGTGGCAGAAGTGGACACCACGTTGCCACCTGCCAACTGCCTGGCTTCTCGATTGATGAGCCTTGCTCATCCACTGAAAGCACTGCTCTGGTAGGTATGATTCTCAGCTTTCAAGCATGGCGCTTACTAATACCATCTTTAAAGTGAATGCAACTTCCCTAAAAACATTTTCAGCATGCGTAAATCTGCAATCTTAAATCTTATCACTTGAGACTGCATCAACATTTGTCCAAGTTACAAAAGGGCATTACCTGGGCCAAGTACTACTTGTCCTTTACTTTACATCCATCTGCTGAATACTGGTGGGGCTGAAACATCTCAGATTATTGGTAACTTGTGCTTTTTCTTGTAAGATCAATGTTCTTTAATGCTTGTTACTGAGGTACTCATTTCTGGTTCCCAATAAGGCTCTCAAGAAAATCTGAGCTGGGCACTGGTGGCTCACACCTGTAATTCTAGGTACTTGGAAGGCCAAGATCAAAAGGATCTTGGTTCCAGGCCAGCTTGGCCAAAAAAAAAAAAAAAAAAAAAAGCAAGACTCCTCCATCAATGGAAAAAAAAACAGGCATGGTGGTACAAGTCTGTCATTAAAATGAGAGGATGGATGCCGGGCACTGGTGGCTCACACCTGTAATCCTAGCTGCTTAGGAGGCAGAGATCAGTAGGATCGTGGTTCAAAGCCAGTCTGGACAAACAGTTCTTGAGACCCTATCTCGAAGGTACCCATCACAAAAAACGGTGGTGCAGTGGCCAAAGTGTAGGCTGACAAGTTCAAACCCCAGTACCACCAAAAAAGATAAAGGAAAAGGAGGATCAAGGTCTAGGCTGGCCTGGGCAAAAATCAAGACCCCATCTCAAAAATAATCAGAACTACAAGGGATGGAGGCATGGCTCAAACAGTTCAGTGCCTCCCCACAAACACAAAACCCTGAGTTCAAACTTCAGTACTGACAAAAAAAAAGAAGACAAAAAAATGATCCTTTGCCTTTTCTATTTGTTACAAGCAATTTTTGTTAGTCTGTTGTTTGCCTTTGATTTTCTCAGGTTTGAACACTAGTTTTCCATTTTTAAGAATCCAATTTTACTTCACAGCTTCTGTCTTTGGTATCATGCTATCGGTCTTTCCCAGCCAAGATTATAAAAATGTGTTTCAACATTTTCTTTAGTAATTTTGTGGTTTCACAGATTACACTTAATCAGCTCGTTCATTTATTACAGAGTAAGATGGTGCTTTTTTCCTGCTTGGGTTGTTTAGCCATCCCCAGAGCATTTATTAGTCTATCTTTCTCCCATTTATTTGATGAGATGGCTAATGCTGATTGCCAACTAGGCTGTACTGAGAAACGCCTAGAAGATCAGCACAGTACACCTATGGCACGTCTGGAAGACTGGACCGTGGGGGCTCTGACCTAATGAATGACTTAACCCACGATGGATTCCAAATCTGAACAGACTACTGGGAAGTAGTGGAACTGTGGAAGGTAGGTCTGGTTAGAGGAAGTAGGTCACTGGGGGTGTGCCCATGAGACCCTTATCCTGCTCTGGCCCCATCCACCACTACTCTGCTTCCTGCCGGCCATGATGTGAGCTGCTCCACTACACCTTCCCTGCCAGGACAAATTGTTGGAGGAATACATCTTTTCTTAGGATGTTTCTGTCAGGTATTTGACCACAGCAACAATAAATCTAACACATTTGATATGTATTTCTGATTTTTATAAATTCTCCTGGATTTCTGACAGGCAATCTTTGGAAAATTCTTGTTTGGGAAACTATTTAACTTCAGATATGAGAGCTTTTCAAATAAATGGCATCTTACATAGAAAAATAAGAGTACATCCTTGTTTGTCTGGGACACTGGTCTCTTAGAGTCTGACTTTGAACACAGTGGCAGAAAGTTAATGTTAGGCTTAACTTTGCAGACCATGCATATAATCTATTCTGACTTGTCACAGCAACTTCTAGAGAACACAACTGCCCTTGCTCTGTCCTTCTCCTAAGGACTGACTGTCAGCTACATCAGACACTGTAGGACTCTGCTCCAGCCACTCCATCCTCCATACTGTGTTTTTACTCTAGTTGATGTTCTGTTTCATTGACTATATAAATTCCAACTGCTGCCTACCAATTTCAAAGATGCCAGACCCATTCTTTCTCTGCCATCACTCAGTTGGAACTATTTTCCTTGGCTCCTATTTTTGTCCTCTGCACAGATTTTCTTTTTCATATATAGTATAGCAAATCTTGGTAAATTTTGGCCACTTGTGTTTTAATTTAGTGAGGGACACAAACAATAACCAAAATAGCCATTTGGTTTACAGTGGTTCTGATTTCATCATATTCCTTTTGTTCCTGTCAAATTTTCATTATTACTATTTAATAATTATTTATCATTGATAACATCTATTAATAATTAACGTTATATCGATAACATTATTAATAATTAATGTTATTAATAACATTAATAGTCATTGTTAGTAATTAATTAAATTTCACCTTCTGTAAACTCACTGAAAACTGAGTAGACAGAATTTTTTTCTTCTTCATAAAACAAATCTCTCAGGACAACAGCCTGCTTCCTCCCTCTCTGAAGCTGCCCAGCTGTTAAACCTGCTTATTTATTACTGAGTTTGCACAGAAACCTTGCTGTCCAACTTACAGCTCAGTGAGGAGCAGCCTGCATGGACTGAGAACCAAGAGCAGCTGCTTTCCCAGGTTTTTCCAGAAGAGCTCCCTGACTCCCCTCCTTCATCTGGCTCCTCAGCCCACACTACATGGGGAAGAAGGCCTGGCCCCCTCTGGAGCCTGCAGGCAAGGGCTCAGTCAGGGCCTGTGACTTCGGTGTGTGCTGTGGCCCAGTATGTCATGTCTAAGTCTATACAGACCACAGTACTAGCCATGGCTACTAAGGCTAAATAAAAACATTGTGTTTATCTGGGCACCAGTGGCTCATGTCTGTAATCCTAGCTACTTAGGAGGCAGAGATCAGGAGGATCATGGTTTGAAGCCAGTCCGGGAAAATAGTTCTTGAGACTCTATCTCGAAAAAACCCTTCACAAAAAGGGGCTGGTGGGGTGACTCAAGGTGTAGGCCCTGGGATCAAGCCCCAGTACAACAAAAAACAAACAACAAAAAAACCCCAAAACAACAACAACAAAACTCATCAAACCAGGAAAAGGAGGAAACTCTTCAACCTGATACATGAGAAACCTACAGCCAAGATCATGTTTAACAATGCTGAACACTGTGCCCTAAGATCAGAAACAAGACGAATGTACATTTCTTCTACATACTGGAGGTCATAGTAAGTACACTAAGAAAAAGAAATAAAAGGTATAACAAACTATGAGAAAGAAGAAAAACTGTCTCTGTTTACAGATGAGGGTTATGGATAGAGAAATACAAAGTAATATATTAAATTAATAAGTGAATTTAGCAAGATCACAGGATTCATTAAAAAATTAACTGGCCTGGAGGTATAGCACTAGGGGTAGAATGTCTGCCTATCAAGAACTGAGATCCAACCCGGTACTGTCTCTCCATCAACTATTTTTATATAGTAGTCACATTTAAAATTAAAAAAAAAAAAATAGTATTTAGGACAGACTTATCTTTGGTGCATGCTTGTAATCACAGCAGCAGAATAAAGAGTTCAAGGCTAACCTAGACTGCATAGGGATATCCAGGCCAGCCTGGAACACACAGAACTCCATCTTAAAACAAAAACAACAAAAAAAACAAATATATCTGTAATCCTAGCTACTCAGGAGGCAGAGATCAGGAGGATTGCAGTTTGAAGCTAACCCAGGCAAAAAGAAGACTATCTCAAAAATATCCATCTCACACATATAAACAAAATGGCTGGGGAGGTGACTCACATGGTAGAGTGCCTGTCTAACAAGCATGAGGCCCTGAGTTCAAACCCCAGTACTACCAAAAAAAAACAAAAACAAAAACAAAAAAAGGCAAAACAGAAAACCCCATTCCAACAGCTTAAAAACAACCCAAAAATAAGTGATAAATTTGACAAAGTACTTGAAAGACCTATACACTAAAAACTATGAAACACTGATCTGCAGTGGTGTCATGTTTTTCATTCCTGATATTGTAATTTGAGAGTTTTCTTCTTTTTTTGCAGTATTAGGGTTTGAACTCACTCAGGGCCTTTACCTTGAGCCACTCCATCAGCCGTTTTTCTGTGATGGGTTTTTTTTGAGATAGGGTCTTGCCAGCTATTTGCCTGGGCTGGCTTCAAGCCTCGATCCTCCTGATCTCTGCCTCCTGAGTAGCTGGGATTACAGGCATGACCCATCAGTGCTGGGCTTTTTGTTTTTTTTTTTTTTTTGACCATGTCAGCTGAAGGTTCATCCAGTTGAATCCAGCTGACTTTTGTGATGAACTAGTTTTTTTCCCTCAACTGTTGGCCACTTAATTCATTTCTAGTCTTTATTTTTTCCTTCTTTATACTTTGGACTTAATTTGCTCTTCTTTTCCAATTTTAGTTCCTTAGGGTAGAAGCCAATTAGATCTGCAAGTGTTTTAAACAGTAATGCTGATTGAAACCACTACACCATGCTTCTGAGGTCTGCGCGTGTGTTTGTTGGTCAGTATTTTGCATCTGTTTACTGTGTGCAGGTTTATCAATCTATTTCCCCACCCAGCAGGTGCTGAGCCTTTGTGTTGTTTCCCCTTTGGGGCCATCACACAGACAGCTGTTACACATTTTGTGTGCAGGTCTTTGCCCGTGTTTTTACTTCTACCAATGCAATTACTGGGTCACATGGGAGAGGGCAGAGCTAGCATTACGGGGATAAAGCTGCAGAGGAACAGATTTTCTCCCCATAAAGTTGCTGAGAAAAACACAGAATACATTTGCAACCCTGAAGCAAGCACAAATTTCTTGGACAGGACACAAAAAACATAAACCATTTAAACTTGTGATAAATTGCACATCATTAAAATTAAAAGCTCAACGAAAGAGAGCATGGGTGAGAAGTCACAGAATGGGAGAAAAAAGTCATAGCTCACATATCTGACAAAAGACCCATATTCAATCCACACAGAAAACTCCCACAAAATAAATTTTTTTTTCCTGCAGTACAGTAGTTTGAACTCAGATCCTCACACTTCTCACTCAGGCACTGTACCACTTGAGCCACAAACCCAGCCCGATTTTAGCTTTCATTATTTTGATAGGGTCTTGCATTTGTTGCCCAGGCTAGTCTCGGACCTTAATCTTCCTGCATATACCTCCAAGATTACAGGCATGTACTCCCTAACTTTTTTGGTGGACCTCACCAACCACGATCCTCCCAATCTCTGCCTCCTGAGTAGCTGGGATTAAAAAGATTTTAAACAGGCAAACACTTCACCAAAGAAGATACTCAAATAGCCAGTAAGTGTATGAAGTGATCCTCGACATCATCTGTCACTGGGAAACGAGCATTTCACAGCACATGTTAAGAATATAGCACCGTCAAAATGTCTCAGACACTACTGGCCAGTGTGCATTACAGCCAGGCACAAAGTCTCTTCCCAAGTTGCGCTGGAAGCGTGGCTCAAGTGGTACAGCATCTGTCTAACCAGTGTGAGACTCTGAGTTCAAACTCCACTATCACAAAGAAAAAAAGAAAAAAAAGACAACAAAAAAAGTTGTATGTTCATCTTTCCTGTGACTCAGCAATGCCACTCAGGTAGGATGGGCCAGAAGGGAAGTGAGAGCAGAAAGCTTTCGTGACAAAACTAATCCATGGTAACAAAGCCAAGAGAGGAATTTGCAGGTGTAATGGAGGCACTGGCCACAGTGGCACAAGGAGCAGAGGACTCAGAAATGTCTCTCCTCTTTACTAAGACTATGGTAATTGCCAGAGAAGGCATTTTTCAAAACTCTTTAGGCCTGTACTCCAAATGAGCAATTTTAACTTTCAGTAAAACTGATTGAAAAAAGTAAAAACTAAGCCCAGAGCAGGGATTCACACCTGTAATCCTAGCTACTCAGGAGGTGGAGACTGGGAGAATTACTCTTTGAGGCCAACCCCAGGCAAAAAGTTATTGAGACCCCATCTCAACCAATGGCTGTGGAGGCACCTATCATCCCAGCTATACAGGGAAGCACAAATAGGAGGATCATAGTCCAGGTCTGCCAAGACATAAGGTGAGACCCTATCTGAAAAATAACCAAGGCTGGGCACCTGTGGCTCACACCTGTAATCCTAGATGATCAGGAGGCAGAGATCAGGAGGATCTTCGTTTAAAGTCAGGCTGGGAAAATAGCTCAGAGAGACCCTATCTCAAAAAAGAAAGAAAAAAAAAATAGGGCTGGAGTGGCTCAAAGTGTAGGCCCTGAGTTCAAACCCCAGTATACACACACACACACACACACACAAGGAAAACTAAAGCTAAAAAAAGTCCCCAGTCCCTTCAGCCTAAAGCTACCACCAGCACAGGCAGAAGGGCTGAGGGACCAGCACCTAAGAGCACAGGTGTCTGGGGCAGAGCTGGGCAGTCTCTTTGTTTTGTTTCACTTCACTTACTAGTATTTTGTTTTGTGAGCTGATGTGGTGACATCTCCCCCCAACCCCCAATAAAAACCTTTTCCTTCCCCCATTGCCAAGTCACTTTCCCACTTCTAATCTAGAGTGTATCTATTCCTAACCGTAAGGAACCATTCCAAAAGAATGGACAGAACCATACACAGAAGAACTTTGAGCTGCAAACTCAGATGTAATTCCTCCCCCATAACCACTCTGGCACCTCCATTATATGACTTATTAAGGTTTTGCATCCAGAGATAGGGGGACGTACAGGTGCCACTTTCAAAAACATTTGCTTCATATTTAGGGATGAAATTCAAACTTCACTGCTTAGGTGTTATCTCTTTTACTTATTTTTTTGTGGAGCTGGGGCTTAAATTCAGGGCCTACACCTTGAGCCACTCCACCAGTCCTTTTTTTGTGATTTTTTTTTTGAGACAGGGGCTTGCAAGCTATTTGCTGGGCTGGCTTTGAAACTTGATCCTTCTGATTGATCTCTGCCTCCTGAGCATTTAGGATTGTAGGTGTAAGCCACTGGCACTCAGATCTTTAAATTTTATTTTTTGTTGATACTAAGAGAAACATGACTCCAGAAATGAATGTCTAGAACCATGACTGCAGGCAAATACTGAGAGTTGGCAGATCTCTGCCATAGCTGTCTTCATAAGCAAGGGCAGTAGCACCCACTGACACCACAAAATCACAGCCTCCACAGTGTGTGGAAAGCAAGCTCAATGTGACAGGTCCCCAATGAGCACAGACTACACATACAAATGCTCAGGTAGTAAGTATTTACAGGTACCAAAATATAAGTTTCTTTTTTCTGGTGTAAGAGTAAATACCAAAAGTCTAACAACTGTGTCCCACTTTCAAGAACTTTAAGAACAACCATGTAAATAACCTCAATAACCACAGCATCCATAAAAATTTTTAGTTAAAAAGAACGGGGGCAGGGGGCACTCTATCCAGAGGTGGGGCTTGACAGAACTCATTCAGATAACAGGAACAAGCCTGGAAAACCCAATAAAGGCCCATGAGTGGCTAAGGACAACAAAGCCCATACATGAAAAGCAACAGAATCCAAGAGCTTTTGGAAATGCCACAGAAGGCAGACAGAAGAACACATCCTACTAGAAACACAAGTCTAAGGCTACTTAGAAAACAGGGAACCAATTTTATTCACTACAAGGGTTTCTGAAAATATCCTACACTACTTCGATGACGCTCCTAATGGTACAAGTCCCCAAGATGCATTTGTGTGCTAAATCCCCTTGTTAAAAACAGCAGAGTAGGTGATGTGTCCACTTCATTACCATAGGCCAGCAACATGGACAGCCAATTTCTAAGTGTCAGCCATATACTAATACTCTCCTCATCCCTAAGCAACTGGTCCCCCAGACTGGATTTATGCTCATGTCCCCGAGATCTTTGTAGTGCCTCAACACAGTGAAAGGGATTTTTGTTTGTTTTGAGACAGGGTCTCACTATGTAGCCCAGACTGGCCTTCAACTCATGATCCTTCTGCCTCAGCCCTCCCGAATGCTAGGATGCTGGGATCCCAGGCATGCTCCATCATGTATTTTAAGGTTATAAAACACATTTTGAAATTGGAATTTTTCTTTTTACTGTAAAACATCTTCCTACCTATAAGAAAACAGGCTATAGTTTATTCATGGCTCATTATAACCTATCAAAATTCTGTATTCTTTTACTTTTTAACTAGCTAGTGATTCATCATTCCTAGTTCCTCATACTCTTTCCATCTTCCAAATAAAATAACACCCTGTATTTCTACAACAAAACTTCCTTTTTTTTTTAATTTTTTTCCCACTCCCCACCTCAGCTCTAAGTAACAAACTAAACTTACATTTGCTAGATGATACCAGAAACATGTATAGACTGCCCCAAAATAAGCTGTGGATGCTAACCTCAGTGAGCTCTGTTCCAGAAGGTCAGACCATTTCAGCTCCACTAACTGCCACATCATCTCTCTATTGGAATCATCTCAAGACAGGCTATCCCCTTCCCTTCTGTTGATTTTCACATCATTAAAGTGACTGGTAACATTCATTTGAAGCATAATCTAATCTCCTCCTTTGGACTCATCTCAATACTTCAGCTTTTGGACAGCAAGAGTGAAAGGGACCTAAGCTGATGAATGTCTCGCTCTGCTACCTCTTTACAAACATCTATGTGTTCCTTTTCTTAGAGAAATCTAAGAATTTAGAGTTCAGAATTCTAAGAAGCCCTCTGGCTAGATCCTTCTCTCCTCCTTCTTTACCTGCTCCCCTTTACCTGACGCTAGTACATGGACAGGTTGCCCACTGCTGCCTGACCCCAATGTGGGTGGAAACCTGCAACTTCTGGAGCTGCACCTGCACTAGCAAAGCCATACATCCTTCCTGCTGCTGCTCTGCCTGGCCAAGTAGAGATACACTGTCATGCAGGGAGCACCTGGAGATTAGGCACTTATCAGTCCTAACACAGACAGCTGGCAATCTGTCCGCTTCCGGGCACCAGAGCCTGAGCCTAAGTGCTGTGCACCCACGATCTACAGGGTCCATTTGATCCAGGCTCTGTAGATGGGGCTGTGGCTGAGCAATTATCAAGGTCAAGCTGTCCTGAAGTCAGGAGTTAATCGGAACTCATTTATGATTTGAAAGGCCATACTCTCCACCACAGTCCTCATTAGCTCCAGTTGTTTAGCTTACACACAGTTATTATGCTGAATGCCTCAGGTTTACTCGCTATGCTGTATTTGACGACAAAATATGTATGTGTGTCTTCTTATGGAATGGTTACTAACGTCTTCACTCTTAAAATATTAGAGGATAAATCAAGGCAAAGATTGTAGATCTGGGCAGAAACTAAAGTTTGCAGTTTAAAATAATAACGTGATATGATTATAAAAGGGGGACCACTTGGAGGGAAGAGAGAGTGATGGAGCTGAATATGGTTGAAGCACATTATCTGTACGTGCGAAAAGAACATAAAGAAACCCACTAAAATTGCTTTAAGAGGAGGAAGGAGAAAGAAGGAATAAGAAGAAGTAACAGAGGGGTGAATTTGATCAAAGAACACTACACACGTATGGAAATATCACAAGGAAACCCTTTTATACAATTAATTTATAGTAATTCAAATAAAATATTCTGCTGCTTGAAAATCACCTTACAATTAAGTATGTGAGAGCATCTGTTACCTGGGGTTACGGTTAGCTGAAAGCAGTGAAGCTTGTTTGGATCAGGAAAGTGCACTTTACATGTACCTGAAAAAGAAACAGCACATCAGGAAGGTCTGGCGCCAACAGCAGCCCGCATATCAGGCTAAGCTTTGAACACACCAAAGTTAACGGTGCTGGTTCATAAGCTCAGTCAGTAGATCCCCTTTGGCATGTGTTTGTTAAACATCATGCCTATGTGCTCACATTGCAAGGTTTTTGCTATTTGTCTATCTCCTTAGTCTTTTACTATTAGTTATTCCAAAGTGAGATATTTTCCTTCAATTATTAAATGGCCACTAAAAACAGAAATCTTCCCATTAATGTCAAGAATTATGCTATTTAAGCCTAGCAAGCCTAGCAAACGTGAGGCCCTGAGTTCAAACCTCAATACTGCCCAAAAAAGACTACTTAGTTTGAAAAGCAGAAACCACAACTCAAGGAAAGTGATGTGTGGGTAATGACTGACTAAACAGAAAACCAGGACAAGAACCAGGTCAACGTTCTAGTCTGCTCCCCTGGTGAAGGGAGGTCAGAAAGAAGTGTGTGTCCTAAGAACTGGCTCCCACCCAGAGTTTACCACATGAAAACAAAAAAATCCCAATCTCATGGTAACTCATCTTGTTCTGTTGGTGAAATGAAGATGCTCTGCTAACTCAAATGGCAATGTTTTGGGTACACTGGTCCCAAGCCAGAAGGAGCCTGGATCAGAACAAGAAGCTCCCCCAGAGAGAAGAGCCACTGCCCATGGAACAGGCAAGGGAAGCTCCCATCTGCCTCCTCCACACAAGGATACAAAAGGATGGTAACTGCTCATGGAATAAACGCTCACAGAATCTGGAAGGAATATATAAAGAAATTTCCTATATTTACCTGAAAACTCAGAAAGTATTATACTAGATTCCTTGCTCATCTACTACTTTCTTTCAAGTTCCACTGAAAATACTTATGTAGTTTTGCAATGATATAAACTTTCAACAAAACTAAAATTATTCAAATAAAGAGTCAGAAAATGGCCTTAGAGATCATCTACTCCAACATCGTCAATTAGGACAGATGACAAGAAATTCTACACAGAGGTTCCAGGACTAGTCCAACAGAAGGCCATCAGCAGAAGCAAGGTTCATCCCAAATGAGTTCACGCTCTTCCCTTTACCATAGGCCTCACTTCCTTTTGGTGTCTAGTGAACAGGTTTGACACAGGATAGTGAGATACAACGTAAACACAACAGAGGGGCTAGTGGAGTGGCTCAGTGGTAGCGGGCCTGTTTAGCAAGTGTGAGGCCAAGTTCAAACCCCAGTGCTGCCAAAAACCAAACAATAAGAACCAAAAAATACCCAAACAAAGAAAAAAGCACATCAGAGGCTGGATGTGATAGAACATACCTGTAATCCCAACTACTTGGGAAGATAGAGGCAGGAGGACCATGGCTTCAGGCCAGCTGGGGCCTATCTCAAAAACAAAATACAAACAAAAGGATCGAGGGCCCCCCAAGTGGCAGAGCACTTGCCTAACATGGTTCAGTCCCCAAAAGTGCAACACAGGAGTGTTGGTGGGGTTTGTTTTTCAGAGTGAAAGATAACTCCATCTACAAGGATAAAAAGCAGTTAGAGACTTCCATTTTCTTCTTTTGTTTTTTTGGTCGTACTGGGGTTTGAATTTGGGGTCTAGTGTTTGCTAGGCAAGTGCTCTACCACTTGAGCCACACCTCCACTCAACCATATCCTTACTTTACATATAAGCTTCCAGGCAAGAGTTCAAGGCTTTTTCCCAATCCTAACTTGAAAATATAAATGCCTCTCTGTGACATATATGTAAGGAAAACAGATGACAAAGGCTTGGGAAATATCTTGATTAGCTGAGATCGGCACCTATTTGCTTTTAATACTTGGCATTTTCCTCTGTTTAGTAAAGGTATAGATGTAGAAACCAATCCCTCTGAAATAAGACAGGCCTATCAGGAATAAAGAAGTTACTGAGATGGATTAAAAGCAATGAAAATACTATAAAACACCAAAAACTTTAAAGCTCAAAAAAGGCTAAATTTTGTTAAGTTAGGCTTTTGTTTTAGTTTAGTGCAGGACTTTATTATGAACTCCAGAATTAACTTTTACTCTACATATACAAACAAGCTATCTAAAACTCTACATTTCAGTCTACCTGAAAGAGATGCTATTTAGTTAAAATTCTTACTTGAAAGCCAGCCATGGAGTTTTGTTTTCAGACTGTATAGGTTAAAACCCAACAACCTCTGTAAGACTCATATTCAACAACAAAACCAGCCATTTGTAAGTGGGACCATTGTGTGGTCTTTGATGAAAATATGTACATGTGTACACCGTTCAAGACGGCAGCAGAAGGCATGATGGCAGGGGAAAGCAGGTCACTTTACTTCACTTTGTTATTAGGAAAATATCCCAACATACATAATGGTAGAGAGAACAGTGCAATGAACATATCACCCAGCTTCAACATTTTCCCAATCTTGCTCCATCGCTCCGATTCCCCTCCACCACTGTTACTTTCCTGGAGCATTTTAAAGCACACATTTCATGTACAAATACTTCAGTAGTAGAGATTTAAGCTTTCAAGTTTAGGTTTTGTTTGGTGATGGAAACCAGGGTACACACATGCTAGGCACATGCTCCACTGCTGAGCTGCACCGTCAGCCCAGAAATTTAACCTTTGAACAGAATCCCAGGACAGCACCTTCAGTTCTGACTTGACTTTGAGGTCAATACAGGGACTTTCTTTTTCATTTCTTCTTTTTGAAATTTTGCATACTATGTACTTCAATAATATTCCATAACCCTCTCTTGTCCCCTTTTCTCCTCCTAGGAGTCCTTCCACCCAAGAGGCTCCCTCTGCTTTCATATCTTTTTTTTTTGGTTAAATCTAGATTCCACATGAGACAAAACATGCTATTTTTCTCTGAGTCTGGTTTTTTTCACTTAACATGATGATCTCTATTTCATTTTCCTGCAAATGACATAATTTTTTTTCTTTATGACTGAGTAATATTCCATTCTCTATATATACTGTATTTTCTTTATTCATTCACCCTGAGATGGGTACCTAGGCTGATTCCATGAATAGTGCTGTAATAAACATGGATATGTAGGTGTGTCTACTGTATGCTGACTTTGATTCCTTCAGGTGTATTTAGGAGTGGTACAGCAGGATCATATGGCAGATCTATTTTTAGTTTTTGAGAAGCCTCCATGCTGATTTCCATACTGGCTGAACTAATTTACATTCCCACAGTGTACACAGGATCCTTCTCCTCCACCCCCATCCTCATCAGCACTCAGTTTGTTTTCTTGAAGACTAGTCATTCTGACTGGGGGAGATGAGTAAGTGTTTCCTTTATGGCGAGGGATGCTGAACATTTTTTCATGCATTTATTTGTTGAGATAAAAAGTAAGTTTTTTGAGGACTCTGTTCAATTCATTCACCCATTAACTGACTGGACTATTTGGGTTTGTTCTGGGGGGTTTTTTGAGTTCTTATACCACAAAAAAAAAGAAAGAAAGAAAGAAAAAAAGAAAAAGAATTTTTGTATCTATGTTCATCAAGGAAACTATAGGGGTTTTTTTTGTTATGTTCTTGACCAGTTTTGGTATCAGGGTACTAGTGGCTTTATGGAATTAATTCTGTAGCATTCCTTCCATTTCTGTTTTATGGAATAATTTGAGGAGTACTGATTCTCACCCCACCCCCACCAACACTGGGGGTTGAACCTGGAACCTGTGCAGTCTAGGCAAGTACCCTACCACCTGAGCTATGCCCCCCCCCGCCCCGCCTCCTTTTGCTTCTAGTTTATTTTTGAGATAGGATCTTGCTAACTTTGCCTGGACTGGTCTCAAATGTGAATTCTTCTGCCTCTGCCTTCAGAGTAGCTGGGATTACAGATATGCACCACCAGGCTCAACTTGTGTTAGTTCTTCTGTAGAGGTCTGGTAGTCAATCCAAGGACTTTAAAGACATTTTGAAAAAACTCACAATAAAAAACATTTTTTATATCACAATCTATTCTTCTTACATATACATACTACATATCAGGGTTGGAGGTGTGGCTCAAGTAGGCGTTTGCTTCTCAAGTACAAGGCCCTGCGTTCAAACCCCAGGGCTGCCCCCCAAAAGACAAAAACAAAAAATTCTACATATCAAATAAATTTTTTAAGAAACAACTTTTACTTACCTTCACAGACTAATAAACCACTTCTAGGGTTTTCCAATTTTACATGGCAGTTGAAATGAGCCCTCTCCTAGCCATACCAGCCAGGCTTCCACATAAAAACCCAGGTCCTCTGTAGCATTCACTCAAACCAAGAGGCCCACTTACAAAATATTTTACCCACATCATCAAGCATCCTTGGTCTCAGAACTATTTTAAATCAAGTATGATGGTAAAAAGCTATAATGAAATAGTGAAATGATTAAAGTTTTCAGACCTTTGATGGAAGACTAATGATAGGAAAGACAATCTGACACACACTATTTATACAGTGCACTGCCTGCTAAGTGGGCGGTGAGTGAGGACTGCACAGTTGGGCCTGTGTGTTTGGGGCACAAAAGACTGGGCGATCAACCTCAAACCAAGACGAGTAACAGGGAGCATATTCTGGACCAAAATGGTGGTATCATCACTGACAAAAATAGGACTGTCTGGTACTGATTTATATACCTTTTTACTCATTGTGAATGTGGAACACAATGCCTGTGGAAGGAAGAGGTCTCAAACCTAACCATCACACCCCTGCAAAACTAAGGTAGAGAGATTCTGCACGTTCTTTGTCCAGAGACTGCAGAACAGCATGTGCAGTTCTACCTTTTTGCATAAAATTAAAATTCATTCCTAACATACATAAAAAGTAGGGGTTTTGCTATGCAAGATCATTAACACATAAAACAGGCTTTTTTTCATGCAATTATTTTAGAGTACTATTTTTGACTGGATGCTATACTTACAAGGTAAATTAGCCTCGAGTTCCGCAACCTCTGTAGAAACAAAGAGATTATGGTTAATGTTAGTCTTCATTGTATTGCTAGTTGTAAATTAGCAATTTCCTCTAGGGCACAGAAGAAAAAAATAAACCAGATGAACTGAAACTCAGTCTAGAGTTCACACTATTCAGTTGTTTTCAGATATCTAGAGGGAAAATCACTGTAAACTAACAGAAATGTCTAAGTACAGAGTGACTAGTGTTTTGAAAACTGTTCCCTCAAGGAGCAGAGACACTCCTTTCAAAATCTGACTTATACATAACATGTATAAATTTTTTCCCAGACCGGTCTTCAAGTTGCTTCCTTACAGCTACATTTCTTGACTCTAGTCCTCTCTCCTCATGCCTCAAGACCACCCAGTTCCTCTTTTATCTATGTCTTATTAGGCGTTTAAACCCAGCACCCTTCTGCAGGACAAAGCTGCACTTCCATCTCAACAATTCTACTATTTGAGAGCTGAAGTCTTCTTCAAGATCTGGTAAAAGGCAGTATGCCCACTCTCACCACTTCTACTGAACACAGCACTGGAAGTACTAGCAAGAGCAACGAGACAAGAAATAAAAGGCATGAAAAGCGGAAAGGAGGTTATTATCCCAGTTTGCAGATGATACCACCCTATATACAGAAGGCCCTGAAGACTCCACCAAAACACAAGTTAGAACCAGCAGACCCAGTAAAGCTGTGGGGCAGAAGACCAGCATACAAAGCCAATGGTTCTGCTTCTGCACACTGCCAACCAGCTAATCAAAACAGAAACCGTGCTTGGGTGTGGTGGTGCCCATCTATAATTCCAGCACGTAGAGGCTGAGACAGGAGAATCAAGAGTTCCAGGTCAGCCTAGGCTGCAGAGGGAGACCCTGTCTCAAACAAACAAAAGTCAAAATAGAATGGTAGTGAGCTGTGAAAGGTTCAAGGCCTCCATGCTTAGAATGACTGCATTGACCTTTAACTGTCTTTCTTGAGAGCTGTTATTGCTTTTCCGGTGGAGGGGCGGGGTGGCAGGCAAAAGGCTAAGGAAGACAGCAAATGAGTCATTCACATTAATCATTCTTAAGTGTTACCATGTTATCCATATTAATTAAACTGTTTTAAAGCATATTTTATTCTAATGGTGCTTCGATTTTTTTTGGCAAGAACTTGTAAGAATCTTCTCCAGACCCTTCTTTTTAGGGGGTGGGGAGGAGACAGAGACTGGGGTTTGCATTCAGGGCTTTGTACTTGCTAGACAGGCACTCTACCACTTGAGCCATGCCTCCAGCCTCCCTCCCCTTTTCTTGAGATGGGTTCTCTCTAGTAGCCCAGGTGAACCTCCTGCCTTAGTCTCTGGAGTGCTGGGATTACAGGCATACAGAGCCCTTCTTTTGAGAGGTAGATGTTGGCCACTGCAATTTGGCTTTTCCTCAGTTCACCCTGTGGCTGTGGCTCAAGGCCACCTAAGCAGAGGAATATTCTATCTGCAGTTGTGATAACTCCTGTCATCCAGCTTTGCCTAATGACATTTTAAAACATGTCTACAGGGTATGCATTTCAAACGGGAAGGATAATGGCATAACAGAAGCAGGAGGTTCAGAAGGACAGTCCAGCACCGAGATGAGAAAGATCTGGGCCCAATGGCAAGCAAGGCCATGGTGGGTGAGAGGAATGGGAGAAAGCTGAGCAGGTATCTTGCCCACCCTCCTGCCTGTCCATCTGCCCATCTGTCCATCTGCCCACCCATCCATCCATCCATCTCTTCTGGGTACAGGAAGGGGATGTGGATACCCTCATGGATGGAGGACTCGGACTCCTTACTGTAAACAGGGGTTTTCAACCCTGGCTATGCATCAATCACTGAGGGAGTATTTAGCTGATTTGACTTTGCTCAACAGATTTGTTGAGGAATAATACACACACTATAGAGTAACTTTAAGCAAAGAATTCAGTGATTTTTAGTAAATTTTGGAGTTGTGTATCTATACCACAATCCAGTGGCTACAGAGATTCTAAAAATCCTGATGCCCCCACCATACATATCCCAGACCAATTACATCCAAATTTCTAGGTATGGTCTAGGCCTCTATTTTTATTCTCCCCACTAGCTCATTCTGCATATGTGACCCGTCATAACAAAAATATCTTACAAAAGTGACTTATAAACAACGAAAACTTATTTCTTCAGTTCTGGAGGCTGGGAAGTCCAAGGCCAAAGCAACAGCAGATTCAGTATCTGATGAGGACCCAGGGCCATTGTAGATAGTGCCTTCTTGCTGTGAGTTCATATGGTGGAAGAGGAAAGGCAGCTTTCTATGGTATCTTTTATAAGGGCACTAATTCCATTCATGAGAACACCTCATAGTGGGAGCTATACACCTCCTGAACTAATCAGCTCCCAAGTGTCCTACCTACTAGTACTATCACACTGGTGATTAGGTTTCAATATACAAATTTGGAAGGAAAGAAGCATTCAGGTGCAATATATTGCTATAGACTATAGGAAAATATGTACATAAAGCATTACACACATAAATGAACTTAATAAAAAGTTCTCTCTATGGAATGCAAAAAAAAAAAAAAACATTATAGTCAGGAATTTAAATTCCAAGATAAACGCTCTCCTTGCAGTTGCACATTCAGTGTATAACTCACTCAAGGAAGGCAAGGGCTGGAAAGCCTCAGATCTAGCCTACTGACAACCCTATGGTTGGGACCCCTTAAAGGCTTTTTGTCCAGGAGCCAGTGCAGACAAGGAATAGAGACCTGGGACACAGGATTTCAACAATGATGCTCAGCATTTGGGTCCAGCGTAGTGCAGACTATAAAACAATCCAGGCACACTTGCACAGGGCTCCTGTCAGGAGCTGTCACAAATGACAACTCGTGTTTCCACTTCAAATGATGGCAAATGGTAATTCACTAGCGTAATAATTGTCATCTCAGAGTTAACACAAGGAGACTATGGCAGAAGAAGCAAGCCAACTTCTTTTCTTTGTAAGCCTGGAGGCCTCTGACCAAACCCTTTCCCTGATAACCTCATCATCTGAAGATACTGCCTGGCATGTAAAGTAACAAGAACTGACAGATATTTTTAAACTGCTGAAGTCTCACTTGTTCCAAGATGCTAACACTTCACCTGCTCAGTGGCCAAGCATCTCTGGGAGGCACCTGGCACCTTGTACAACTGGTAGCTACATAACTCCCTTATGAGAAATTAGACTCTTCCTTTCTAACTAAGGATCAAACCACAGAGCCCACTCAAAGCATGACTACACTCAGATATTGGATTACAAAATCCACCAGTTACCACAGTGGCCCCTCGTATCTCACAAACCTTTCTGTCCTAGGTTGCTCAACACAAGGCTCTACCTGTTTTCTCACCACTTACCACACCAGTACACTCTTCATGGGTGGGAGCTATACAGCCTGCCCCAGACCTACTCCAGTACCTGGGCTGGGCACACAAGTTGCTGGGGAAATGGGGGACATGTAAGCACACTTGCAGGGTAACAGGGCCCTGCTGCAAGTGTCCTAAGAGGTCTGGAGTCTCTGTTATCACTGGTTGAGGACTAAGGAGGCATGCCAAAGGTACCGTGACCTAAATCTCTGCCCTCCTGGCTTCATATGCTGAATGGATAAGCCCCAATGTAATGGGATTTGGAGGAAGGGCCTTTGGGAAGTGATTAGGTTTAGAGGAGGCATGAGGGTGAGGCCTCCATGATGAAACTAGTAATCTTAAGAGAGTAGGAAAACCCAGACTCTCCCTCTCTCTGACATGTGAGGACATAACTCAGAGGCAGCCATCCTAAAAGCCAGGAAGACAGTTCTGGCTAGGATCTTGATCTTGGACATCCAGCTTCTACAACTGTGAGAAAAAAAGTGTCTGTGGTTTAGGCCCAGTCTATGCCACTTGCCTATAGCAGCCTGAGCTAGCTAAGACAAAAGGCCAGTCATAGATATAGATGACTCTTGGCAGGAGCTAGCTCCAAGTCCCATTAGATGACACAAGGCAGAGCAGCTGAGCCCTTCGTCTCAGGTAGAGATGGCAGCTACTTCCCAGAAAACCAAATTATTTCATTCCACCTGAAGCACTGCCTCATAGATTTCCTGAACTAGAACTTAGGCATGCATTAAAACCCTCAAATCTTGCCTCTTTTATACTTCCTGCATCTACTCAGTGCCCTTATCTAGGAGGCCCTTGAACGATACCTGGGGCCTCATCCCCTCCAAAGAGCACTGCTCTAGATGACCACCCCCCCACCGCCCCAACCCCGGCTTTCTAGTGCCACTCTGTGGGAGCAAGGGTATAATCTGGAAAGCAGGCACAGCCCTTTGTAACAGAACCTATATCACTGAGGAGGGAGCACAAGGCCTCATGCCACCTACTTTCCACATGAACACAGAAAACACCAACCTCCAATATCAGCCCATAATTCTGACTTCCACAGGTCCTCCTGCCCCATCAGGCTGTGGGCACACCTGAGGTTTCCCTGGGCCACTTCACTGGTATTTAACTCTCCAAAAGAGCATGAAAACCTCATCCTAGTGTCCACTTTACTTTCATGTTAGCACAATTTCTCCTTGCTGGACCACTGCTCTAGTTTTAAAAGTATGCAACCCCTTAGCTTCACGTGATGCCAAAGGCTGTGACAACCCTGACAATATGGCAAGCCATATCCTGACCCACTTGCCAGAGGTAGGGGCAGGGACTGGCTGGAAAGCTGACCTGGGGAGGCTTTCTCCTCCTTCTAGGGGTGGACTGGAATGTGGGCACATAAGAGACCTGGAAGAAGGTGAGGACCCTACCAATGCATGTATGGGTTCTGTGGACACAGGCGCCTTCATGCAGGGACGCTGACCCAGGGCACTAGGAGCACAGGCAGGTGTACAGCCAGCTTCTTTTGCTCCACAGAGTGAACTTAAGAGTGTACATTTCCATCCACCCACAGCCCGCACCAGCTGAACAAGAGAAAGTTATGAAGTTCTTGGGTTGTGGGATTGCTAGGAACAAAGGCTGCATAGAACCATCCCTCTCTAGTTCCTCTGACTTCAGACCTTACCCTGAATGAGTTCAATTCTAAATCTCTACACTTAACAAAGCCTAACATAGGTGAAGGTTCCTGCCAGCCCACCTGGAGCCTCCTAGGATCTTCTGGAGTTACAAACATTATGTGGCAGTAATGAGTTTGTGGGGTGAGAAGTGAAAGATCAGGGAGTCAAACAGGCATTCAGCGGTCAGAAGACAACAGAACCAAACTTCAGACAGACAAGGAAGCCATTAATTCTGTCCTGGGGTGTTAGGAGCACCCCCAGATTCCAAATATGCTGGGTCAGGGGCTGATCAGGCTGGGATTTCTGACACCCACAAGAGCCACCCAGTCAGGCCCTAATGAAACACACAAAGGGACACTCTCTCAAATGACCCAGCTCCCAGGAATTAAGCCAGACAGTACCCAGAAATGTGGATTGTTTGACACCTCCAGGAACTGCTGCTGCAAATGTCTTGCCAGTTCCAGCCAGAGGGCACTCTCAGAACCAGTCAGATTCTGATGGGGGAGTGCTGCCCAGTAGGGCAGAGCCTCTCAGGCCAGTCACTGCAGAACAAGCCAAGTGTTTCTGGGGATCTGGAGAGGATAGGGAGTGCTGACTCCAGCCTTCCATTACTATTCCAAGAAAAAGAAGGGGCTTTCGGCTATGCAACCACTTCTGGTCCTCCCTGCCAGGACAAGCCCCAATCCCTCCTCCATCTGTGTGGCCCTACAACCAGAGCCACATCACACAAAGTCAGCAAGGCAATGAACGACCTAGTTATAAACACCTAGTTTGGCCTGTTAATGTCTTTCCTTTGGGAAAACATGGAATGGGCAACAGATAGCTGTGATGCATGGCCCAGATGTCCTCTCAGTAGGGCCTCTGGGCACATGGCCTTCAGCAATCAGCCTTTTCCAGAATTTTGTGGCTAAACAGACCACCTACTCCAGCCACTATCTGAAAATTATGGAAGCAAAGCAGGAAGGCTTGAGCAACTTGCAGCTTGGGAACAGCTCTAAGGGCAGAGCTGAGGCTGTCATGGAGCTGTCCTCAAAGCACAACCTTTTCCCTCTGCTCCTCCTGCTGTACTCACCTCCTTTCATGGTGTTAAGCCCTAAAAATACTCCTTAATAACTATACTGCATAACAAACTCCCTGCCTCCCCTTCTGGGACTCTAGCCTGTGACAGTCAAGTCCTAAAGACACAGTGAGTTTTCTGTGCCCTGTCCATCCTCATGAGTTACGTATTCACAAGAGCCCAAGTCCTGGTCCAGGATGACAATCTTGACTGGAGCAATCTTGCTGAAGTCAAACAGCCCATTTTGTTCTAAGTCCCTAAAGGAGCTTCACCTAGAAAGGATTCTCACCAGGTTTACCCCTCCAGCTGCCAGCTACCCAGAGTAGATTCCATTGCCCTGTGCAGTACCATCTCCAGAGGACTGAAGGCACCATTCACCCAGCCAAAAGGGTCAAGAAGCAGCATCCATCAACCATCTGAGCATTCATCACACACTCTGTGTTTAAAGTCTCCTCTCTTAGGTTGGGCTTTACCCAACCTCCACCCCAAGCCCAAACTATTCACCCCTCAGTCAGCCCAGAAGCCCAAAGGAGATGGAGGAAACAGCCCTCCAGAGTGTTACACAAGCTGTACCACCATCAATCACAAGTGCTTTGGGCCCTAGAAACTTGATAATCACCAATGCCCATCACCAGTGCCTAGGAAGATGCAAACAGTGGCTCTATAACATACCTCCTTGGGTCTCTTGAGGTCAAAGGCTCTCAACTGGGCCCTGTCAATTGGTCATAAGCATTTGCTCTTTAGCTGGGGCAGAGACTGGCATTGGGAGACTCAGTGGGCTCCCCTGAGCTTTGGAAGGCCTGGAGCCAATTTAAAAACTTTCAGGTGAATCCCTGGACAGAGAAGGGGTAGAGACTGTGCTTTCAACAATTCTCTTTTCTGTGGACTTGCACTTCTTACTGGACTTTGGTTTGCTCTTGGTCCCCAAGAGCCTGCTCTGTTTCAGGATGTGGTCTGGGCATCCTGCTGCAACCAGAGCGGATTTCTTAACCTTTCTGAGCCTTAGCTCTTCAGCTGCAAAATGAAGCACCCACTTGGGAAGGCTTTGCAATAGTTGAGCAGGAATTACTGCTAAAGTGCTTACTATCTATGGTTTGAACTAAAGTGCCTGCTATGGTCAGAAGGTTCTCAAAATTCATGTTGAAATTTAATCTCCATTAAGATGGTATTAAGATGTAGGGCCTTTGGGAAAGCGATTAAGTCATGAGGGATTTACCTGGAGGAACGAATTACCTACTACCTCATAGAAAAGGCCAAAGAGAACTAGCTCAGACTCTTTTTTCCTTTCCCTTTCTTCTGCCACCAAGACACAGCAAACCAAGACATATCTTGGAAGCTGAAAGCAGACTTCAGCAGACACCAATCCTGGTGCCTTAATTTTTAACTTTCCAGACTCCAGAACAATGAGAAATAAGTATCTGTTGTTTATAAAAGACTCAGTCAGTGATGTTTGTTGTAGCAGCACAAACGGACTTGGACGGTGCCTAACTAGAGGCCTGGTTCTTCTAAGTGCTCGGTGTACCCAAGCTCTATTGTTCATAATGACGGCAGCGTGACGATGGGAGACATCTGTCAACTTCTACTGCTCCTCAGTGCACTAAACCACTCTCCATTCCAAGTAGCAACAACACCCTACAGACTCCTCTGCCTGCCTGCTTTGCTGACTTCAGGCTTCCTCTGCAGATGAAACCCCTGAGGCTACAATCTGAGAAAGACATTCAATGCTACCAGGCCCACCCAAGTGAGGTGCTCCAGCCAATGCCTCACACCTGACCCTGGCAGGGTGGTCCCTCCTGTGCTGTAAGAATACAATCTAGGTTCTCCTGGACTTGGTAGGTGAGAACAAGATGTAAACTATGATTTTTCACTTTCCTTTCAACCAATCACCATCAGCCTGGATAACTTAAGGCTACGTCAAGATTCAGGGGCAGGGAGAGGCTCTGTTAAGTCTCCACAAAACTGCTGCCTTCTTGCTCCAACCCTTTCCCCAGTTCAGCAGTGATTTGTGTGGGGAAGGTAGAACACAGCGTACGTACTCTTACCCTACACTTTCCTTCAGCCAGACTTCTCTGGCACATTCAAATGCTGGTCAACCCTGTTGCCCACCTAATACAATGGGCAAACAGGCAGTTCTAACACTACTTAACCCTTTTTTTGTAGTCTAACTACTATAAATGCAAGAAATATATAGTAATCCTGGTGCTTGGGAGGCTGATGTAAATTAGAGGCCAGCTAGGGCTAAATAGTGAGACCCCATTTCAAAAAAAAGTCAAACAAAATATGTAACTAATTCTAATTTGTTATAAAGTGTTACAAATTATAATCTCCCTAAAGGCAGCAACTGCTTCATCTTTTGTATACCTCAAAACTCTAAGAAACTACTTTGTGTTTGCTCAATGAATAGAAATTTTACATACAAACACAAATGAGTGAATATTCGCATACATACATTCTCACATATGGACAGCAGGAATGTCTGTGGCCCTAGGACCCTATTTATGTGACCACAGCTAACTTTGCACTAGGCTTTGCTCTGAAACAGGAAGGGATCTGTAGAGGTTACCCAATTTGACTCCCTCCCTTTTCCAGACTTGGAAACTATTCCTGCTGTGCTTCCCACAGGGGAGAGGAAGACAGAGGAAGATAATCCAGTGCTCAGGCCTGCCAGCTTCTGGTGCAGGATCCCTTCCACCAGCATATGGGCGGAGCAGACAAAGAATATTCCTGGTGCAGGAGACACTGCAGTTCCTGACAGCATCCCCTATCATCTGCACAGTACAAGTTTTTCCATAATAGGCGACGTGTAATTCTACTTTAAAATCTTTTTTTAATGCCTGTTTCCATTCAGCAACAGGCTGCTTTATTGTGCTGTAAATATAAAAACAGGTCTCATGGATGATTACCTTTAATAAGCAACTTGTCTCTCACAGAAACTCTCCGAGTGGAGTCAGACGTGGTGGTTGACGTCCGGGACCCTTTGAGACCGTCATCTCGCTTCAGTTTGCTTGCCAACGTTAGCATTACTGCCACCTTTACTCTGGAAGACAGGGGCAAGACCAGGGCTCAGGACCATGTCTCTAGACTAGACATGGCAGAAATGTACAGGTGCTTTTTAGTTTTGATTGTTCCCTAAAACTTACAGATAATTTTACACACATTAATAACACTCATTCCTTCATGATGTATTTGGGTAAGCTCTAAGCATATGCTAACTCTAATACTTTAAAAGTATGGGTTAAAATGTTAAAAAAGGGAGTGTCACACATTTAACATTCACTGGACACTCACTAGGTGCTAGGCCCAGGGGGCCTTCCACAGCTCAACCAATATGCAAAGGGGGACCAGGCCTCAAAGTCCCACCCAGCAGGAGCAGCAGTAGCAGCAGCTGCTGGGGTAGGAAGGGCACTATGACGCCTTTCTTTCCTTCTTCCTTTAACAAAGGTGTGCACGATGTCTTCAAACAATCTTTGCATTTTTTTATGTTGTACTTTATTTACATCTTTCTCAGTATCAACATCAAGAGTAAATTATAATTAATGTCCCAAATTAGATTCTCTTCACTGGCTACTTCTGGCCCATGTGTTTCAGGTTCTCTCACTAAAAGCTCTCCAGGAAGGCAGCAAAGACCAAACATAGGTGATAGTCAACTGCCTGTAAGAAGGGCCAAAGAAATGCCACTGCCGTTTTTAAAGACTTCATTTTTTTCTTGAGCAGTTTTAGATTCACAGCAGTGTTGTCAGAAGATACAGCCACTTCCCCTGTACTCCCTATCTGTTTCCCACAATCAACATCCCCCACCAGAGTAGTTCACTTGTTGCAAGTGATGAACCAGCATGGACACACATTATCACCCAGAGTCTACAGGTTACATTGCTAACAGGTACGATGATCCTCTAGCATCTGTCTTCTGTTTGTCATAAACTTCCATTAATTGGACACTCCTCCTACTTTATCACACCCTCAGACAGGGACTCTGGAGCATTTTTGAGGACAAAAATTAGATACCAGTTCAGGCTGGATGAATTGGTAAATTCAAATCTCAACACGTGCAAAAAAAGTTACCAGTTTCCATATTTTCCTTTCTGATGTTAATATCACTTCCTTTCAGCACTAGTCTGATCACTTCCAAATGATCTAAAATTTCCAAGTTAAATGTTCCTTCCTTTCTCCCAAAAGGTTTACCACCTAGACATCCCTATACCACTGCAGTCTGTGGCTGTGCTTCCTGCTTTCACACCCCTCACTGCTTGGCAGTCTTCTCTGTAGGCAGAGCATGGATGCCCCACACTCAGTTCTACTAAAGGGGCCCATTCCTGGCTTGCCATCTTCAATAAGACGGTGGTCCTTAATAAAACACATTGGGCACCGACTGTGCAATGTACAGAAAAAAACAACACTGGAGTTTTCTCTTTGATAGAAGATAATACAAAACTTACTTTCCTAACATTCTTAAGAAATGTAAGAATATAGTCACCATCTATTTCTCCATCATCTGTATTGTTATCACACATCACTTTAGGGGCAAACCAAAGACCTAATTTGGAAATGTTTCTCTAAACTGGAAAAATAAAACTACACAAAAGGATTCAAACAAAAATAATTATTCAAACTGTCAAGAAGTTAGCTGACTACCTGCAGTTGCTTCAGAATTCACTTTTCCTTCTCCAATACATTTCACCTCTTGAAAATCTGGTTTAAAGCTAAACTTCCCCTTTCTTGAAAATTACACTGAGGAAGGCAGTATTTCGGGACAGATTAGCTATTCTGAATCACATGCTCGGTGTCTAAATTCAACAAGTTGTAATTGGCCCAGTTAAGTTCCTCCTATGGGTGGGACCTGCTTTCAAGGCTCCCAAGAAGAGGTGTTTGTGTGTAATTTACCAGTCTCATCATGGAGTGATGTTTACTCAGCATTCCTGCAAGCAATGGTGAAATCAAGCCACCTCACCTGTGCAGGGACACCGTAGGGGGGGGTGGGGGCGGGGGCAAGTCAGCTCAAGGTGAGGTCACTCCTCATTTACAAATTCCTTCTGCCAAATCCCATCCGCACAAAAGATGGGACTGCAGGTCACTGGAGGACATTGGACAGGACACAAAGTCCACACTCCACCTCTCTGCAGAATGTCAGTGCCCGGGAACCCCCAGCCTGGCGGAGTCTGGTGGGCTGCCCACCCCCTTTTACTCTCCACAGCAAACCCGCCCCCTGCTGCTTCAGCTTCTACCGACATGGCAGGTTCTGCCGAACCGAGCAGGGATCCTCAAGCCCCACCACGAATCGAGCTGGTGAATACCTGTCCCTCTCCCCAGCAGAGGACCTGCGGACCTGCTCCTCACTGCTCCTCCACGACGCGCTGCTCATTTCTGGAAGCTTCGGATCCATGTGACAGCCCGGTCCGGAATGTCCCCTCCCCTCCGCCCTTCCCTCGGCCACCTACCCCGACCCCTTCCTTAAAGACAAGAGTCCGCCTAGATCCAATGTCTCCTCCAGGACGCCGCCTCCCGCAGCTCCAACCGCCCGGGCCCGACGCCGCGCTGCAGGGGGCGCGGAGGGACCGACCCGGCGCCTCCGCGACAGACCGGGAAACTGAGCCTGGGGGGGGGGCGGCCACACCCCGATCGCGCACCGGCAGGACCAGGTCTGGACCGAGGCTGCCGTGCGGGTCGTGAGCCGCCCTCCCCTCCTCGTCGGCCTCCGCGGCGAGCGGCCCAGCGCGCCCCCAGCTCCCGGGGACCCCCTGCCCCCGGCCCGCCGGCGCCGTGACCTGGCCCGGCGCGGATGCAGGCGGCGACTCCGCGAGCGGCGGGCGCGGCCCGGGTCGCCGCCGCGCTCGGCTCCGCTCGGCTCCGCTCGGCTCGCTCCGGCCCGGCCCGGCCTTCCGCGCGCGGGCGTCCCGCCACCACTACCGCTCCCTACCCGGCGAGGCCGTCGCCCGCCCCGGTCCTGCCCTCTCTGGCCACCCGACCTCGCGGCCCGGGCCCCGCCCGGCATCGGACGAGGAGCCGGCGGGCCTGAGGCGGCACAGCCCGAGGCCCCGAGGCCCCGAGCACCGGCGCGCGGTACCCGGCCACCGCCCCCCACCCGGGGACCGCGCGTCTGCCCCTCACCTGGGCACCCCGAGACAGGCGAGGCGGGCCGGCACCCAACACCATGCCCGGCCGGCGGCGGCAGCGAGACGCGGCCCTCACAGCCGCACCGGCTCCCGGTGGCGGGACCGGAAGTGGCGGGGCGGGGACTCCGTGGCTCTAGCTGGCGGCGGCCGCTACGGCAGCGGGCGCTTTAAAAAAAAAATTCAAAGCCGCGAAGAACTTTATTTGCAGCCTGACGTGCGAACAGCGGCTTGCGCCGGTGGGGCGGGGCTGGGCTGGACTAGGCGGCTGCTCCGACTTCGCTCATTGGCAAAGAGTATGGCCTGGGGGCGGGCACAGAGTCTAAACTTCCCTCTGATTGGCCAGAGCTGGAAGGGGCGGGGTTTCCGATTGCTTCCGAAGCTTGAGCGCTGGAGAACTGGGACTCTGCCTGGTGTTCCTGTCTCCATTCATTCGGCGGTGTGCAGGGCTTGGGTCCCCAGGCATCTCGGCGTAGCTTGGCGTGGCGGGAACTGAGGGTCTCCATAAGTGGAGCGCCCTCTATTTGTCCAGCCAACGACCGGGCTGGACCAAAGGCCTGCAGTGCAGGGGTTAAGGGGATGGGGCAAGCAGAAGTGCCACAACCACCTGCAGGGGAGTGGATGCACCCTTTCCTGATCTTGGCTTATTTCCTTTATTCCGTTAATAGGTTTACTTTAAAAACCTGCTTCGGGGGCTGGAGGTGTGGCTCAAGTGGTAGAGTACCTGCCTAGCAAGTGTGAAGCCTTGAGTTCAAACTCCAGTACCACCAAAAAACAAACAAACAAAACCACTGTTTCAGGGCTGGGGTGTAACTCAGTGGTAGATGCTAGCAACAAGGAAAGTGTCACAGTCCCTAAGTGTCAGGAATTTAATGCTTAAGCCTCTCGCCTGAGTCCTGGCCTCTGGGCTGGCTTTATGCTCCCAGATGCCTCCATGTGGCTGGGGCCTGGCCAGGGGAGCTGTGTCGTCCCTCCCGGATTTCACATTTTCTGGGAGGGACTCATGCCCACTATAGTACATGTGGGTAGGGGGTCGGGGAGAATGAGTTTTAATTGCGAACTTCCCAAAGGGTGCAGTTGCCAGATGGAGATATCCACCAGCATTCTCCCTTCTCCCAGCCCTTGAGCAGTCGCTCCCAAAAAGTTCAACCCCAAAAACTTCCAGCTGGGGCAGGGAAAGGGAGATGTCCTTGCTAGGGTTTGAATGTGTGTGTCCTCCTCAAAAACTAGTGTTGGAAACTTGACTTCCAATGGGAGGTGTTAATTTATGAGGACTGTGCCCTGATAGAAGAATTAATGCTGCTTTAAAAGGCTTTGCAGAGGTGACACTCCTGTAATTCCAGATATGGGGAACGTGGAGGTAAGAGGATAGTGGTCCAAGGTTGGTCCATTATCTGAAAAATAAACTAAAGTAAAAAGGACTGAGGGTGTGACTCAAGTTGTAGAGTGTCTACTTAGCAAGCATGAGGCCCTGATTTCAAACCCAGTATCACCAAAAATGAAAAACCTTTGCAGGCTGGACATACTGGTACACAGCTATAATCCCAGCACTCAGGAGGCAGAGACAGGACCACAAGTTGGAGGCCAGCTTGGAGTACATAGTGAGGTCCTGCCTTTGAAAGAAAAGAAAAAAAAAAAGACTTGCAGGAGTGGATTCCTTCTTTCTTTCTCTTCTGTTCTTCTGCTGTGTGAGGACACAGTAAGAAAACCCTATCAGTTCCTGGCACCTTGATCTTGGATTTCGTAGCCTCCAAAACAGAGAAATAAATTTCTGTCCTTCATATGCTACCCAGTCTGTGGCATTCTGTCATAGTAGCACAAGACAAAGTGAGACAGTCCCCTGTCTTCAGCCAGGTCTGCCTCTGAACCCAGCTGCAGAGGCTGTCCAGCCTGGCCAGAGCTCTGGGCAGTCAAGTCTCAGGCAGTGTGCCAGCTGATAAATAACAGCCGGTACAGGGGCCTGGGTACCTGCTGGGTAAGGGAAGGGTCTCCTGGACAGAAAAAGAGACTTCCGCAGGCGTACTGCCAGACTCAGGCTGCCATAGCAAAATGTCACAAATTGAGTGGCTTAAACAGCAAACATTAAAATTCTCACCGTTTGGACAGGGAAAGTCCAAGATCAAAGGTTCTTCCTGCAGGGTAGGTTTTGTTCTGAGGCCTCTTCTCCTGCCTTGTAGGCAGCATGTGTACTCACGTAGCCTCTTTGTGACTGGGCATAGTGAGCTGTCTGGCATTTCTTATTAAAAGGACAGTAAGATTAGAGCAGGATCAAGTGGTAGAGCACTTGTCTGGCAAGCAGGAGGCCTTGAGTTCAAACTCCAGTACCACCAATTAAAGTGGGGGTACTAATCATGTCAGATCAGGGTTCCATCCTTGGGGCCTCATTTAATCTGAACTACTCCCCTATAGGCTCCATAACCTGAATTTGAGGGAAACAACATCCAGTCCATAAGATACAGTAAAACCCTAGAGGGGCCTGCCTTCCTCAGCTGCCTCTCCACTCTTCCTCTTACATTCACTGTGGATGGGTGTGCTCCAGTGCTTGGTGACCATGGGGTGGGGGCGCCTGGCTCTGTGTCAGGGGTGGGGGGGTTGGCCTCAGGATGTAGAACCTGCAGTCTAGGGAAGCCAGCAGCAGAGCCAGGCCCGCCAAGCCCAGGCTGTACTTCTTCCTCTGGGACACACTGTCATTCCCCCGCAACAAGACTTTGGCATTGCTCCCAAGACAGTCCCCTATTTTGTGGCCTGGGAAACAGTCCAGGAGACAGACACTAGATGTGGAATAAGTGTGGGAGGAAGGGTCCAACTCAGCCCTCACTAGCTCCTCCTCCTGGGAGGTGAGGTTCAGGACACTGGAGAGCAGGCCTTGACATACACACAGCTATGCTGACCGTAATTCTCACTTTAGAATCCAAGGAGAGGCTACAAAAAAAGTGTCAGAAGTCCAAATTCCCAGCCAGACATGGTGGTGCCTATCTATAATCCCAGCACTCAAGAGGCTAAAACAGGAGGAACATGAGTTTAAGGCCAATCTGAGATACACATAAGACCTGGTCTAAAAAAACCCCAACAGTTCTTGCTGCTGATTCTATTTTTCTTTTTAACGGTACTGGGGTTTGAACTCAGGGCCTACACCTTAAGCCACCTCCAACAGCCTCTCCCACCTTTTTTGTGACGGGTTTTTCTGAGGTAGAGTCTCAGGAACTGTTTGCCTGGCTGGCTTCGAACCATGATCCTCCTGATCTCTACTTCCTGAGTAGCTAGGATTATAGGTGTGAGCCACCAGCACCCAGCTCTCTGATTCTTTCTGTTGTAAAAAGGGGAGACAAGTGTTTTTGTCAGGAAAAGGTGCTTTTGTTAGGAAAAGTTCTCTTGGACCTTTCCTTTGGGGTGTCCCAGGGCCTAGTTTGGAGGGGGGACAAAGATAAGAGCTGGTAAGGACTGCAGAGTCCTGGGAGGCTCTCAGGGGCGGGAGCTGAGAGGTGACACCAAGACCCAGGGTTGGGACTCTCCATGGGATGAGGGGGATGTGCTTCTTGCACTTGAGCCAGACAAGGGCTCAAATCATCATCATTGTCATTGTTGTCATCATTATCTGGTAAGGGGCCACCCAGGCAGCCGCTGATCAGACTCTAAGCAGCATGACTTTAATTATGCATCTGGTATAATTAACTGTTGATTACTCTTGCAACCAGCCCCAGGAAATACATCATGTTTGCTTTTATTCCCTTACAAGAGAATAAAATGGGCCATGGTGGCTTCCCTAGAGAGGGACTGAATCAGAGCAGTGTTTTAAACATTATAGGATTGACATTGTCACCAGGTGCCCTACAGTGACCTGGGACCCATTTTCACAAGAGCTGGAATAGGGATACAGTGCAGTGCGCTGCGGTCCCTGCTGCTCCTCTGCAGGCGGCACTATCTGTGCTCCTTACCCCTTCCCAGCTGCCCATCATGTCAGACCCCAGAGCCGGCAAAGTCCAGTGCGAATGTCACGTGTGAGAGAAGCCACCTCCCTCCGAAATGCCTTGTACTTCTGCTTCCTTGCAGAAAAGAACTAAAACTGCCTGTCTTGCTCTTTCCTGTTTCACAGTGCACATTCTTTTGTGTCAGCCTATGTTCCAGGTGGTGTCAAAAAGTATCACCTTTTCCAATTCAGTTCTGGTAGAGGACTTCAACTATCGGGGGAGAGGAGAGAGATGGTGTGTGACAAGCTGAATAGTGGCCTCCGAAAAGCATCCTTGTCCTCATTTCTGGAACCTGTGCACACATTACTTGGGAAAGGGAACTTTGCAGATGTGAGTAAAGTTAAGGCTCTTGAGAAGGGTTTATCCTGGGTTACCCAGGTGGGTACAATCTCCAGGGCCCTCACCCGAGGAAGGCAGGAGGTCGGTCAGTACAGTGGTGGGAGCATGCCATATGGGGTGATTCAAGGAGTGGGTCCAAACCGTGGAAGGCAGATGGCCTCTAGAAGCTGAGGGCAAGGAAGCAGATTCCTCTGCGCCTCAGGAGGCATTGGCCCTGCTGTGATGGGCTGAATTGTGTGTCCCCAAAATTCAAATATTGAAATTTAACCCCAGTACCTAGAAGGACTTTTTTGGAGATAAGGTCTTTAAAATGGCAATTCAGTTAAAGCAAGGTCAGTAGGGTAGACCCTTCCCTAATATGGACTAGTGTCCTTATAAGACAGACTTGCACAGAAGCACAGAGGGATGACCACATAGACACAGGAAAAAGACGGCTGTCTACAAGCCAAAGGGGAGACCTCAGAAGGACCAGCCCCACTGGCACCTTCACCCTGGACTTGCAGCCTGCAGAACTATAAGAAGACAAACTTCTCTTGTTCAAGCCACCCAGCCTGGGATACTTCGATTCTGGGACCAAGTTGACTGACACGCCTGCTGACACCTTGATTTTAGATTTGCGAACTTCAGAACCATAAGAGAACGTGTGCTGTTCTGAGCAGCTGTGTCACAGCAGCCACGGGAAGCACATGCACTATCGTACCCATGAACCATAGTGGCTGGTGGCTTTGGGGCGCCTGAGATCTGCACTTGGGGACACCTGGCTGGGGGAGAGGCAGGTGGCGTCAGCCCATGGCACATTTCACAAGAACTCAGGATTCCATTACTCCTGCGGTCTGTGTTGTGTTTTTTGCGTCATTGCTTCCCGTA